TGAAATACTGGCTTTGATATACAAAACAATTTACAGTTCCATAAAAACCACCTGGAGGCTGTATTTTACATCAGGTGTAGATTAATTCTAAAGTAATTCCATTCCAATGTCCAATAAACGACTATATTAGCGATTTCTTTGTTAAGACTATACACTGTGATTTTTAACAAAGATAGTACTTTGACAAAATTAAAGAACAGCTTATATAAAGTAATCAGGCGTTCGCTTTTCAATATGTTCGTACTGAAGTATGTCTTAAATACTGCTAGGCTTACATTCATTTAACCTTATTATTAAAATCTCACAAAATATTGTAGAGTTATTTCAACCGAAAAAGAGATAACAAAATCAATCTATAAATAACAACAGGTGGAATAGTATACTTTTCATTTTTCTAAATAATAGTACTTATCGAAAATTGTAGATGAAACATTCTATAATTTTTATCTTTTACCTATTTGCCTATCAGTTTTACAACTGTATCAGTCTCTTTGCCTTTTTCTCTCACTCTCTCTCTCCCCCCCCCTCTCTCTCTCTCTCTCTCTCTCTCTATCAGTCTATCTATCTCTCCATCTCTGTCTGTAACGTTAAAAAAATTAATAATGAACAACCTTGATTACTTGACAAGAAGAGATACTTTCAATAAATTTTCTAGATTAAACAGTTAGCATGCAAAGCCATGTCCTCATTCAGTAGGAGGAGGTTATTTAAATAAAAGTAGAAATAATAATAAAAATACTCTCTCATTCCCTCAATAACTCACTCCATCGCTCTGTCTCACATATACTCGCTCTCTCTCTCTCTCTTACTGTTCTCTATTTTCGCCATATATTACGTGCAAAACTAGCTAAATCTCTTATTCTCCTTTTCTTTATTTACTCCTTGGTACTTTTTCAATAGAAAGGTTAAATTCTAGAGAAAGACTGCTTTTGATTTCTTATTTATTGGAAAAAATTTATGAAAAATTCTTTTATCCATTAGACTCGTTTCCTTATCTTCTTATCTCATTTCAATAGAAAACAAAATAAAATGAGGAAGATTACTGAATATTATCAATGAATAGCTATCATTTCACGGAGCAATAGACTATCTAATACCGGATATTAAAGAACCAGTCCAAATGAAAAGAAAGAAAGCGAAGACCCAGCTTGGACATAGTGTATACACTCGAGAAGTTAAAGCTAATCAGAACAATCAGCAACCACTTCCCGGCGCCGTTGTCGGAGAAACAAACACTTGTAGAGTAGGCCTAAGATTTTGATGGGCTTTAGTGCTTTTTCTTTTAGGATGCTTTATATATTTTATATAAGAGGCAAATTTTAAGTTTAATTTTTTTATTTATGATTTTTTCCTATTGTTTGAATAGTTAAAGATGTGAAATATTTTGCAGTTGTTTTTTTTTTAGAAAAATCCTAAAAGTTTAATTTTTTTCGCTGCTGCTCTGTCATTTGTATTTTCCCCCCTGTTTTGGTTTCTTATTTTTAATAGAAATAAAAACATGAAAAAAAATACATGAAATTTATTCCTTTTGAATAGAATCATCTTTATCTCCACGTCTACCTTCTCCTCCCGTCCTATCCGATATACTGATCTGCGGAAACTGCAGACAATTATTCGTTGATGTAGAAAGTTTGACAGAGCATAAAAAGGTACCATGCCGATTGAGGTTTGCTGATGAAACTGGTAAGTTTATTTTGCCCTTGAAATAAAATTTATAGTATATTTCTATCTCTCTTCTTAGACAACGTTATGCATTTTCTTTTAATATCTAGCTATTCAATTTTGTGTTGAATAGAACTTAAAAAATTGCAAAGCCTTCCAAAGCAATTTTTTGAATTTATTACATCCATGTTAAATTACCTTGACCTATATACTGTATAAGACGAGCAAACTGAGTTTATTGTATTCATAATCATTTGCTGCAACCGTTTAACACACTGCCATAGAAATAAGTGGCAAGAGAAAGAAAATATAGAAATCCATTCTGTTATAAATACAAGAGAGTTCATTCTATCTATTTGAATAGACAGTATGTTGTTAAGGAAGTATATGGCATATATATACTCTATACTAACATATATATTTATAAATATTTAAATATATATATATATAGATCTACAGGAGAGGGAAGGGAGAAACATTATATGGAGAGGGGAAGGGGAGAGGGAGGAAGGGGGTTTGTGAGTGAAAAGGGAGGAAGAGGTTTAATAAACGTACATGTTTAGTAGATAACTAAATTAGAGATAAATGAAATTACATCCACAAGACAGCACGGCATCAATTGCTTAATAAAGTATAAGATTATCCAAGTCAATCTAGTATTATTCACTATCGTGTATTATACTAATAAAATGTTTATATTCAATTCGTAACAAAGTGCTTTGAGTGTTTTTTTTTATATAAGTTTCTTATTCTAGATTCCAATCTTCATTAATTTATTTTTTGCCTATTCCTTTACTTATCCTACTTTTAAGAGCCACTCTCTCTCTCTCTCGTTTTCTCGTTTTCTCTTTAATCCTAATTATAATAAACTGTATGAGGTAACTGCACAAATATTTGAGGATAATAAAGATCTTTACTAATTGGTTATGTGACACAAAGAGAGATTTCTCTATGAAATATTGTATATTTTTCTATTCTTATGCTCGTCCTCTGTGTCTCTATCTGTCCATCTTACTATCTTGTTACTCCATCCCTTTTCTATATGCTATCAATTCATCTATCTATCTATTCCTTCATTCTCTCTCTATCCTTCACACTATGCTAAAAAAAAATCTGATTTATGCAGTTTTTACCAATTACTTTCGTAAACTCTTATCCACAAAAATATTTTAAATTGATAAAAACAAAAGAAGAGAAAATAGAAAACCCTTTTCTTTTTTATCTAGATCCACAAAGAAAAAAATGCACAATTTGTTGTTTATTTACAGACGAACCGAAATGCTTAGCGTGCGTCAACTGCAACGCAATTTTTCACTCCTGCTGGAATCTACTACAACACGCGCAGGCGGAACACGACACTAATATCTACTGCATTGTCAACTCGAATAACGACAGTAACGTAAGTGCTAGAAAAGTATAATAAAGGACAAGAAAATAATAAAAAAAAAAGCATAGATTTTAGACATCTTCCCCACATACGGTTCAATATAAACTTTTATTTTTATTCACGTCCAATTGATTGTACTTTAGAGTTGTATGCTCTCCTATACAATCTATAGAAGGAAGAAAAATTGAAAAGCAGCCGTAAAAACAATGAAATAGCTTATATGATTAGTTGTTCTCTTTAGAAAGAAATAATCTTTTACTTTTAAACTCCCAATGCTATTAGAACATTAAATCGAAAATGAATTACAATCAAATATTAATGAATAATTAATTAATGGTCAAGAAAAAGTCTATTCTTAATTAAAGTTGATCGTTTTGAAGTTGCTTTCAGTTTGAGCTTTATGTATCGCAATTTGGGTGTAAACAAGCCAAAGATAGAAGTTTTTTATACTACGAACAATGGCTATGATAGTTAACTAAATTAGCACAATATAATTTAAGGATTAGAAAATCAGAAATTCTTTAGAAATGAATGATACAGAAAAAGAAAATTCTCCCTTCAAGTAATACTATCCCCTTCTTTATTTTTAAATAGGATAGAGAAGAAATAACTGAAGAAAATGACAAGCAAAGTTCATTGGAAAACGGACATGATGAGATAGAACCGGAAACGGAAGACAAACGGGACAACGAATCTGATGTGACTGAAGAAAACGGTGACAAATCGTGTGATATCTGAATGTTTTTCAAATGAGAAAGATTGTTTTTGGAAAAAAAAGGAAAACACACTCAAAAAAAAAAAAACAATTCTCTGGAAAATGTTCTGAATTGATAAAAAAAAATCTTGCAATCACTGTCTTTACATTTTCTTTCTGTTTTTTTTTTTATTTTGTTCTCTTTTTTTTAACTCTGTTGTGCGCGCCATCTCGCGATTTTACGCAAAATATAAGCCTATATATATATATATATATATATATATATATATATATATATTTATGTATATTATATGTGTATAATATGTGTACACTATATACATACAGTATTTTTCAAAAATATACATTTCATTCATTTATACATATACTGTATACATATTTGATATATTTGATATTTAATATATAAATGAATATATAGTTATTTAGGAAATTTATTCAAATAATGATTACATAATGTTCTTAATACGACTTTTACCCAAAATTTTATAAATTCTCTTCTATTGCTTTTCTGATGTATAGTTTGCCTTCTTTTTTTTTTTTTTTCACTGCCAAAGTCAACCAAATGTAAATAGTCACGAAACAAATTATTCCAGCAGTCCCAAGTTATTTACATAAACCTGTGACATTTTAATCACGTTCCTATATTACTTATTAAGAATTTTTTCAATTATAAACAAAATGTAGGCCTATAGTTTTCGAAGTTTTATATTTCTGTTTTCTTTACACGTATTTCCCTTAATATCTAATTCTCTTTCGTATTTTTCTACTACACTTTATATTTAAGTTAATAATTATTTTGTCTATATTATATACGAACTGAGAGTTGCTTTTTAAATGACAACGTCTACGTTCATTAGTTTTTCCTTTTCTTTCTTAAAGCGGTAATTGCGTAGATTCTTTTTTAAAAGAAAAATTTAGACTTTTACTATATTCCTCTCATTTATTAATAAACGAATTCATAGCTTCCAAATAGGGATTCTTAGTAGTATTCTTCTTTGATTATTTGAAAATATTTTTTAGACAAATTTACATATTTCTTTAATTCGTTTAATATAGTTCTATAAATAGAACAATATAGAATAATATTCATTTATAAGCAACCTTGAATGAATTAAATGAAGATATCAAAAATTTTGTTCACTATGATTCTCTTTTCAATACCAGTTCTATGAACATTTTGAATGACAAAGGTTCCATTCAATAGTAAACTTTAAAATCTTTGGCGAAGAATCTGCTACCACTAGTTCCACAATGTTCACTGAAAGCACACCACTCTCTACGGAGAAAAATAAAAATGAAGACCAAGAGAGCAAAGAGGTTGACGATACTCGTTTTGTCTTTAAAATCTAATAAAACTTCTATTATTCTTAAAGATTCCACAAGTTCAACAAGGACTCAACATTTTCCAAACAGCATTTTTTATGATCGGAAATGTTGCTGGAAGTGGTATATTAGTCCTCCCTAAGGCTATAGATTATGCTGGTTGTATAGGCCTATTTTTGATGATAGTAGCTGCATTCGCATCTGGTTATAACGGTATTCGTTTAGGGCAATGCTGGACAATTGTCAGACGAAGATATCGCCATATGGACGGTTATGTTCAAGATCCTTATGCTGCAATAGCTAAAGCTGCTTTTGGTTCAAAAATGGGGTCCGTATACTACATCCTTCTTAAAAAGTATAGGCCATATTTACCAATATTGTAAAAATTATTACAGAATTTTAGTATCACTAATGGGCAATATATTCCTTTTTGGGGTTGCAGTTGTTTTTGTCTTAATGTCAAGTCAAAATTTACAATCTCTTCTGCAGCACTGGTTTAATTTAAGGATATCCTTCTGCTACTGGATACTTATCCTTGGAACTTCACTAATACCAGCTTGCTGGCTGGGATCACCGAAAAATTTCAAGTTAATTGTTTTTACTGTTCATATTTTATTAGTTTTCAATATGTTATATACAGAATATTTGGCATTATTTCGGCTTCAACAATATTTTTGGCATGCTTGATAATGAATTGTGCTTTCATAGCGCAAATTTACACGAAGAAGTCAGAGACAGTATATAAACCGCCAAATCCTTCTAAATTAATATTTTCTTTTGGTGTTATGATGTACTCATTCTCTGGTACGGTAACTTTTCCCACAATTCAACAAGATATGAAGAGACCGGAAAAATTCCATTTATCGGCCTGGGTATCTTATACAAGTAGGTCTATTTTTGCCAAAGGGATAAACTAATTGTAAAAAGGGGAATTATTTTAGCCATTTTAGCCATGTACATGACAGTCTCGTGCCTAGGATATTTAAGTGTTGGGAGTAAATTACAAGTCAACGTTTTACAGAATATAGCTATTAATTGGTTTAGATATATCGCAGAAATTCTCATTACAATCCATCTCGTGTTTGCTCTTATTTCGAATACTAATCCACTGTTTCAGAGTATTGAGAAGCTTTTTTGTATTTCGGCTGGTAAGAAAAATTAAATGGTATCTAATTTTAATTGATTAAATTAGACGTTATTCTCTTTCATTGATATTAGAATTTGGATGGAAACGCTGCGTCGCTAGGACTACATTGATGATAATCATTATTTTTATAGCTGAAAGCATACCTAACTTTTCTAGTCTTCTCTCACTAGTTGCGGCCTGTGGAACGTTTTTAACCTTCATAGCTCCCTGCCTGTTTTATATCAAGATTTGTTCGATGGAAGGTGACTGGCCTAAAGAGTACGTTTATAATTCAGGTTAAAACCTAAATCACTATTCAATGATTTATTTCACTAGGGATCCTGTACCGTTACATCACAAAGTCTTATCTATTGAATTAATAATTTGTGGTACCCTATCTGCTGTTGCTGTTACATATACCGGCGTGAAACAAATTATTGGTTCGCTAACTTTCGTTCCTCCTTGTTATATAAGTATTACTGCGGCTGAAACAATAGTTCACCAATCTGTATTATTATTTACCAATAAAACAATCTAATGCATTTACGACCGTAAAAAAAATATTTCTCAAGAAAATCATTTTTGATATCATTTCTTAAAATTGCGAATATTAATCCAATAATCCTATTTATTTTATAATACAATTATATAACCTTAAGGCAAACACATGTGATAAGTAACGTTTTCTTTTACAAGCAAAATTGGCCATCTTCCAAGAATTACCAGACAGGAGCTTATCCAATCTTCCCCTGCCCCTCCCTCTTCCCTTACCTCTCTTGGCAACAATATTTGCCTAAAGTTATATTTCGTCAATAGAACAGCTTTGGAAAATTAATAATTGTTTTATTAATAGAAATCTTTAAATAACAAGACACAAAAAAAACTTAATTAACTTATTGTAACTCCTACCGGGATATTTTAAAATTATTACAATATTCGTACAATAGATATTTAAATAATTAAAAATAGAAATAAAAAATTCAATTATTATTTGACATCTTCCAAATAATCAACAGTTTTGCTAATCTCTGCCATTGAAATTGTCCTGTCATCAGTCTGATTGTAATTATAGAGGATATTTTAATAAGATATATAAAAGCTTAATCTAATAATTATATTCTTACCTCCGAGTTATCATCATTCAAAATGTCATTAGCGTCATCATCAAAATCATCGATATCTTCTTCTATTATCTCCTCGTCTACTTCAGAGACACTCTTTACTTGTTTCTCAGATCTGCCTGATCTAGGCGTCTTTTTTGATCGACTGAAGAAATTGAAAAGAATTTTTTTTTAATTAAAGTTACCTTGATGAAAATCTAGATATTGATTTACTTACTCTGTATGAAAATCTCCACGATCATCGTCAAAATCTTCATCAAAATCCTCTTCGTAATCATTAGGAACGTCTAACGAAAAATTTAATAGAGAATGAGTGACTACATGTGCAGTAAAATAGTATATACATATATATAGTTAATTCAATTTGCTTACCTATACCTAAATCACTAAATTTTTTATCTATATCCTTGAGTTTGGGAGTAGACGATTCAGATTTTCCTCCATTCATTGAGCTATCTGATTTCGTGATAAAAAAAAAACTACGATCTAACAAATCTATCATTAAGCTAAATCACCTAAAGAGGGTAATCCTGATAAACTGGCAAGACCGCCTTTCGATTCCTTAACGCTATCATCTAAAGAATTTTTTCTGCAAAAAAAGCGTGCTAAAAATTGCAATTTGTTAAAAATGCAAATGAAATTTAGGGACAGAATTGTTGTTTATTTTTTAATGTTTTATTGATTTTTTTAAATTTTTTGCGGTAATCTTCAACACAAAGCAAAAAATTCTAGTTAGCATAAATCTATGGCCCCTAAAACCGTTGAAACAACCTACCTACTATTATTCGTCTTTTTTGGAATTTTGCTACTCTTACTGCTTATATTATATATAAAAAAGTTGAGAAAAAGAGAGTTCAGACAAGAGTAAAGAATATATTTCTTATATTACTTACAGAGCTTGAGCATTAGTCTTTTGATTAGGAAACGGAACAGCGTCGAGAAAGTCATCGTTATCTTGTTTCTTCTCACTTAAATTTTCTACCTGCTGAGAGAAGGCATAAAAAGAAAAAATGGTTTATCAGTGTTGCATTTTATTATGGTATTATTCTTATTAGAGCTTCGGCGAATCACTTCAAAAAAATGAGCTTTAAAAAGATACGAATGAAAGCAGGTTTGTTGAAAATGTAAGTAAATTATGTCTTGTTTTGTTCATGAAAAAAACTAAAAATGTTAAGTTTAATGAGACAAAAAGTAGTTTAGAAAAAGAATTCAATAGGCTCTAGTACAGAAAGACCTTTTTAGGTATTTTTGAAGGAGATATTGATCGCGAGCGCGGTGATGTCAAGTCACTAACGTCGTTTGAAATAACGCTTTTGCAAAGAATGAAGAGCCTTTTGTACATCTCCATGAATTCATTAAAATCTATAGCTGTTACAAATATATTTATATTTAATTATTCAATATTCTTTTATATAGCGGATAGTACACCATAAAAAAATCACTTTCCCTTTTATTGAATACTACTTATTGAGCAAGTATCAACAAGAAGGAAATGTAATATTTCATAGTGAGCTATTCCTTTGCTATAAATCTTACTCATGCTAAAATCTTTGTCGACAGCTCGAAATTCATCATTCACATAACGTTCAAGCATGTTTCTGCAGAGATTTTTGTTTAACTTATGTTTAATAGTTTTGAAAAATAAAGCGAAAAAAAAATTTAATGATAATTCTCTTTTCCTTTATAAAAGAAAAAAGAAAAAAACTTCTATTTGTTTCTCTTAAGCATGAACAAACCGATGAAAAGATGGAAACATGTCTATGAATAGTGTTCTCAATTCATTCTTGTCGATAGTACCATTTTTATCCTTTGTTTTATATAATAAAAAACCACAAATAAAAAAGATGTATAAAATAAAACAATTAAAAATTATCGTACCACATCGTACTTTTCAAATTTTTCTCTAGCATCTTCAATTTGTTGTGGGCTTAATTCCTTTTAATTAAAAATTTTGTTTTTTTCTTTAATCAATTAAAAATCATTAAGCTTAGCTTGACGAAAAACAAAAAATCAGAGACTAAACAAAGGTTTTCTTCTCTAAGTAATTAACTAATTATATCTTAGTAACTTAAAACGTTTTTAAAAATAATATAAAACAAATAAAACATAAAAAAAGAATAATAGATCAGGCAGAGGAGATAGAATTCACTCAAGAATTTACCTGTGCGGTATTGCCCTTCAAATCCTGATTTTTAATTCTTTTCACGAGTTCAAACAGAAGGGGTAAACTTTTAGATTTATCATTCTCTGCTATATTCAAATTTCTAGCCATATTTGAACGAGATTGCTTGCACCCTTCTTCATTTTGTAGATCACAGCCACTTTCAGGTTCAAAGACTGATAATGTAAATTCCAGATTGAAAAATGATAAAAATTCTCGAACAAGAGATGCCGTTAATTGACCGTCTGACGTTTTTAGAAATTCCTGCAGCTGCTTATTCATATAGGGATTCTGTTGCTGTTTGAAATTATTAATTAATAATCGTATTCGTTATGATTAGTCATTCAAAATACCTTTTTCGCATCTTCTTCCTCTAATGCCAGAAAGACACTTGCTCGTAAATGGGCCTGTAAAAATGCAACTTAATTCGCAATGTTAAGCTGACATATTTTTATTATAACCTGTCTACACACGTACTCGTTATTATATTATCGCTCAAAACTTTCAAATTTGAATCGATACAAAGCGCAAAATTAGTCTTATTATTTTATTTTTAAGCTTTAGTTTTTAATTTACAAACCCTGATCTTTCCCAAAGTGCCGTTGTTTTCAAGCGTTTGAGCAACTAAGTCGCGTAATTCGGTATCTTCGTCAGCCGACATCTCAACTATTGTTGTCACGTGATCCACAGTGTTAGAAAAAATCCAAACTTGAATTTTAGCGCCATCTCTTGACTTTAAACCAGCCAGTTGTTATTAAAAAAAACGTGGTTCCTGGTTCCGAGGAGAAACTTGAGTGATAGTTCGAATTTAAGAATCCCGCAGCCAACCTAGTATCGATCATGTGACAATAAAATGGCAGAAAAGCAAAAGAAAAGGATAGAGGAAGGCTTGTTGATTTCCTTATAAAATAGCCAAAATAGCTCTCCAAGCGTGCAATGGTTGCTGCAGCGGCAGAACGCTGAGCCAAAGCTGCCGAAATTGTATCCCGAATAGATCGCTGTCACTTAGTAGTTCTTTAGAATCTAGATGTGCTATGCACGAAGCTTTTACGGCGAATGTTCTACTTGAAAGATTGCCATTACATATCGAATCAATTACTTACTACGGTCAGTATCTTTGTAAAACTAGAAATGTCTGTTCTTCTCTACCTTCTAACAAAATTAAGAAACTTATTGATTAGTCTAGAAGTTGAATCATGCGTAATTTACTCTGTTTTGTTGATTAGTTGTTGAAAAGCACGTACGAGTTCTTATATTATTTATGGAAGGATTAGACCAAGCATCAAAGACTATCAACAATAGCAATTATCTAAAAATTATAGAATAAAAGATTTTGTCATTGAGCTATCGATAAAATCTAGCGGGAAATCAAACACCAAATAACGTGATCTTTCTCAATACTCAAGATAATTAGTTTATCCGAGATGAAAGACATATTAGATTGTAATATTGACTCTTTTTAAATGTAAAATAATCAAATTTATACCTACAAACATTATGTACGATGCTAACATTTTTATTGGTAGTTTTTATATTTAACATCAATTTAATCATTGATTAAAGCCGACCTTAGTTTACCAATTAGCTTACACAATCGATTTTAATTGAAGTTGCCAATTTTCAATCTCTTTCATCTTAAAAAAAATTATTCAATTTATATTTAAACCAATGATTAATTCTATATTTGTACAGATTCAACGCTCCTAGTAGGAACAAGGCAGGGGAGTCTACTTGTATATACCGTTTTCTTTGATGGAGAATCAAAGTCTCACAAAGTTCGAATCGAACGTACAAGTAAAGCGTTTTCGAAAAAGCCTATCCTGCAAATTGAAGTAGTTCCAGAATACCACATTTTACTTAGTCTTTCTGACAATGTTGTTAGTGTCCACGACCTCACAATTTTTACAAAGATCCTTACTGTTGAATCAACAAGAGGTGCATCGGTTTTTGCTGTAGATTTACAGAAAATCCCCTCACCTACTGGCGATTGGTTGTATAACTTAAGAATATGTGTAGCTGCTAGAAGGAGAATTCAATTTTTCTATTGGAGGAACAGAAACTTTCATGAATTGTACTCAGATAAGGAATTTTCCGATGTAGTTAAATCAGTTACGTGGTGCGATGAGACGGTTTGTGTTGGAACGAAACGGGAATATTATCTTGTGGATGTAATGAGTGGAAATGTTAAGGACGTTTTTCCCACGGGATCCAGGCAACAAGAGGCCCTCGTTACAAAACTTTCCGATTCAGAATTAGCTGTTTCTAGAGATGAAACAACGGTTTTGATAGATAAAGAAGGAAAGCCTTTACAAAGATTCGGTATAAAATGGAGTGACGTTCCACAAATGATTGTAAATCTTCCACCTTATTTGGTGGCTGCTCTACCGAAATATGTTGAAATCCAAACAATTGATCCAAGAGTTTTAATACAAAGTATCGAATTGGTTCGACCTCGACTTCTGTGTGTATCAGGGTAAGTTTTAGTTTTGATATCTTAATTATTTCAAGTGTAGATCCACATCACAAAATCCCAGATTGATCTATCATAAAAAAAATTAGACTTTTCTATAAATTATTTTCCCAAGAGTATAGTCAATTTTTTATGTCCTTTTCTAACATATATTTTAGAAAAGAAATATATATATATGCACCGTACCCGCATATGAATTATAGTTTACCCTTATTGTACAGTTGTTCATAGAAAGAAAAGTTATCCTTGATTATGTCTTTATGTAATTTTACACCCTTATACCTTAAGATTTTAATGACCCTTTCATTTCTTTAAAAGAAAATTATACTCCTTTTAGGGAAACATATTCTATTCTCTTACTATTAACGAATTATATTTAATATTTTTAATTATTTTTATCTTGGTGATCTAAAGTGTCTTTTTTTTGTGTATGTATAGCAATTCAGTATTCATAGCGAGTACAAATTGCGTATGGAAATTATGCCAGTCTCCCGTTTATCAGCAAATCGACCAATTAACAAGAGCAAAGGAATTTGAACTTGCTTTACGTTTAGCAGTATGTATATTTCATACTTATACAAATTTAGCTTCTTTCATGTAGAATAAAATATAGAATTTTTTTTTTCAGCCTTTAAGTGAGGAGGATGAAGAGACTAAGAGAATTAAAGTACATCGCATAAAAAACCTCTATGCTTTCCATTTATTTGTTCAACACCGATTTGACTCTTCTTTGGAAATGTTTTCAGAATTAGAGACAGGTTGGTAAATAGCAATTCTTGTTTCATTAACTAGATCTATTAGATCTAGGTATCAAGCTATGTGATTTATTTTGAGCTGAATTTCTACCTTGCATGTCAACCACACCCAAACGTCTTTGCTCTTTTCCAACTATCTTTAAAGAGAAGTACATAATTATAGAGCTGTTGTTCTATACATAAAAAAAATCGAGCAACTTTCCTTCAAACTCAGACAATGCAAAAAATAAAACAAAGCTAGATAACTTTTCCAAGGATTTAATGAACATTAAGTTTACGCATAATAATTGAATCTCTCTTTATTTAGAAATCTATATAATATGTGAGAATAGGTATTTGATAATAAAAAAAGCAAAAGGACACCAGATTCATTATATGATGGAGATTTAATATCAATCGTATGGTAAATCTAAATCATAGTGAATAGTAAATTTTCTTTTCTTACAGATCCATCGCAAGTTATCGGTTTATTTCCCGATTTGCTACCATCTGAGTACAGAAAAAGATTAGTCTACCCTGATTCTGTTCCAATACTAGAAGGAGCTGAGTTAGAACGTGGTTTAGAATCTCTTATAACTTATTTATTAGAGGTATAAAGAGCTCAAGCTGTTAAATATTTAATAACATAATTTATTGTATTTTACCAATAGAAAAGGCAAAAATTGAAAGATATGGGAAAGAAAGTTCACACTTGCTCGATTGTTGAAGGGAATGCTCTAATAGTTTCTAAAAAGCAACTAGCCCAAATCATTGATACAACCCTTTTGAAGTGCTATTTACAGGTATTAATTTTCAACACTATGTGATTATGAAATTGGATGTAAATAACAATTTTTTCAGACACAAGAGGCATTAATAGCATCTTTGCTACGCTTAAAAGATAACCAGTGTCACGTTGTGGAAAGCGAAAAAATATTAAAAAGTAGTCACAAATACTTGGAATTAATACTGCTCTACGAAAGCAAAGGAATGCACAAAGAAGGTATAAGAATCTTTAAAATTTCCTCATTTCCATTTAATCTATTAAATCAATCTTACTCCTATTTAGCTTTAGAATTCTTATTGGCAGAACATCGCAAGCTTAACTCAGTTCTCCATAGTCCCGAACATACAATTGCTTACTTGCAAAGACTTGGCTCAAAACACCTCGATCTCATTTTCGATTACGCTTGCTGGGTGCTAAAATTTCGTCCGGACGATGGTTTAAAAGTACTATAAACTGTCATTTAAACAGTTACAATTAATATTAACTTTACTAATTTATTTAAAGATTTTTACTGAGGATAATCAGGAAGTAGAGAATTTACCTCGTGATAAAGTTATGGCTTATCTAGATAAAACTTGTAAACAATTGGTTATACCTTATTTAGTAAGTTATTTGATGGATGTTGATATCAATCTTCATTAAATATCTAAATTTATTTTAGGAACATATAATCCATGAGTGGGGGGATAAAACGTCATATTTTCACAATCATCTTGCTTTTTACTACGTCAATCGTTTAAGTCCTCTAATGGACGAATATGTAAAAAATTTACCAGCAGGTAAAAGATATAATCAATAGATGCTTTTATCGTTTGAAAAATTTATAATTACTGATTTTCCATTTAGACCAACGACCGGCAAGGGCAGGTGAAGAGGGAGGAGAATTAGGAGAGCTTCGTACCAGATTGATATTTTTTTTAGAAACGTCCACACTATATTCACCGGAGCGTGTTTTAGCTGTTATTCCATTAAACAGTATGTGAGAAAAAAGGCAAATTTTACGTTCCAATGATTTCATTTCATAAAATTTCCTCAGACTTTTTTCGTGAACGAGCCATTGTCCTAGGTCAGATGAACAGACACGAACAATCATTGGCTGTATATGTTCATGTCCTTCAAGATAATAAAATGGCAGAAAGGTATACATAATCATTCGTCAATGCATTTTAACTTGAACTCTTCGAACATATTTCAATATACAGCCATTGTCTAAGAACCTACGATAGATGTAAAGAAGGGAATAGAGATGTACGTATTATTGAAAAAAACGATAATTTTTTTACGTTTATAATCATGAAAATTTCATAAATACCATTTAAAAAATATTCTACTAATAGGAAAAATTAATTTTTATATATAGCTCTGAGTAAATGTACTAAAAATAAAATTTTCTCTTTACTTCAGATATACATTCATCTATTAAATATTTATCTATCTCCTCCCAACAAAAGTATACTTGGCTATATGGCGGAATATGCTGTCGATCATGGGAGAGTTAATATCGAGGCTGCCCTAGATTTATTAAAGCGGCACGCAAATAAAATTGATACTGCTAAGGTAGTTAAATTAATTTGTTTGATGAAAGTAAATAAAATAAAAATTATTTTCTTTTAGGCTTTAGAACTGCTTCCTCCGGCTACTAAGTTGAAAGATTTAAAGATATTCCTTGAAAATGTGCTAGACCATCAGGCTGTGTATAAAAGGCGCTGCCAGTTATTAAGAAGCTTGCACTTTTCCGAATACTTACAAGTAATTAAATTCAAACAATATTATTTATTTATATTGAGCTTTACATCCATTTGATATTAAAAATAAAACGAGTTTCTTTGATATGAAAAATTCTTTTTCTATAGGTCCAAAGAGACAGAATTCGGGCACAAGGCGTTAAATTTGAAGTACGTAACAACGTCTGTGCTGTTTGTAATGAAAGGATTGGAACCTCGTAAGTGGAGCAATAAATTTTTACTTTCGTATTTGTGATGCATTCTCTATATTTTCAGCGCCTTTGCTCGTTATCCAAATGGTATAATCGTGCATTACTGCTGTTATGAAAATCCTTATACTGTTGACGCTCGTTAACAAGCGATTTGTTAGATAGTCAGTCTGCCCTTAGATTAAAGAAACGAAGACTAATAGCTTTTCTTTTTTTAAAATTGGAATAATAAGCTACTATCCTATAAATAGCTGCTCATGATTTTCAATGGTGCCTCTTAAATGGGAAATGGTGACTACAATATGCAAAAAGCTGCTTGTTTTTTTTGTGTGCAACGAATTGTAGCTAGTCCAAAAGAAAGATGAAGAAATTGAAAATATGTTTCAACGATTTTATCAAGCATTCTTTTTAACGAAACTTTTTTTGTTTCATTTTATTTACTGGCTCATGGTAGGAAGATTTTGTTCTTTTTCACATAACTATTCGATTCTGAGGTTGTATTCAGATACATAAGGTATTAATAATTATTATGCAAACATAAGAAAGAAAAAGAGAGAAATAGGTTTTTTCTTTTATTATTTTAATAAATCAAATAGCAAACATAAATTCGTTAAGCTGATTGATTCTGATCATCATAAAAACAAACCTTTAAGTCGCCATTGAGCCTTCTCTCTATAATCATAAATAAGAGATTGGATTTATAATTATGATTATCTTTCTTTTTTCATGAGAATAAGATGTTTCGATCTAGTTTATTTATGGAAAGTTTAGTATCGTTTCTGTACTTCTATTTATATTGCATAATTTTTCTATCCGTTTACTAGTTTGTATGATTGAAACTAGTCGATGTTGTTACAAACTTAAAGCACAACTTACAATACTGCAAATTAATTAGAGTAATTTATTATGAATTTCTTCTAAGATACTATTATTTGATGTTCAATTTTTTAGTCAAGCACACGCTCGTCCCTTTCTTTTATCTAATAAAATTAAACTCAGGCTTAATAAATTTTTTGTAATTTCGTTTAGCAACTGATGATAAATAATACCTTAAGGGATTTTCCACCAAGAAATATTGAGAATTGATACTCTAAGGATATCTTTGATATCTCTTTCCTTCATTCTCCACCCGAAAGACGTTTATGGAATTATAAAATGCTATTTCCGATATATAAACGTTTGCTCCTGAATAGAAAATAACCAAATCTTTTGAAGTATTTCGATATATAGAATATTTTCCTAACGATATTTTATTAAGTAACAAACCAGAGAATGTTCCAAAATTCTATTAAACGTAATTCCATAAAAAAACATTCTAAGCACATTTCGTTAACCCAAACCAGATCTATTATTTTTTTCCCCTTATTCCCTCCACTAATGACATCTTATGTTAATACTTTAACGATTTTCGGATCGAAGTTTCTAATTTAATATCCAAGGGGAAAATATTTCACGAAACATTAATTTTTTAAAGTTCTATCCTTATTTGCAACGCCATCTATCATAAATTGTTTGGAATAGTTGTAAAATTTTTGAACCTCTTCTACTAATAATATCAAAAGTCTTTTATTAAATAAGTATGGAAAATTCATTTATAATACAATAAGATATATATGATATTTTTTGGCAATTTCAGAATTGTATTTTACTCATAATTTGTTAGCATTGTCTTATTTTCAAGCAGTTCCAATTGCTGTATCCGAAATGCTAAAGAAGAAAAATTCCTCAATAGGGAAAAATGATGAAAAACAATTAAATTCTGATCACAAACAGAAAGAACACATAGTAAAATCAAGATCATCTTGTCAAAGTCTATCAAATTCAAATTATAAATCTACTTTTTCTAAAATTATTGCCTTTACAAATACCATTGTGGGATTATCTGTTATGCTGCTTTTAGGGATAGTGATGTACAGATACTATTATATTTTGCATGATAATCAGCACTCTTTTGAAAAGATAACGGTTTAATTAACCACAATATAAATAAGGGTATAAGAGCATAAAAAATTTTTAATTGTAGGAAGTTGAGAGAGAAATATCTTTCCGGACAGAATGCGGACTATATTATTCATATTTCAAGCAGTTTTTAGCTTCTAAAAGCTTTTCACAGGGTATTTTTTTGTAAATCATTTTCAACTACTTAGCATTGAAATTTTACTTCTTTTATTATAGGACTGTACGAACTAATGAAGGATAACGTGACAGAAAATGGAAGAACTATTAATATTCTAGAAAGAATGAACGTTTACCAAGAAGTTTTTTTGGGATTGATTTATCGCTCCTTCGGGTCGTTAGAAGTAGGAATAACTTAAACGAGCTTAAAAAATGGATTCTATCTAATTTTTTACTATAAAAATCTATTTTAGATATACTTTGGCAGACCAATCTTCTTTTACATTAACGTTGTTTTCGCCCTCCAAGGCTTTCTAATGTGTATAATTTTTATCATTTCATGGTTTTTATGTGGATCTTGGCTTGCGGGAGTCGTAGCAATTCACTATTACTTTCTTCATACGTAATGGAAAACACCATTATGAGTCTTACACACTTATTGACTTTTATATTTCGTCAATCCAGCTACGATATAACAAGAGTACAAAATTCTGTGTCTTTAAGAGAGAGTTGGGCAATACCGTTTCTATGGTTGCAACAAATGTTCATTACATTTTACTTTTCTCGTGATCGAATCTTTTCTAAGGTTTCAATCTTATAAATAATAAGTTATGCAATTTTAGTCACAAAATAATCGAATACTTTTACAGAAATTCTCAGCTATTGGGGCTTTCATCAGTGCATTTTTATTTGCACTTTTCTGGCAATTTAATCAGTTTATATTTCTTGTCCAATCGTTTGCCCTTTTTGCCGTTCAAGTTACTCATTTGATCAACTTACGAAAAGTAAAGTATTACCTTAAACTTTAGCCTGATATTACACTCTTTGTATATTTATATATATTCAATATACTATATATGTATATGTTTCTTTAAATACATAGGTAAGAGTTATATATTTAACCTTGGCAACATCTTTAATACTCGTAGCTCTGTTACAATTTGGTAACAAGATGATATTTGGAGGATTTGCATTGAGCTTTATAACAGCTGCAACATTTGTTTCTTATTTACAAGTACAATTAGACATTTATTATTTATGATACGTCACTTCAATATTAATGTCTATGTTTTCAGAATGAACAGCCAAAGCCTCACGGCTATTTCAGAAGAATTTTTACGATTCTATTTTATATCTCTCTTACTAGCATACTCACAATCTTGCTCAATCGAATAACTAATATCATCCTTCAGCAGAAGGCTGATCGACACATTTATAACTTTCTGTTAAATAAGTTTGGAATAAGCCAATACTTTAATCTTCCTGCTTTGAGGTATATTTCACTTTTTAAAGCCATATTCTTCCTTTGTCAGGTAATATTTAAGTCATACATATTAGAGATTTCGACTCGCTGCTATATATTTGCAATGAAGCATTTGAATTTTTAAATTTCTCCATCTTTCAACTATTCGCCAGTACCGGTTTTTTATATTTTTATGGAGTAGCTCATGGTGTTATTATTTTATTGACAATTATAACTGTTTTAACAAACTGGAGGTGTGTTCCTAAGTTTTTTACATGAAAATATATAAATAGCAAAATACTGCAGCAAAGATATTAAAGTATCAGAATCAAAAAAGACAGATGGTGTGGAGACCAAGACAGCTTATTTTACCCTTAATAATTTGACTCTTAATAATAATCCTCATCTGTCATTTCATGGCAGTAAGTTTTAAGCTGTAACTTTCGGAAAATTTGATAAACTTTCCAATTTATCTTACCACAGTTCAGTGCATTCTATTCGCTTGTCTGGGCTTAAGTGTACTACGAATGAAATTCTTATGGACGGCTTATATGTGTATTTTATCACCATGTGCTTTCTTACACGACGGATTTCTGAAACGAGTTTTCAAGTTCAAACATCAATCTTTCGCGGTATGGTATTGTTAAGCAAAAGATATAGAAAATTAAAAATTTTTTGGTACAACAGATTTCATTGTTTCGCCTTTCTATTGTTATTGGTCTTTTATATAGCTCTTATCATTGGGTAACTATTCAATTTATTACGTAAAAATCAAATATAAAAATGTTTATGAAATAAGTATGGGGAAGAGGTAAAAGAGGAGCTAGCGGATATTCAAAGGTTTCATGACCCCGATACTGTTGAATTAATGAAGTGGATAAATCATAATACTGACAAAAAGGCAGCATTCACAGGAAGTATGCAGTTACTAGCTGGTGTAAAGTTATGTACAGGTCGACATCTGACAAATCATCCTCACTTCGAAGATGAAGAATTGAGAAAGCGTACAAAGAGGTCAGTACATAAATGGACGTTAAAGAATGATTAGTAGTTACCACAAAACTTATCTTTCTAAAGTATTCTTTTCATGGTTTATTTTTAATAACAATATAACAACTGATATCAGTCTGACTGTGCTCGGTATTCTGCCGTCATAGAACCAACACAAAATTTTAGTGTCATCAAATATCAAATAATTTTAAATTAAAATCTGCCTGAAATATTACTTAATGTTATTTAGTATAACCATAAAAGAAATTTTGAATCTCATTCTAGAATATAAAGCTAAATCTCATTAAATTCTCATTATTATATCATATTCTAGCCTTTACGCTATTTATGGAAGATTTAAGCCAAGGTACGTCTTCGACATTCTCAAGAGGTATGGTACCGATTATATAATCTTAGAAGATTCTATATGCTTAATACCGAGCAATGGGTGTAAAACGAATGATGTTGTAGATATCAGCTACGGACAGGTTTGTAATATAGAATAAAAAAAACAACAAAATGAAATAATTATAATCAAATAAATAGTCACCGGACAATGAAATCGAAAAACGCAACCTACCGGAGCCAAAAACTCCAAGATTCTGCAATGAAGTACGCAAGGGAAGGAAACAATATTCGAAATATTTTCAGTTAGTATTTCATAATCCGACTTTTAGAGTTTATCGTTTGTTATAAGATTTTCTAAATAAGTGTTATATCGTTGTTCAAAAGTTGCACAAGTTTTGATAGTTACTTTCAATCAATGTCCATTTGCTTATCAACAAAACCATCATTCGTATTTTCTAATTGTAAATCACAGTCACTATCAACCGGTTGAGAACTGGGCTTGCCCTCATCAACTTCTTTTGGTTCATCTTTTTTCTGAATTAAGCAATAAACGAGTTTTAGAAACTGAAACATCTTTTTCACAATTAATCAAGCATACCTCAACTTTTTTTTGACTTCCCCAAAGTGTTGATAAAGTGGTGACTTGAACTCTTCTTGGTGCTGCTTGAGATTTAGGTTGTGTGACACTACTTAAGGTAGTCAGTTGAACGCGTCTTGGTTTTAGATTTCCTGCTTTTTCGGAAGTTGCTGGTGAGATTGTTACCTCGTTTGATTTAGCTGTTTTCGGTGTATCATTCAAATTTTGTGTAGGTTTCGTTTTCTTCAAAAAAATAACAAGAAACTGAAAAATCTAATTCTTAAACATCAATTTGCTTAATACTAACAGAAGGTGTCTGTTTAAGTTCCAGAGTGTTTGAACTGCCTCCTTCTTCATCATCTTTGATAGTTTGAGGTGTTTTTAAATTATCTTCACTGCTTTCAGTCCTCTGTAATAAGATAGCAAATATATATACATAAGCTTTCATGGAAAAAGCTGGGGTTGAAAGACATACTGATAAATTAATACTCTGATCGGCGTCTTCGCCGTCAGCATTTTTTTCCGATTCCGATATATTATTCGATAAGTTTGAATCTTGTCTTCCATAAGATAATATTGGTGGCTTTTCATAAAATTCACCTAATTCTCCCTTTTCAAATGTGACAATAGAAACATATCCGTCTGATGAAGCAATAATTAGAAGTGTCGCATCAGCAGACCAAGTAAGATCAGTTAGTTGCTGATAGTGAATATTGCTAATTAATGAAAACGGATGAGTTTGCTGTGTATCGTATAAAACAACGCTTTCCTCTGAAGCTACTGCAAATATCATTCTATAGGGCAAACTAAAAAAATCCTGATTAGTTGTGAAATTTTTAAAATACCTAACTTATCGATATACTTACTCAAATATTTTATTGCCAGCTTCTGGCTCCCTAAGCTTGAATAATTTAGGACAGAATCTTACAGCAAGTGTTGTTTTTCCAATGACTGGTAAATGCATAATGGGCCTATAAGGGAAAGAAATTTATATCTGTAATAAAATATATATCAGTAAATAATTAAAGTTAAATACTTAGTCCAAGAGTGTCTTCCTAATACAAATGTTGTGTTTACATTGTCATTTTCATCGCATTCAACATAACCAGATGGAACTACTAATAGGTTTCCGTCTGGTGAAAAAGAGAGCCGTCGAAAAAATGACTTCATGGTATCATCATAGAACATTTTTCTTAATTTCTCTTTATATGTCCATTTAACGATTCTATATTGGCAACTTTTACTTTGGACATTATAAATTCGACAGACTCTATCGGCACAATGAGTTGCTATATATACTCCTTTTGGATCAAAAGAAACACCTTGCACAAAACTCTTATGCTCCGGAAATATTGCCAAGCGACATGCTGGTATTTTTAAAATTATATATTTAACAAGTATTAAACTAAAACATTCGAATATGTTACCTTTTTTCACATCCCACAGTATAGCACTATTATCGATAGAACCAGAAATCAATTGTTTACCATCAGAAGACCAACTAATATCATAAATATCACCTAAATGTCCTCGCAAGACTTTTCCAGACACCCATACTTCAGTTATTTCTCCATCATCTTCTTGTAGAGTATTATTACTAGTTGCCGATGTACTACTCAACTTCCAAATTATAATTGCGTTATCTGTGAAATATTCAGGTGAATTGTGTTTATATTTAACCCTCTTTGCTCACCATCTCCACCAGAAGCTAAATAATGACCATTTGGGCTAAATCGAACCACGTTAACAGCTTTAGAATGTCGCAATAAACTAGATAAGAATTCCACTTTTACTTTATAGTCATCATGAAAACTTATATTCCATATCTAAAGAAAAATAGTGATAAAAGAAAAATAATTGTTACTGCTAAATGAAAACAATTTAAATATACTTACTCTAATAACTCTATCAGGACCACAAGTTGCTAATCTTTGAAGTTCGCTGCCTTCTTGAGGAGGCTGTAAATCACAGGCGTATATTGGATCTCTGTTATGCCAAGCAATTTCAGGTGTCACCAATTTCATTATAATGCGATTTTAAGAATCTGCTTTAAAATAGGACACGTTCAATTTCTTTCTTCCTTAATATTTTTGATGATGCTGATCCGCGGCACTAATGAAATAATTATGAAATTATTCTGACTTCTGCGCGAAATGATAACAGATTTTTATTATTTCACAGGAATTATGAAAGAAAAATAAACGAGTGGCTATTTCCCGCCAATGTTTATCGAGATCAGAACCATTTGTTTGCAAAAGCCGTAAAATATAACGTTATACAAAATCTAAAATTAAAAAATTTATTAAATTATATAAAAAAAATACAGCTGACTTACTTATAAAATATTTTATTTTAATTTTCTAAATTTCCTGTGCGCATGCGCTTTGAAGCAGTCGTTTTCGAACCGGCTGCGTTTTATTGTTTTTTTTTTAATACCTGAAGTTTCGCAAAAGATCTATTCTAAGATGTCTTTTAAAGGTGGAGGTAAAGTTCAAAAGATGATGGTTCAGCCGATCGTAAGTTATTTTTTACTCAAGTCCAAAAATCACGTTATTAAATATATGTTTATTTTTTCGCTCAATTTAGAACCTCATCTTCAGGTATCTGCAAAGTGTAAGTAGAGATCTAACTTTTCTTTTCATTCAATTACAATTTAAAACTTTTTATTTATTTAGCGAGCAAGAGTTTCTGTCTGGTTATACGAACAGGCGAACTCAAGAATTGAGGGATGCATTGTTGGCTTTGATGAATACATGAACATAGTTCTAGATAACTCCGAAGAGATTCACTTAAAGACCAAGAATCGAAAAGCTTTGGGTAAGTAGTTTATATGTATTCTATTCAATTGAGAATTCATTTGAAGAAATCTTTTTTTATTAAAGGAACATTCATTCAGACTTTTTAATCTAACAGGGAGAATTTTGTTGAAGGGTGATAACGTCAGTTTAATTCATCAAGTTGGAGATCAATAATCACAAACTTATTTTATATTTTTTTTTGTTGTGTATTTTTTTTATTTGACTTTAAAGGAAATAAAATTTTCAGTTCAACATAAAAATAATTCTATTCAGTTTCAAATTCCTTATATTTAGCGTGCAAGGGATATTCAGCCCCAATTCCAATATTGAAGTATACAGCATCTTTTGGAGGCGGGTCCATAGGTTTCAATCCTTGTTTCTTCCTTTCATTTTGAATTGCATAGTATCTTTCTATGGTTTTCGTTCTGAAGACACATTCTCTTAAATCCTCAAACATTTTTCTACATTTTGTGTCAACTTGTTTTTCACCAACTCTCGATGCGCATCTATAATAATCCAATTCTAAATCGGCACAAGGACCAAACTGATAAGTGAACCAGTGCTCAACTATTTTTGTAAGAGGAGTATAAATGAACGGTCCTCGGTCTCCCGCTTGAAGTCCAGATAACTCGTCGTATTCATTAGGCGATAAGTTTCTGGCTGGCTTGAACATTTTCCTGAAAGCGTCACATTTTGTAATTAAAACAAAAAACGAGTGTGTTGTTCATTGAATACTAATATAAGGAGAAATATATTTTAGTTTAAATCAAATAAACTTAAAATCTAAAATGCACTTAATTGATTCCAATGAAGATTTAATAATTTATATGTATTAGTCAATTGGGTCTAATTATTAAATAGCTTTTTATTACAATTGTTTTACGGTTTTTACCTTGCAGCCGAACGACCTTGTTTTCAATATGGAGTAAGTCACGTGACAAGGATCATATAGTGAGTACAAATGGCGCGAAGTTTGAATTAGAGCAAAACTTTTAAGTTTATTGTTTTTATTTTTCTTTGTGTTAAATAAATAAAGACGTTATTTTCTTGTTGGAATGTTTAAGTTAAACTATTTAGTAAACAAAATACACATTGAAAATTAGTTAATTTTTGTTTTTAATAATTTCCTTTTTATATGTTTCTTATGTTAGTTAGTTGGCAATAAAAGATGATGACAAAGAAGCGTCGAAACTTATTGACAAAGATAATAAAGTTTTAGTTTGATTTGTTTCTTAACTTTATTCTAGGTCATTTCGGACGTTGAGGATACGTCGTCTCTTTTAGATGAGCTAGCACCTTCTACTTGGCTTCTTGCAGGCTTCTTGGGAGGACTAACGACATCAATTGTAACTGGACCATCATTTTGTATATGTACTTGCATATCCGCACCAAATAGACCATTTTTAATTGCTTCTGGTTTGTAATTTTTCTTCATTTCATCAAGAAATTCATTGTAAAATTTTTCGGATTGTTCCGCAGTCATTGCATTATGAAAGTCTGGTTTATTTCCCTTGAGTACGTGATACAGGGTAAATTGACTAACGCATAATATTTCGAGATTCAAATCTTTTGCGCTTTTAGCCCATCTTTTTCCATTTTCATCATCAAACACACGAAGATTAAGAATCTTCCTAACAATAAACTCCATATCCTTTTTGTTATCGTCACGAGATATTCCAACGAGGACACAAAGACCCTTACCTATTTCGCTTACCACATCGCCATTTACTGTAACTTTAGCGTTTAATACGCGCTGGATTAGAGCTTTCATTGCTTAATTTCGGTTTTGATTCTGTATTCCGCGCAAAATGGCGGAGTATTCAATAAAGACTGGTAGAGATCATTATTTCAGTCATTTCTTTATTTATAAATCGAATGCTTCTCCGAGGAACGGGAGTCCAGGACAACACGTTTCATAAACTTCCGGTTACGTTGAAGCAGACAGCTGATAATATGATTAGTTTGGAAAAAAGATATATAGCGCATCATTTAAAATAAAATAAATTATATTAGATAATAATATCAAGTAGAGCTTACGAGAGAACTTATGGGATTGAAGACCATAACAAGAGTATCGTTTCTTGATAAAAAAGATGTTTCTCGTAAAGCTCTAATTATTCTGATTAGCCTTGTTTTTAGCTTATGTCTAATAGCAGTCGTTTTCTCACACAAATACTGGATTAATCACATTAAAGAGCATACTATACTTGGTAAAAATGCAAGTGAAATATCAGGTTTGTATTTTAGAGTATGGATCATTAGAAACATCCAAGTTTAATTGTTCTTTGTCATTAGTTCCGTTTGAAATATCCAACGAAAAGTTGATAATAGAGCTGGGCAGTAAGTCTTTGATAACAATTAAGACAAAGTAATATAACGTTAATTAACCAATTGTAACTATAAATAAAATTTTTGTTTTTCTACTTTCAGAGATAAAATTGTTACAAAGAAAACAGATATAAAAGTTACATTTGATAATAATAATTTAATTGATACGGTATCTTCATTCACTATTAAGCCTATTCAATCTCAAAAAATACTACTTCCATTAAAAACAAAAAATATTAGTGGCCACTGCCTAATGACGTTTGAATCAAGCTCTAAAGAAATAAAGAATCTATATAAAATTCAAATACATATAGCAGTTGTTCATAAGATACTATTAGGTTATTTGTCCTTATTTATTGGTTGGTCATATTTTTTAGCATGGAGTTTTACGTATTATCCACAAATTATAAAGAATTTTCGAAAAAAAAGCGTTGTTGGCTTAAGTATTGACTATGTTATTCTCAATTTTGTTGGTCATATCTCCTATTTAACTTTCAATGTAGCCTTTTTTAAAAACTCTTTCATACAGGTAATATTTCTATATTTCATATAAAAAACTATAATATTTAATAACCTTTTAATTACAATTATACAGTTAAGCTACCTACACGATCATCCAAAAACAGCCATTCCAGTTAAATTGAATGATGTCTATTTCTCTTTCCACGCCGTTATTATGACGTCGATTATTGTTTATCAATGTTTGTTTTATGAGAAAAAGGATCAGGAACTATCCAAGTTTTCATTTGGTATTTTAGCAATAATATTTTCTTGTTTCATTGGACTCTGCTATTTTGCGTTAATAGAAAAAATTACTTGGCTAACTTTAATATATTTCTGTTCATTAGTTAAAGTTATTATAACGCCAATTAAGTATTTCCCTCAGGTAAAACAAACACCAATTGATACCTAAAATATTAATAAAACAGTATATACGATTATTTATATAAAGAATATACTCTTACAGGTATTGCTCAACTATCAAAGAAAGAGTACGTCGGGATATGCAATTCAAAGTGTTCTTTTAGACGGAGGTGGTGGATTATTGAGTTTTCTTCAGATGATAATAGATGCTTTTAATAACGGTTAGTAGAAACAGACAATGTAAATATATGTTAATTTATTTATAAAGTGTACTATTAAGACATTTTATTAATATTTTATGAAGATAATTGATCGTCAGGATATAAAACCTGAAAATTCATATTTACATATATTGTATATATCTATCTAATAAGGATATTAGCTAGTCAGATGTAGTTGTTTGATAATCCGAGATCTTATTGTATTAGTAGAAAGTAAATTAGCTGAAATCTCTATAAGTATAATAGCTAAGGATAGGCGAACTAATAGTCATTATCATAAAATAATTTAACAAATAGATTAATACTATTTTCTTTGGCAGACGATTGGCAAACAACAATTGGAAATCCAGGCAAACTATGTCTTGGTTTAATATCAATTTTATTTAATGTAATCTTCTTCGTTCAACACTTTTTTCTATATGGAAAACAAACTTTGAAGATATAATTTGATGAAGATAAAGATTTTCTATGAATATATCAATAAATTAATATTTTACTTTAAAAATATAAAGTATATAGAACACAGAAATAATATTAAAATGTGTATTTTCAATATAAACATTTCTTGCGAATTAATCGAAATATCTTTAGAGGATATGTATACATAATTGAAAAGCCTATAATCTAGAGGGATTATTGAGCAAACTTTTTTTTATTTTTAAGCATTTTACTAAGGTCGATAGCGGGAGAAAGAGGAGCAAAAGTGATTGACGACAACATCGATTTCGATGCGCAAACAAAAAAGCCGACAACTATAAAGATCATTATCTATTCGGCTTATCACGCTTGGTCTATTTGTAATGGGCGATAGGCGTCGTTAACGTCTGAAATATTACACAATACGTCAATCCTTAACAAGAGCCGTTTGTCAATAGTTAGCCATCTGATCATGAATTTTCAAGATGTGAATAGTTCCAAGAGGAAGCTGGCGCATAGGAAACCGATAGATAACTGCATAAAGGTAAATAAAGTATATACCACGTATACATTTGCAAATATTTCAGTTTTTTAATAAACTCTAACTACTAGTTAAATATCTAATCTCTGAAACTTGTTTAATTAACTTTTTCTTTCATTCTCTTCTCTTCTAATATCTTGTTTATTCTCTTAACGATTTTTTCCCTTTATTTAAGAAAATTTACCTTATTTATTACTTTTATAAATTTAAAGAATAAAAAGAGTTTAACTAGATATAATTCAATTTTTTACTCTATTTTTAGATATTTGAAAAATAAAGCCTTTTATGACAACTTTAGAGCTTGATAAATATTAAAAAACTTATTGAAAAAGCAATATAAATTTTCCTTTGTTAAATGCCGATAGATAATTCTTTTTCAAATGCTGTAGCATTGTTTTATAAGTTTTTTTAATTTAAAAAAACGAAAATTCTTTTTTTTTAAAAAAAAAATAAATTTTCCCTTCCTTCCTTCTTTCTTTCTTTCTTTAACGTGGGAGAGAAGCTTAAAATTTTAGTCTATGTAAACTTATTCAAACTAAAAATACATTTAAAGTACTCTAATAAGTAAATATTTGCTAATGATTACTCAAAAGATTGTTTTTCAACTATAGTCATTTAAGAACTAAAAATTTTTTGTAGGATAGTTTGATCTTGTCATTTAGTTAAAAATTTGATATTTTATTATTAATTATCAATAGGCCGATTTAAAGAATCGAATAATCGCGGCTAGATGGCAACTACATAGAAAATTATTGGACAAACAAAAAGACAGAGTGGTATTTGATATTGAAAAAGATAAAAGGCAAATTGTAAAAGCTTTGAAAACAACTTTAAAAACTTCTGGAATTAGCTCTGAAGGATTGCCACTGAGAGGACAGAGTGATAGGAGCGTTAAAAATTGCGATTATTTTAAATCTATATATACTCTCTCTGAAAAAAGACTCAGAAAATGGAGAATAACCGAAAGACATTTGCAAAAGCAACTTCTTTTAAAAGAGGAGGAAAATGAGCTAAAATCAGAGGAAGAGGCCATCGGGAATCTTAAATCTTTGTTACTTGCTTTGGGTGAGAACGAGGAAGACGTTGAAAAGGTTTTAGCAGAGAAAGATCATCAAAATAAAGCTGTTAATAGACTACGACGCTGCACCAGTGCTGGAGTTGTTAGGGAGAAAGCACAACCGATAAGACGACCTTTATCATCAACAGCTGTTAGAAACAAGGTCTATTGTACCGGAAAGCTAACAGAGATTGATGAAAAAGTGATAAGAACTCCTACTTCTCCAATCTTATCATCTAAAAATAGCGTTAAATTAGAAGAATCTCAAGAAAAACCAATTAAGTCTATTCAGCGACCTTTATCATCTGTTGCTCCAAGTAAAGGCAACCGAATGGTGTTCGAAAGAACAAAGTCAATTATTCGCCCCTTGTCGTCTGGAAACGTACAAAAGAGTGTTCATTTTGTGGACGACGACGAATCAGAATATGATAATGAAGATAGTGAAAGCGTTACGGAAATCGAAGGTGCTAGAATACCCCAATGGAAAAGAGATCTGATGGCCGAAGCGCCACCTGGAGTATTTACACAAAAGTCATCTCTTAAAGTTGCACTAGCCATTTCAAAACGGCAAAGAAAGAGAGAATTAGATAAACTTGTAGATGAAAATATTAAAGATCCTAAGACAATTATCGAGAGAGAAAAAACAAGACGACAATTTTCAAGACTGGGCGTCTATATGGCGGTTACGGCGGTCAGAGAAGTTGGCCAGGCAGGAAAATCGCATAAAACAAACTTTTTAGATAACAAACACGTAGATGCTGCTTACAATTACAGCGTTAAAAGGTTATTGTAAGACTTAAAGAGTAGTGATTAAGATATTAAATATCGAATTACTAGTAATTTGTCTAAGGAATCCAAACACGACCAAAAATGTTGAAAATATTAGATAACTTCTAAATTTATATTGCTTTATACTGCCTCATTCATAACTTGTTGCTTAATGGTATTCAAAATTAATTGGATAATGACAAAAAAATTTTTATATATACATTTTATATTTTAGAAAAACCGGTTTTTTTCAAATTGAATCAATTACTGTTTTTCTCGAGCCTGCTCGTCGTTATTTTCATCACTAATCTGATCTTCCTCGTGAGAAATGGCTTTACGTATCCTACTAACAGTATTATCTTCATCATTCATAACTTTAGAACCTGAAAAACAATAAAATTTAATTTACAAGTGAAAGTTTAGCATAGAAAATTATTAGTCAGTATCTACCTATTAACCAAATATGGCTCTCTTAATTTTTTTTAGTATACCCTCATTTTCATCAGAATCCATGCTTTGTCCTTTTACAGGACTTTCACCTCCACCGCCATTATCCTTTGTGCCTGCAAAAGTAAAAGCAGGCTAGATAAACAAACTTATATACATTGATGTGGTTTTATGAACAATATTAAAATCTTTCTGAGAAATGGCGGTAGGGTAGGTTTTATATTATTAATATACGTCTTACTAGCCTAATAACTTATTTCTATTCCATATAATATAGTAATTAGCGTATTAAAATCTACTAACCTTCTTTTGTTGATGTAATACCATTTACAGTTCCTTTAATATTCGTCTCCATCTCGGCAAATGCTTTTACAAGTGCCGTTTCCTCTTTCGTTAGTTTCCTAAAGTAATAGAAATGATTTAAAATGATATTATACAATTGAATTTTTTTTCATACTTAGGAATATTGATTTTAATGTGGACGTAATAGTCTCCATAACCGTAACTATTTGCTCTTGCAATTCCTTTACCTTGTAAACGAATTCTTGTATGGGAAGATGTACCAGGTGGAATTTCCAACAATATATCATCATATATACCAGCGATTCTAATGTTACCTCCCAGAATAGCTTGAGAAAGTGATATTGAAACGTCTGCGTGAACATCTGCACCATCTCTTTTAAAGATTTTACTCTTTTCAACCCTAAATGTTATAAAAACTTCTTTGGTTCCAACAGTCATTCTGACTGTCTGACCATCTTGAACACCAGCGGGAACAGGAACAACAATTCGTTTTTTTTGTACAGTTTTTCCTTTACCAGAGCATTCGAAACAAGGCTTTTCTAGTATAGTCCTTGCACCTCTGCAGTGTCGACAGGTAGAACGCATCATAAACGGTCCTGTATTAAATGTTTCCATTCCCGTACCTATAAATATATTCACAGTATATAGATGTTAATTACTTCTGATGGAATATTAGAACATAATTTAATCATTTAAGAATACATACCATTGCAATGATGACATTTTACTGTTTTGGAGCCTGGTTCAGCTTTTCTTCCTCCACATCTAGGACAATTATCTGTAACATTAAGTTCTATTTCTTTATTTACGCCACGGGCAGCTTGTTGAAAAGTTAAATTCATGGAAACCTATTTCAAAAGAATCTTTAATATAATTTAATTATCCTGAAAGTTGTTATTGCCTACCTCCGACGCTGCAGCAAATCCAAAATTACTTTCTGCAAAATCGTTATTATCGAAACCACCCATTCTGAAACCTGCATTTCCAAACATATTCTTAAATAACTCTTCCGGATCAATAGATCCATGAAAGTTTTGAAATCCAGCTCTTCCTTGGTGAAAACCTGCTCCAGGGCTGCCATAGCCTTGTTGACCATCACCCATTCCGAAAGTATCATATTGCTGGCGTTTAGAATCATCACTTAAGACTTCATAGGCTTCTGATACTTCTTGAAATTTCTTTGCAGCCTCAGGATCATTTTTATTCATGTCAGGGTGAAATTTTTTTGCCAGCTGTAAATAATATTAAAGACTAGAATGATTAACCGGTATATATTTTGAACTAAACCTTATAGTAGGCTTTTTTTATGTCTTTTGAGGCTGAACTTTTTGGAACTCCTAATACTTCATAGTAATCTCTTTTACTTAATACGGAAGATGTTTGAAATTGACGATCTAAGGAAAAAAAGAGCAAGAGATTTCAGATTGCAAAAATCACGTGTGTAAATTGATGGTCACTTACGGTTGAATAGTTGGTTTGTTGTTATATGATTTGCATTATTTACTGACTGAGTACTTTTAATTCTAGGAAGTCCCTTATATTGTAGAGCAAAAGTGCTAAATTCTGTTGTAACACGATAATTATTTAAAGTTTGAAATTTTGTCAAGGTTCTTCTGATGGCCGCCATTTTGCAAGACATGAAAAGCGATAGGGATATTATATCAATTATACTCTAACTTAAGGAATTTTGATTAAATATATGTATTATAATTTTTTACAATATTTCTTTATTTTTCAGATTTTTTAAAAGAAATAATTAAAACTTTTACAGATATCCCTGTCTCCAGTATTTTTAAAGCTAGCTAACCAGATGTCACTAGTGTTGATAAAGAATGTATAGTATTATGTAAAAGTTTGATGTTCTTTTTACTATGAAGTATCTAAACTTCAGTAATTACATTAATATTCTTATAGAGTACATTGAGCTATATTTAAGTTAGAGTTATGTAATTGTTTTTTATTATGTATGCAGTTTTATATTCAATAAAATTGAATTCAATTTAATAAGTAACATATTTTTTGAAAGTTTCTTCTAGAATGCACGTTTTCTTTACAAAACTTGAATTGAACATTAGTCTTCATCCCATGGTTTTTCCTTAACAATAAATCTACTTCTTGCAAACTTATGACCCCAATAATTTCTTCTCAGTCTCTTATTATTTATTCGTTTATATAAGTACCAAATATGTTTTCTTAATCGGTGATACTTTTCAGGCTGAGTTTCTTGTAGCCATTTGCCTTCGTGACGTAATCTTTCGTATAATCTAGTTATTTCATGAGTCTCTTTATGTCCTCTCAGCCATACAGGGGCGGTAGACAATTCCCAAGGTTTAACGTCACCATCTCCAAGAATATCTATTAAATTTAAAATAGTAAAACCTTTAAACTTTACCACTTAATGGGACGTAGTTAATTAACCTATATAATCGTTTTGTCCAAAATTGGCCTTTTCTTTTGTCCATTGCTCTCTTTTCCATGGTTCATCTTTGGGCAATGGAAGGGGTTTATCTTTGTATTCACCTTCCTTTACTCTAGGCAGTAAACCTGTTTTGTTCATATTACAAAATTATAACTATGTTTTTAAAAAAATACTATTAAGAACAAAACCTCCGGTGAAGTAGTTTGGCTTATATCCATAACGCCATTTCAATCTCGGTTTATAGGGTGAAGCAACTTCATATTCGGGATAAGGATCGTATGAACTTAATTGCGAAGAACAAGATGAAAACGACCGAAAGACGTTACATTTTGACAGTATACTCCCAAAATATGATATCGACCTTGTCAAACTCATGCCGGCGAATTTAAAGAATTCTTCGAAAACAATTTTACCGAAATATTCATCAATGCACCAGTTAATGTCAGCAGATTTGTAGAAAGTTTTTATCATGATAAAACTAGATCTACTAAAGAATTTGAAACTCTTTATCACAGATATTTATAACATATTTTAAATTAGTATAAATCCAAAACAAGTTAATGTCAAGTAAACTTGATAAGAGGTATCAAGGTAAAGTTTATGAATATCACTGTTTCATTTGAAATTTAATTAATATGATTAATTTCCCTATACCCAAATATGCCTACGATATAAATTGTATAAAAGATAATAATAACATTAAAATACAGTCCAGCTGTAAAAAAGACAGAAAAGAGAAAAAAAAGGACAAATATTCAATGCAATAGAAATGAACATTTTCAAAAACACAGTTATCATGGCATTAGAAAAATTATACTTGTTTTAAATATATAAATATATATAAACATATATATAAAGATATATGTAAGAAAGCACAACAAAAGTATTTTTTTCGGTTTTTTTTTCAGTTTTTATATACAAAAAAAATTTACCGATTAAGCACAAAACCTTATGGACACATTTTTAAGTTTTTCGTTACACTTAAAAGTGAGCATTTCTGTTTTTGTAGAAAGTTAGTTTAATAGTTAAACCATTCAAGTCCAAGTTGTACAAGGGTAACCAGGATAATTAGAAACTGGAAAGGAGATTGTATATTGCTGACTTTCATTTTGTACATCGATTTGTATCGGTTGTGTAGAAATCAATTGGCAGGGGATTGTTGTTGGACTATTAACTTCGCTATTAGAGTTATGAGACGGAGAAGTCGGCGATGAACACGGAGTAGTTGGCTGCTTCGTCTTAATTATATCGTAAGGATTGAACCTGAAATTCAAGTTATGATAATTAAGTATTTAAAGCAGAAGAATTTACAGGCAAACAACCTTTGGCTTTGGTAGGTATCCCTATTTGGTGAAGATCCTTTCATAGCACTCCTGGATGATGACGACGAAGTAGAAGAAGCAGACGAGGACGACCCAGCACCCTTTTGAAGATTTAATAACTCAGCATACCGAATGTACAAAGCAACGAAAATAGCTAGATGAATTAATCGACTAACTTACTTTTTTAGAATCATCATAATTCTTTGATTTACGTTTTCTATGCGATCCATTTATTAAATGATATGGATAGTCGAAGTTTCCTTTTGAAGTAAAGCTAATCTTTTTTGCTGAAGTGTTCAAGTTAAGCTTGCTTGAATCAGTATTAAAGTCGGTTAGAAGAGAAGATAGAGGTGTCATTTCTCGACTTTTTTTCGCTGATTTTTTATTATAACCTGAAGAGTTAATTGAACATTAGTACTTTCAAGTGTGCTTAAACCATTAAAAAAGTGTTTAACCTTGAAATTGAACATAATGAAATGACGTTTTTCTTTTTCTCGCATCAGATGGAACAACTACAACCTGACTTTCGGTAGAAGTAAAGGATCTAGTACTGTGCCACGTATAATTAGACATTTTAGTATTTATTGTAATAGGTGTGGATACTTCAGGCGAAGGAGATCCTTCGGGAGTATCGATTTCAATTTCCGTTTTTACATTTTCCAATTCGGTTAAACACGGCAATAAACTAGCACAATTATTAGAATCAATTAAAGAATTTGGTGGAGATTCACCAAACGGAATAAGAGTTAAATCGCTCGGATAATTCCAATCTCCAGGTGCACCCAAAAAATTCTGGTCTGGTAAAAGACTTGGTGGTGTAGTCACATCTAGGGTAGTCGACAAGCCAAACAAATCATCAGTAACTTTTCTATTTTGCGGTGTGTACATTTCTAAAATTAGCAAGAATATAAAAAAGAGGTGAGATTAATTAAAACCAATTTTATCTACATCATAATATCTATAAATACAGTGTATATATATATACTTTATATATGTATATTTCATATTTTAGTAATAAATACCTAATTGTATTTCTATGAAGTTTTTACTTGTTAAATATATATACAATCTGTATATATTTAAATCAAGTTGTAAATGTATATTTAATATATACTAAACACATATCTTATATCTCTCTTCTCTTCTTTTATAATCGAATCTACAATAATAACATAAAAAGAATTCATTTCGATTTAAACGAACAATTAAAGATTTATATTTTAATTTTCCTCTTTTTAATTTTTATTCAAATTCAATCCGAAGGAGAAAAACAATTATATAAAATTATCAATGTTACAATATAAATTTCACTGATATTTCTCTATATAGTATACATGTTTATATATATACAGTATATATATAATACTTAATTATAATTGAAAGTTCTTTATAATTTACAGTAGTTTTGTTATATTATCAAAAAATAATTTTTGTTATGTTACAAAAAATTTATATAATACTTACTGATTTTTTTTTTCAGGTTTCAATAACTGGCTTGACAATTTGTTGTTTAAGCTACGTCCTGGACTTGAAAGCGGTTGAGTAGATAAGTCACGTGATATTTTTAACTTTGATTGGTTAGGTACTTAATTACAGCCTATACTAGTATTCCTAGGCAATCTGAAAATCGAATAAAAAAACTATATTTCCAAATTCCTCCTATCTATATATCGATATTATATAATAAAATATATCTAAATACGATAGATAGTCAATTGAATATCTTTTCTTATTCATTACTGATGCCATATAATGAACAAAAAAAAAAGATCAATTATTGACTATTCACCCTCTATTTGCCAATTTAATAAAACAGCTATATATAAAAAAGTTAATGATATATATAATTTATAGTTATAGATATTTTATAATATATACAGTATTTATATATATTTATATTATGTTCATTTAAGCATTTAAGCAACTACTTTCTTATATAGAATATACCAAAAACAACTACCCTGATACTTTTTTTGTTGAATAAAGCAACCACATTGACTTTAATGTTGGGTTTGAATAGCAAAGACGACTTGTTACCAGGTCATTGGAAAAAACATTACCTAGGGAAAGAGAAACTGTTGACCTAAACCACCACATTGTTAAAAATAGAACAAGCGAAAAGCTGTTTGGAAAGCAATAAATAGTCAATATTAAAGAAATGATATTGAACTACGGAACTCGACTGTGCTCAGTAGAAGAGATGATACAATGGGTTTCAACTTCTCATTTCAAGTTTAAGTTAATAATATCAATCAGTAAAATAAAAAAATTTATTTTTGAAGGGTTACAATAATTTTATTTATCTTTTCTACGTGTATAAAAGAAGTCACGTATTATATCAGAGATATTGACCGTAGACAGTTCATTTGAAATAATGCACAAAATGTTTGCTACGATTTTTATTACATTACACATAGATATACAAAAACAAGAGGCATGTCTTAAAGATATATAACATTATAAACATAACAAAATGTAACTTTTAAAAGGCGAACCTCGTTCTCATATCGTCCAATTTCTTAGCTACATCAGCTGGTGTTCTATCTAATTCCAAGGCGATACTTTGTTGTCTCGAAATATCCAACGATGAATACATTTCACATAAATCACCATCAATAACATTACGTATCGGGAAATAATAACTTCTAAATGCTAGATGATCCCTCCCACAGAGAGGTGCTGATTCTTGTCTCATGTGCATTTCTAGATGCTGTAAGAAATCGTAATCTTCGTGTGAGGTAAGCGGAACCAGTACCCCTATACCTCCTGAAATTGTCGTATAAACTATACATTCAGAACCCCCTGGAACAAGGGTTGATTTTTGTAATGATGTAACCATCTCTCCTATATGAGCTTCGCAAACGGAGACAAGTTTATGTGGGGCACCATTCAATACACCTCTCTCCCACAAAGCTCTCTGGCCACTTGGATCATCGTCAAGGTCATCATTTACATCTGCTGGCAATCGAAGAATTGAAATATTTCCAAATTTATCGGCGGCGGCAACTGTTGAATAGTCAATCAAAGCACAACAAGTTATATATCTGGGAACTGTATCATCGCAAAATATGTTAAGGGTGTTATCTCTTCTCTTGTATCTCAACCAATGAATAGATTCTTGAACGTCTCCAACCACAATACGTGATCCCATTGATGTAATTGAAACAATCTGTTAAGAAAACAATATTATAAATCATCGAAAAGTGAATTTAATTTCATGGGATACCTGATAGGGTAAATGTTTATTTTCACATTTTCTAAGTAGTTTCTTCTTCCCTAAATCATAAATTCTTAAAAGCTTTCCTACGCCAACCAAAAGTCTTCCCTCAAATGGAGCCATCGCACTTGGATTATCTTCCACCGGAGTTTTATGAACTAATTCCAATCTTGAAAAGTTATCTAAGAGAGCATAAGTAAGGAGATATGAATTCTCACTGGATCTCGGTGCAAGAATCAACTTCCTCACTACGCCTACAACAACAAACCACATTTCTCCACCTCTTTCAGTAAATTTTAGCATAGCCAATGATACAGCAGCTTCATCTTGAGGCAATTGTACAGTTGATACAATTGAACTAGTTAATGGGTTCATAATTTTTATTTGACTAGCCCAACAACCTAGGCCAGCTTTAGGACTCCCGAAAACCACATCAGGCAACTTTTCATTCAGAAATGATGTGGCCATTTCAGCTGCTAATTGTTGTTCTTCTTCTCCAGCGGCCTCTACCATTTCTTCTGCCATTTGTTGTTTCCTCTGCTCTCTAACCTCGTCCGTATAGGCATTATGGTCCGTTTCAATAAGGACAATTTGACAAGTCTCGTAATGAAGAACAAATTTTCTAGGAGTAAGTGATAATTTCGTGGAAACATGATTGAAAACGACACCTAACTTGTCTAAAGCCAAAATTCTTAAAGTATTCGTTGCAATTGCAACAACACCTTCAGGACACTGTTCAGACGAAAATCCTGCGGCATATTCAAGAGCTTCATACGAAAGAGGTGTTAAATGTTGTCTTCCGTGATACGAGTATGATAGCCAAGATCTGGATGATACTGCTAAAACTGCGCCATGTCCTTGTACTTTTATAGTAAATAACTTCACTGGTCTCGAGCCCAAGTATCTTGTGCGAGTGTCTGATAGATCACCTGTTACTCTATCAATTTGTGATCTTAATAAAACTCCATTGTGTAGTCCCATATTTAACATCAATCTGAAAAAAAATATTTCTAATTTAAAAAATTTCTATGATTTTACTCGAAAAAAAGAACCTTGGCGCTGAATCATCTTTTCCACCAAGATCTGATCGAACTTCCAACATGCAAAGCGACTCAGCCAGAGCAGGTAGAGCCTGCATTGCCAATGGTGATAGGCAGTCATGAGGATCCAGAGATATAAGTCTAACGGTATTATCTGACAAGCCCACAGCCAAAAATCGACAACGCTGCTCATCTTGGGGAACTTTTGATAGACACATAGATACAATATCAGAGGGCATATTAGTCCTTTCAGTATATTCATTTAGCTGTCCTGAAGAATCCATTTCAAAATAAACCAGTTCCGTGTGGGAAAGTGCAATAACGACTTGGCGTTCATTCAAAGCACACTTAGAAATAGCCTTTTTTCCTGGAGTCTTCCACTCATTAACTCTTCTATCAGCTCTTATATGACGAATTCCATGAGGATAAACCTAAATTTTTTAAAGATTTATATTGTATGATCCGATGATTTTGAAAGAATTTTTCTGATTTACCTGAACAAGGGCATCATCTCCCAATGAAGAACAAGCCAATGTGGGCGTTGTTCCCAAGAAACCAGAATCAGTAACTTCCTCAACAGTATCACCAATAGATAAAACTAAGGTAGCATTCACGAAGGATACAATGATATATGCGTCAAATGGGTCGTGACTATTTTTTCGAACAGTCCATACAGCGTTGGGATTTCCTGGTAATTCGCTGACAGCCATTTCAGTCACTTCCAAACCGTGTCTTAATACTCTTAATGAACTCCTGGCACCTCGTCCGCAAGCTGTGTAAATTTGAGGAGCATCCTCGTTTGCAAGATCAGCAACGGCGGAGTGTATTAAAGGTGCGAGAGAGTCTATTTCGTCAACTAAAACTAAATTAGTTAATTCTCTTGGAGCAAAGAAAAAAGTATCTCCTTCATCTAAAGGCATACTAGACGAAAACTCAGGCTCCTCCTGAAATAGTTATTCATGTTATAATTATTAGTTAATAAATATTAGTCTTTCTATACCTCATCATCAGCTAAGTGAGCAATCTGATAAAGCGCATGCTGTCCAAATTCAGCAGCTACGTAGAGAAATCCAGTTTTCAGAACACACATAGCCGCGGCAACAGGTAATGTGTCAAAATATTTCATTCTCATTTCTGTAACCATGTCTTCATCAGTTTCCAGAGTTAGTTTAAAAACATCACCCTGTTCTGTCTGAACAAGGAAGAAAAACATATGTTTTGTTCTGTGTGTTGCCGCACAAACTATCAGCATTCCTCTTTCAGGATCGTCTAGATCGTTTCTTCTTCTCGGAATTGGGCATCGAATATCAGGCTGCTCTCCCCACTTTTTGTATGTTACATAGTTTTCAGCACACACTAAAACACCACTTGGTCCATCATTTCCTCCTGGAACAGGCAATAGAAGATTCGCGTGTTCGTCGAGTGATTCCGAAAACTTTCTTACTACATGGTTGAGGCCTAAATCTAATTCATAGTAAGTGAGCGATTGTTTAGTATTAAGTGCTGCTTGTCCTGAATGATCGTTATCTGCGGCCTCATAATCCATTTCTAAACAGGCAAACGTGGGGTTTTCAAAAGCAACGTCCACACCAACCATATGATAAACCAATGTTGAACCTAGAGAATAAATGGTACATTTGTTAGACTAAAATAATAGAAGAACAGATATATAAAAGGAATGGAGAATTTTTACAAATATCCAACCAGAATGCGGTTTCATGTTTTAGCATTACCTTTATGAGCTTCAAGGGGCGAAGATATTGTTAGTCTGGCTTGAGCATCTCTATTTAAAATATATACCAATTTTTGCTTTTCTACAGCTCCTATCATAACAGCTCTTCCCTTTGGATCAACTGCCAAATATTGGCCAGGCACAATTCTTCTGCAGCCACTTTTGCCAAAAGTTTCTTGATGCAATTTTTCAAATTGATTTTTTGTGGGAAGATATTCCAAGATTACGATTCGGCCAGAGTCTGATCCAATTATGAGGAAATCTTTCGATCCACCAACCAAACGGAAGGGCATCATGGAACGAATAACACCAAAAACATCGTGAGTAAGGAGTGAATGAACTTTTCCAGTGTTAGGATCTGGTCTTAACAGTTCTAAAATTTTTCCTCTTGATATTATAATTTCTTGTTGTTTACTATTCCCCGAGAAATTGCCATGGACGGCATGAGTTACTGTCGTTGCCCGTTGTAGGGTTAGTTGATACAGGTGCATGGTTTATCTGCAAAAGAACGAAATATTATATCTCCAATAAGACCTAGGACTACTCTAAAAATAATCCAATAAAAATACGATAACAAGGTTCATTACTATGGGAGATTATTTCATATTAATTATTCCCGGCAATCGTTAGATTCGTCTGCAATGATACACAAAAAACCTCAACACGAAGGGAATAACCGGAAGTTGTGAGCGATAGTGGAGACGCAAAATATTTTTGTAAGCTAGGATGTGATTGGCTATAGTTCAGTATTTAGCGAATGAACAACGAGTTAACATACATTTCAAGCGGCAACACATATATCGAAAGCTTCTCTCTACGAATAATCTTGCACCCGCTTCAGATAGTTCCGCCAATATCGCCCTGTCCTATGACAACTTTAAAAGAACACTCCGAATAAATATTTCATAAATGTTACCTTATTGATTGCAGCTTATTTAGTAAAATGCATTAATTTATTTAATCGATTTTACTACGACAAGCTAGATAATGAAAGATTTCCTGGCGAAGGCAACGACAAAAAGACGCTATTCTCAATAAAACATACAGATTATATCTATTTACCCGTTTTTTCGATTTTTAAGTCGCGCTCGTAAATTGACATCATCTTCATTTTCAAATTACTAATACCACCTAGAAAAGTCCTATCTAAAAATGTCATACCTTGCAAAACTAACATCTGCTAATGGGGCACTAAGTCGGATTCAATTAGGTGCTAAAATAGAAGAAAAAAGTCCTTTTCAAATGATTTTTCAATTCTTATTCCACATATTTTTTTACATAATGTTAAATTTGAAAATAACTTGCAACAGATCAAACCATCGAAGTGGAAGAGTTAAAAAATCTTGTAGATAATGAAGTTTGTATTTTAATTTCCAGTAAAAATGCCTTGCAAAGCATTTAACTCTAGATATCAACTTTAAAAGATCAGGCGAAAGAGACACAATCGAAGCTTCGAGAGATTGAAATGCACTATCGGGGAGCAAGAGACGAGCTTGTGAACCGACGCAAAGTTGTTCTTGAGGCAGAAATTAAACTAGATATGGTAACACAAGAACTTGGATCACTTAAACAACAGTGCGAAATGTTAAAAATATGGAATGTTGATCGTTTGCTGAGTAACGAAGGATATGAAATTATGAAGGAATATGCCTCAGCATGGAGCCTAGGATTGACGGGCAGAGAGCAAAGACTAAACTTCAACAATATTCTAAAAGATATATTAAATGGTCAAAATGTAGATTTTCTCTTAAATGAAAAACGAATTGACTTGCAGTCCATATTTAACCCAAGAAGAGATTTAAAAGAACAAAGGTATGAAGTTTAGTTTCTCTAGATTTTTCTAGATCCCTTTGACGTTTTTAAATTTAGGGGGAAATTTGGCAAGAGCTGGGAAGGTGTTGAACGATTAAATTTAGGTAAAACGAAAGTTAACAAAGCATCATCGAGACTTTAATCTAAATATTTGTTTGCCCTGCGTTTGTACAAATTTTAATCGGAAAATAAATACTTATTTCTAGTCACAAACAAAATTTGTATTGAAATCTTAAGCTCAATCTTCCTTAGCCGCTTTTCCAGTTAATTGTTTGGATCCTCTCAATCTTCCAGTACGTCTAGCGGCAATAAGACCGACCTGAAATTGAATGGTGAATTAAAAATAATGTTAAACGATATTTAAATATTATTGATGTTGTTGAGTGTCAGTAACAGCCTCTAAACAATCATCACATGATTACAGAAGTATAAAAGTCGTTTTTTTCGTCATACATAAAAATAAAGCAAATGTGAGCAAAAATTTCTGCTCGTATATCTGCTGGCTTTAAAAATAAATATGACATACCTTTCGTCCAGCTGATGTATCACGACGAACAGTCGAAGCCATACCAATATGTTGATGGTTACCACCACCGTGAGGATGTTCAACGGGGTTCATGGCAACACCTCTAACCTTAGGCCAACAGTTTCTCTTAACCTTATATTTATGGTAAGCCCGACCGGCTTTCAAAATTGGTTTGTCAATTCTTCCACCACCGGATACAATACCAACCATAGCTCTGTTTGATGATGGTACAACTTTCTTTACTCCAGATGGGAGCTTGACCCGGGTTCTCTTGGTATCAGTATTGTGGGAAATAACAGTAGCATAACCTCCAGATGATCTAGCCAATCGGCCTCTGTCTCCGGTTTTTTCTTCAAGACAGCAAACGACTGTACCCTCAGGCATTTGACCGATTGGAATAATGTTACCAATGTGAAGAGAGGCTAGCAATTAGCAAGGATACTTTAATTGAAAGGAATCATAAGCTAGAATTTACCTTTCTTTCCACAATAAATGAATTGTCCAGTGTACATTCCTTCGGCAGCAATGAATGTTTCAGTTCTCATCTTATATCTGTACGGATCCCGAAATGCAACTTTAGCTAAAGGAGCGCCACGTCCAGGATCGTGAACGATGTCCTAAAAATATTATTTTAAAAATGCTTTCAAAAAATTGCAAATAACTATACCTTTACAACACCCTTAATATATCCATGTCTTTCGGCAAAGTCCACCGGGCGCAATTTGGCGGCACCTTTGCGATTTTTAGTGTGAGCTTTGAAGACCGATCCTCGGCCCTTTCTCTGGGCTCTAATTACTCGTCCCATTACGGTCTAGTTACTGATGGGGAAAAAATAAAGAAGGTTGACTGAAAGTATGAGACGTGTGTTTCATATGAATATTATTTTCGAAGGATTTCAACAATTGAGTTGTAATTAACTTTGAAAACACATTCAGACGTTAGATTATTAATATCTACGAAGGTTTTCATAGCCATTTTTTCATATTAAGGCTTTAAATCGTAGATATTCCTCGATTTCGAAAAACTCACCTCCTCGTCTCTCTGATAGACCGGAAAAGGAAGCAAGCTTGTTTTCTCATCTCAAAGTCTGGTTTTAGACGGGTTCACGGATTGAGTACTATTAACTTTAATATTTAAGTATTATTTTACAGTTTCTTTGTTATTACTGCCTTATAAATTTTAGCAGAGGATGGATTTATTTGGTCTATTGAATTTTTACTAGCTTTTGATAACTAAAAGTAAATATATTTTTAGTCAATTGGAAGATACTAATTAGACCTTTGTGTAAAACATTCTTTCGATTTGCCAACACCGGAAAGTTAAGAATTAACTTTAGTTGACCTATTAATATCATAAGAAAACAGGGATTATTCGAATAAAAGTTAATCTATAAATGAGTAATAGTCCATAGTATCAACATTAATTTATTGCTAATTAGCTTAATACTTAATATCAAGGAAAAAAGTTAATAATTTTGAAAATATTAACATTCGAAAAGTTCATTGGTTTCTCATAATTTTTTCTGGTGCTCAAATAGTAATAAGCTATAAATTATTATAATATACACATTTTTTGAAATAATGAATGGTTCATGATACAGTAACAAGTCTACAGTGATATAAGTTATCTTCTTCGCTGTTTTCTCTTTTCAATCTTACGTATTCATCACTTCCGCTTGAAAATCGCGCAGAAGGATCTGTGTATTAAGTTTTATTTCTTTAAAAGATTTGACTTTTTTATTTACAAATTTGGTTTACCTGGGCTTAAATAAGAAGCAGGTACGAAACCCTCTTCCTTATCTTTTCTCTGAACCCAAAACCAATCGGGATCATCGATATTTAATACTAAAACAGTGTCTCCTATCATTACTTGAACGTCGTTTTCATAATTAATTCTATAGTTATATAATACTCGATGTGTTCCATAGTTCTTTTTTTCAAATACTTCCTCTTGATGGGCGGCGACATTTCGTGCGTGGCGTGACTTCCATTCTTCAATTACATCCTCATTCTGATAAACGGAATTTGCTTGCTGATCATACACCTGGTTATCCGTTATTGAGGGAAGTGAAGCGGATCGCTGTAAGCTCAAAGGGCTACCGAAGCCCTCTCCGCTGGAAGTAGGACTTCTCACTCCGCATAAGGCTTCCGTATGAGCCATCAATGGATACTGTTTTCTTGGGGCACAATAATTAATTGGTATAAAACCTTCAGCACCATGATCAGTTATCACATAAACCCAATTTCTTTCAGTGTATAAAACATTGACAAATTGTCCTTTATTGACTCGTACTTCATCTGGACCACAAGGGGAAAAATCTTGCAGAACTATCATATTTCTTTCAGGCTTGAGACCTTTTTCCTTTTCTAAACCAACCCTTACCAATGTATCAATGCTTGACGATCCTGTTATTCTACCAGGAGCATCCCAAAAATCGTTCACTGCCATAAATAAGTCGAATTGATCAATTTTCTTTTCCTAGGACAACAAGCAAAACAAACAAACCTTTGCGTCTACGTCTTCTAGATAGCTTTCCTGGGCAAAGAAACGCCATAATATTGGCAGCCTTTTTCAATTAAAAATATATAGCACCTGCTTGTATAAAACGTGAATTCACTATGGCAGTTCCGTTCTTTCAAAATATTCATAGTATAAAGTAGACTAGGCCTATTCAACCATTAAACAGTGGCGGCAGTTGTTCAAAAGGAGGAGACTTTCACTTTTGTCTATAAAAATTTTATTTGTACAGCTCAAACTCTCGACTTGAAATAGTTTTTTTTATTATTTTTCGTAAATCCCTTCAGGGATGACTTTCATTAATTAAAGAATTACATAATGAAATGATATATAAATATATGTATATTAAGATTTCAACATATCTGTATGAGTATATATATCTATATATTTGTCTGTTTAGTTATAATAAATAGTTATTGCTTTAATATTTTATGTCTTAAAATGTTAAGTTAATATTCATAAAAGTCCTAATGATAAACACATTACTATCGCATTTATTCGTTTGATAAAACGTTTTTAAATTTTCCCGCCTATTTCCACCTTCACTTTTACGTCATCAATATGGCGTCAAGTCACCTGGGCGATTACCCAAACTATACCTAAACCTTTGCATAGGATATTGTAGTAGAGGTAAATCTGATCATGTCAGACTCAGAGGAAGAAAGTCCCGACAAACAAGTAAAAATTGTTATATTGGGCGATGGAGCTTCAGGAAAAGTAATGTTTCTTGTTGTAAAAATATTTGAATACATTATTAATATTATTTAGTAGTAAACGAAGATGAAAATGTCATCGTTATAGACAATAATAAAATTATAATATAGATAATTTTTTCTTTAAAGACGTCAATTTCAACAAGATATTCGGGTGAATCCTTTGGAAAACTATATAAACAAACAGTAGGAGTTGATTTCTTCTTGAAAAGAATTGTCTTACCAAATAATGTTCATGTGACAATTCAAGTATGGGATATTGGAGGTCAAACGTTAGGTGGAGAGATGTTAGACAAATACATTTATGGTGCTAATGGAGTATTACTAGTCTATGATATTACAAATGCAAATAGCTTTGAAAATTTGAGTGATTGGAAGGTACAAGTGGAAAAACTAATAAGCTCAAAAAGGGACGCTAAAATGCCTCATTTCGCTTTAGTTGCTAACAAAGGTTAGTTATACAACAGCGGTAAACACTTGATGAAGTAAATAGTATCACTTTCTTTTTAACACAGTTGATTTAGAACACTTAAGAGTTGTTAAACCAGATAAGCATATGCAATTCGTAAAAGACCATAAGATGAGCTCGCATTTTGTCTCAGCTAAAACTGGAGATTCGGTAATACTTTACACAAATAGATATTTTTAAATATAAATTATTAAATGTATCAGCTGAAATATTTATATATAAATATCTAAATTTTTTAAAGGTTAATTTATGCTTTAAGAGGATAGCTGCTGAAATCTTGAACGTAAAATTGTCCAAAGCAGACCTTGACTCTTCACAGCCAGTCGTAAAAGCGGAGATAGTGCCTTCGGTAGGGGTAAGGGGACCAAGTAGACCGCTATCTTCACAACGAAGTTCTTTATGCACGATACAGTAATATTTATAAATATTTGGAACAGTTACTCATTAGCAACACAGGCCTTCAAAGAGACGAGCAGATACAAAAAAATGTTTACTGTCTGATATGAATGTAAGATAAATAATAACAACAATATTAACCTTTAATTCATACCAAAGCAAAATGTTTTAATAAATAAAGTTATGTTTTTTTAATAATCTATCCACTTTCACTTATTCTTTCTAACAGTCTCTCGTTAGAGAGATATATTCTGTCCTTTATTCCCTGTTTTCATGATTTTTTCAATCTATCTTTCTCCTTCCTTCCTCCCAGTTTCACTTCCTGTTTTCTCTTCATATTGTTTTTGTTATAATGTTGCATCATTTCGTTCTATTCTACTTAATTGTTACGCATTTCTTTAATTTATTATTGTTTATTTTTTGTTTGTTTGCTTTATTTTCTACTTTCTTTTACAAAAATTATTATGTTAATAATACATATTCAACAACTTACTTTATTATTCATTTTACTGTTTTCAAAAGAAACTATTTTCCCACCGTTTTTCTTAAACTTATAAAACATACATACATATATTCAATACAAAACAATGAAGAGTTAAATCAATCTTTATAGCATACAAAGAATAATAAAATATAAAAGATCTAATTTCAGTTAAATAGTTAAGATAATGATAGAAATTAAATTAAAGTCTTCTAAAATTCTGCAGTTAAATATTTATTTGTTTGTTTTCCTTAGGCACCAAATATTTCTTTGTATAGGAAAAAAATCTCCTTTTTGCATTTTGTTTTCAATATTAATTGTTAGCTGTTTCTACGACTTTATTCTTGTTTCTCTTTGTAGAGAAAGACTAGAAGTGTTTTCTTTTTAATAAAAAATATTTTATGATTTATTATTCGGCTGAAGAATATGCCATTGGGCAATAGGTCTCCTTGGATTAGCTAACGTATCTGTCCAGTGTCTTAATCCAGAGCCGTTTGACTGACAACCAAATATAACTTTACCTGTAAATTTATAAAAAAATTATAATTGTCATTAGAGATAGATTTATACAATAGATGGCGCATATTTATACATTACCTATGAAATTTGATCTTACTAAATCATAATCATAAACTTTTAGAACCAATTTTACTTTCTGTAAAGGAAAATGCAGTTTAACTAAGTCATAGCTAGAAAGTAGTATAAGATTTTTAATGTGTGAAACGTACTTGAATACAATCGTATGGTATATCAAACACAAACTGTTCATTGTAATATGGATTTAGTGTCTTTTTTCGAACAGTCGTTTTTTTCCTCTTCAATCTCTTCTTTTCCAAATATAACGTTAACTTAATGTACGGATCTATAGCGGGGAAAAAACAACAACAATTATTACCACCATACCAAGACAGAAAACAAAGCATTGAAAGAATACAGATAGCGTAAACAATCTTTTGTTCTTACAACACTAGAGAATAGGGAAAAACTTTGTAAGCTTGATGAAAATGATTGTTACCTGCTGTGATTGAGCCATCTTTCGGTTGCAAATTTTTTGCTTCCAATACGGTAACGGTAAGTTTTTCTGTACTTGGAACATATCTCATTGACAGACATGCATCACCCAAAACGTCGTCTTGAGACTCAGCATCAGGAGCTATTAAGTCTCTCCACTCTTCTGTAACCCTGCCTAAATCAATAGTATTTAAGGGTATTAGAATTCTTCCCATCTCTTCATTTTTCGTAAATCTATCATAGTCATACATTTTAAAGACTACAATTTTCTTAACAACCTCCACATAAGGAATTTTAAAATTAAAGCTTTCATTAAAAATTGGATTCAAAGTCTTTTTGTGAATTTGAGTTTCAAAGCGTTTATTTTCGCCGAATATAAACACCTTAACGTAGGGATCTGACGTTCCTGTTGCATCCATACCAGGCAAATCAGATGCTTGAATAACTCCAACGTTTAGCTCTTCTTTTTTAAAATTGTAGTCCAGAGAGAATTGTAATCTTCCGTATTTAGTATCCATTAGATTAGAATCAACTTCGTCTACGTCTAGCTGAATATTTTCCGCATAGGTAGGTAAGTTAGTAGAATTTAAGTTGATGGAATGTTTTCCATTCTTTCGTTTCTTTCTACAGCATAAAATACACACGCAGCAGCATAATATAAAAACCAAAAGGCATAGAACACCCAAAGAAATTAATACCCAAAGTGGAACTGTACAAAAGATAATTAAAGAATATATTTTAGTTTATGTCTTATACTTTTCATATAATATTTAGGCCTAATACAAACAAACACCAAACGCTTGAAAATTTTTCACATGAACCATTAATTATGAACATTTAAGATAAAAAAGTGTGGCGTTAATAGCGTTTTTTTTATTAAGCTAAAAAATTCGCTTACCTGGGCGCATTTTCTTTCTTTTTTTTATGCAAACCGATTATATCTTGGATAGGAATTAGTTATCAAACAAATGTCATAGGTAGTCATTTCGTCTTTGACATTTATTGAAATTGAGGTGTTTTAGGAAAAGGTGTAAAGACAAAGTAAAGTTGAAAATAGGGGAAGGCAGAGAGGGGGGAGAGAGAGAGGGAGAGGGAGAAGAAGAGGGCGAAAAAAGGCAACACAAAACAAGAGAAGCTTTGCTATGTCAAATCCTTAATAATACCGCCACAAGGGAAATAATAAAATACTTATTAAACATAACCTACGTGATTTCAATATGTTCAGTTTATTCTCGATAATATTCTTTAGAGGAGGAGTAGTCGTAATGTTGAAAAGTAAATCTGGAGATAGTGTTGTAAAATTCATATTCTGTCATTAGATTTGCCTGAAAAGAAATATATTACTAAGGCCTAATTAAAGTATTAGTTGTTAAACAATCCCTAATATGACATACAAAGATTTTAATACGAATAATTTAATACAATTTAAAGATATTTTCTTTGGTAACTAAGTTCATTTAGCACGTTTTGACATGTTTTTAATGTTGCCACTTAGCTATTTAGCTTGTGTATTTCAAAAATTTTAAATATATTGATATATAAAATATATATATATATATATATATATATAGATATATATCAACACATACATATACACATATACAGATATTATACATGTATATGCTCTACATTCATCTATATACCATGTATATTTAATATAATTATACACCATAAATTTCAATATATGCACAGAATATTGTTCTTGCATATTGTGTATATATACTTACATTAAATTACAAATTATTATTAAATCTCGGATATTGATCTTATTTGATCATAGTTGGCCTCAAGTTAGTATATAGCAAATTATCACTAAAGGCGTAGGCGAAATATTTTTTAATCGAAGCAATATTATCTAAGATAGGTTGCCTCTTGAACATTTTAAAAGTTATAGATAAAGAAAAGATTACCGATGTTAATACCTAATTTATCATTCTAAGCATCTTGTCTTGCATTTTCGAACAGAAAAAACATATTGATTTATTAAATAGAATACCGGTCGATCAACTTGTATGCTACAATAAGTCGAGGTATTCAATATAAGAATATAGTTATATATATATATACATATAAAGAGCAGAACAGATATCAAGGCTTTTGTTGGAACCAATACTTTGTAGGCCTTTCTTTTTCAACGCATGATTAACTTTAGTAGTTTAATGGATTGAAGTAAAAATATTCTTTGGTGTTTTCGTCGCTAGATGGCACCTTTAAAGAGAATATAAAGTGTACAGGCCTAATTAAGAATAAAGGCTGGATAAAAGCGATAGATATATCGGAACAGATCGTCTAGATTGTGCTTCTTTAGAAGATTCTACATTTAAATGCACAATAAATAAATGTAGTACGAATAAAGTACATATATAAGTAAATATATAAATAAAGACTGTATATTCAAAGCATTAGAGCGGTATTGTAGTTTATAAACAATTTTATAAATATACTCTATACTTAATGTATAAACTATGAAAAACATTTTATGGATGTTTTCGTATTTCATTCTATAGTGTTGTGTTTTCAATAAAAACCATTTTTAAATAAATTTAAAATAATATTAAATGAAATTGAAATATAACAAAGATCACTCGAATGGAATTCAAGTAGAGAGATAATAATAGATTTATATATGAAAAAAGAAGATGAAGAAATAAAGGTTGATTTAATAATCTAAATCATTTTACAAGAAATAAACTTTTACATCTGATAAAATAATAAAGAAAGTGATGTATTATCCACTCGATTGATAACATTTAGCTTAACAGTCTAAATATATCACTAACGTAAGAATGGGAATGTGCTAGAAAAAATCATTACAAGGTATACTTATAACATTAGACAACTAAAAAGGAATGTAAAGTTATTATTGTCTTTGAATATATTAAATCGTAATTCTACATAATCTAGTTATAGTCAATAAAGTCAGATATTACTTATTTTCCTCTCCGTTTTTCTTTTTTTCTACCTGCTTAAGTTTTTTATATGTCGTTTGTAATATACTGCAATTAACTGGTATTTTTTCTTAGAAGACCAACAAAAGAAATGGACTTTCTATAAGTAAAACATTAACAATAAAAGTAGTTTAAGTAGTTTATTTTCCGCTTCAATTTTCTATCAATTAAAAGCTGGAACTTATGAAAAGGAACTTCATCTTTTCCTTCCCATTTTCTATTTACATTTTTTTCGCTTTGTAATCGTGTTTAGCATACTATTATATTAGACTATCGCAACGGATAAAGGGTAAATAATCATTCTAGACTAAAAAAAACAGTCCTTGCTTCAAATAGAGGATTAAAAGTGACTAATTCATTAATATTTTAATTGTATTCAGGCAATATAAAGCATCTAGTTAAATATTTTTTTATAGTAAGAGTATTACTTACAATGTATTTAGTTAAAGTAACACGTACGGATAGAAGTATATATAAACAATTACTCTTTTCTATTAATTTAATTAATTTTTTTTCATCTTTTTGCTAATTCAAAAAGTATGAAAAGAAGAGGATGTTAGATAAATTAGATATTTTACATTTAACGACATATAAGATAATTTGGTTGGGAAATATTTTATGAGTGAATAATTCAAGAGTAGTTTGCAACATTGGCTTTTTGTTTATGTTACATTTTCCTTCTACAAATAATTTAATTTTGCTTTACCACTGCCTCATTTTATATTCAGTATGCTACTATGCAGTCTTTGACTATTTCTCCTCCTTCCATTCGAAAAACGCAAATCATCGTAGTTTTCTTGTTTTTTTTTTTAAAAAGAAACCAAGTTTTATTTAAGCTAACATGTGTAATATGAGAAAACCTAAAAAAATCAAATTTTTCTTGTTTTGTTTACAGAACTAACATCATTTTATTGATTAACATTTTTTTCTGCTGCCAAACAAAAGATAGCTATGTAGAAAAAAAAAACTCTCTATTGTCTATTTTCAAAATATATGATATATTTTATTATTTCATTTTTTTCCCTAAACACTACCATTTCTCTTATTCCTTAAAAGAAGATTAGAATTGGGAATGATAGAAATTATTATGCAATTTTCAACAGGAAAACTATGTTAATTCCAAATAAACAAATCTCTTATAGAGTGCATTATATTTTAATCGTTATAATGTGTAAAGATATAACATAAATTCATAATTTCTTTTTCTTAATTAACCTTCAGATAAGTGGAATTATTTAGGAGAATATTGCTCATGTTCTGACGAAATATGTATTTAAAAAATAAATAAATAAAAAAATGGTAATAATAGTTTCTTTTCTCCATTTTGTCTTATATTTATATAATTTATTTAATTAGTTTTTGTAAGAGAAATCAATGTAATGATGTTGAAATGGTAGTGATCAAATTTTTATTCTGAAATAGTATTATATGTGCTAATTTTTCATTATTACTTTACGATTTTTAAAATATCAAATCATCTTTTTTGGTAATATTTTGATTCTCAGTAGTATAGTACATGCACTATAATGAATTTAATTAGTTGTGACCTAGTTTTTTTAAATTAAAAAGTCGAAATAAACATATAATATAAGTTGTACGTATAGGTGGCGCCTTAGTTTGATATAGATGTATAGGTGACGCTTCCACGGACCCATAAATCCTAACGTGACGTCAAGTCGTCAATAGGCGACGGACTGAAAGAAACGAAAGAGGTGAGTTTTGCTTCTCTCAATGCTTTTATACTTTTTTTTAATCCTATTGTAACATTTTCTTTTCATTATTTCTGTAATAGATAATTTTGCAACTATTAGCCTACAAATAAATTATTAATGAAATATATATATATATATATATATATATATATATATATATATATATATATAGATTCTCCTATCCAAGATTACTATTTACCTTCCTTTTTTTCTATTATAAAAAAATCATCTTATCTTTCCCCAGAAATATGCGAAATGCTGTAGTTACAAATTGAGAAACTTCCAAATTAGTGAAAGATAATTAACATTTACTGTCTATATTGAATATAAGAATGGCAAATAAACAAATTAGCTTTTAATTAATTAAAATACCATTCTAATTAAAATTTTCCCTTCTTTAATTGCTCTATAAAATATTATTTAGTCATAGATACATGCATGAAAATGGAATTAGAAATCGTAGGCGTTGATTTTATACAGTATATATGTAGTATAAATAAGCTAAAATAGGCGTTCTAAAGAATGTCCTTCACAAAAAATAAGTATCTAGATGTATGAATATTGTAAAAATAAACTTATATGATAACAAACAATTAATTAGTCTTCCAATTTCTCATAAGAGACTCGGAGACCTTGGTCGAAAATAATTTCTAGAATTTGTTTTTCATCAAGTATGCCCTTTAACGTTAATATATTTAATTATTATATTATATATTACATATAATTATATATAAAAAGGGAACAAGAATCTAGAAAAGAAGAGGAAGATTGTAAATTTTATATCAATTCAAAGAAACTATCAGTTTTCATTAAAAGTTTCATATTCAATCATCTTTTTTGATACTTTAGGCTAAATTACAAAAAATAATAATTACATCTTGTTGACTGTTTAAAGTATTTACATTTTCTATTCATAATTTATATGCAAAGACTTAGGGAAGCATTTAGAAAACATATTTTTCATGTTGCTCTTCATAAGGAAGATAGAACCAGAATGCTTTTCAAATATCAATGTTATGAATATCAAGTAATTTACAAACTCATCTACACACGTTGTATATACACATTTAGTAGATGTGCTGTCCTGATTATATATTGAAAATTACAGGAAAAAAGGCAAATAATACTGGTAATTTCTTATGGAGAATATATCTACTTTATTAGGTCAAATGATTAAATTAGTAACTGTAGTCAACAACTGAGCACTTGTGTAGTTTGCCATTATGTTCATGAAGAAAGTTAAGAAAGCTCTGAGAGGAAATTGTCACGATAACTTTTTTTTCTTACAGGGCATTAACACTAACACGATGCATAGATAGGTATTGTATAAAAAATATACAATCCTAATAGAATAATAGCGATATGTACAGTGAAGTAGAAGGCAACTATCACTTTTTGTTTTCAGTAAAAAACGGAAATTATACAATAAAAATTTTAGAGATATATTAATAGAAAACGGCACGTTATTTAGATATTGTCCCTGCATCAATCATTCCCTTTTCCAGCAATAACAGAGCATTATAATCCTACGTTTTTCATTGTTTTTTCCCAGTTAAATAGTTTCACAAAAAAAATATATACTATTTGTTCAATAGCGTCTCTTAGAGAAATATGAGTATTAATTTTTTTTAAATTAAATATATATGGTATTTATAAATGGCTATTTATGATGAATGGTGAAAAAAATTTCCTTTTCCTTCTTTTTTTTTGTTATCTAGCTGAAGAATGAATGTTTTTCTTTTTTTTTAGAAATTAGACGCCACTGTCATAATTATAATTTAAAAGAATTTTTTATGGTTAAATATATCATTTACAACATAATTAAAGACGATATGAGATGTAAAGATACTCTGTGACTAGCAGATACATCTGCAAATTACAAGGATACTAACGTTCGTAGGAAGTAAAAGGTGAGAGGTATGCAAGCCTTTAAAGAAAATAGAAAAAGACATATAAAAAACTATAATCAAATAAGATGTGTTTTTTTATTTTTCAAAACGTAGGCATAAAAACTATATAAAGATGTCTTATAACTAGCGTATATGAATATTAAGTAATTCTGGAGAAGGAAAAGAAAAATTTCTTATGGGACAATAGTATTAGAGAACGGAATCTCTGAATAGGGTAGAAAGAAAATACAGAATAAGCAGTATATATATATATCCATACTGTATATATAATTATATATCTATGTATGTAAACGTTTGTAACACTTATAAAAATAGAATATCATAGCATAGAAAAATCCCATAGCATTATTCCCTGATTATTTGAAGACGCCCCCGCTCGAAAAAATTTACTCCCTATTAATTTCATTTCTCTCTCGAAGCGATAACCTGTAAATAAGCTTTGTATGTAAACATAATGTATTTTTTATTTCTGTTATTTTTTCAGGCATGATTTCTATAATCCTATCCGCCATAGCTTCGAGTCTCATCTTCCTAATCTTAATCGCAGCAGGTGTAACATGCTATGTTTATAGGCGTCGAAAACATCAAGACAAACAATGCCCACCTTTATTGCATAGTACAATAAGCCAAAGCACTCCTGACTTGACAAGAGAGCAATTACAGAAAAGTAGAACGAATTATTTAAAGGTGATCAAGCAGAGTACCCTGCCTACCATTTTAGACCGTCATGAAACATTTAGGCGACAGACGTCTAATATAGATATGTCAAATGTGGAGTTTACGATACATAGCATTAAATGTAAAGAACAGCCTGTGGACCAAATAAGACCAGAGCTTTACAAAACCATTAATCATCCAACGCCTGAAAAAGACCCGTTATTATACTTTCGAGTTAGTTATGAAAGTGAAAACTCAGCTTTAAGTGTAAGCATTGATAAGGCGGAGAATTTGCCACCGAAAGATTTTAGTGGAACTGCAGACCCTTATGTAAGAGTATACCTACATCCTGACAAACGAAGACGTTTTCAGACTAAAGTGCAACGTAAAAGTTTGTCACCATCTTTTAATGAAACTTTTACGTTTCCATTAACTGTTGATAAACTAGGAAAAAAATCTCTACATTTAGACGTATGTGACTTCGACAAGTTTTCTAGGCATGATCTTATTGGATCTGTAATCATTGAAGAAATCCCCACCGAGACCAAAGAATTCGCATCCAAACTGGCTTGCGGTAAACAGGTAAGATATTTTATCCTTTAACCGAGGGAAGAAGGAAAAACTTAAGAGGATATACGGGCCATTTGATATAAAGAATTCCTATAAAAGGCATTTTTCTCCTAGACTTTGTACATATTTAATCCTCTCCTCAGGGAGACGTAGGGCCAAACTGAGTAGAAGCGTAATACAATATGTTACATAACGGTACAATTTGATAGCATACATTATAATATATTCTATATATACATATTATATAGAAAATTTATATAACATATATACATATATATAGTTGTATATATAGATATATATATTCTAATATGTATATACTGTATGTATTGCATGTGTAGACGTAGATAAGGATATAAAAATTGGTGAAAGTTTACTAATAACTCTACCTTCTATGGATGATGGAATGCTAGTTGTAATAAGTGCAATATAAACAATGATCTGATGAATTAACAGTTCATACATTATAGCACCAGCCTGCTTTCGTTTACAGTACTTAAATCCTTTAATCAGCCATCATGAAAATTTAAATATATAGGTTCTATTGATCCTAATTTTATTTCTAGTCTTGTTTTTATACAGCCTAAAATTTAGTATGCTGATTCTAAGCAATAGTTTTAAAGGTAAAGTATTTTACAAAGATAAATGTTAGAATACTTTCTAACAATAGAGTAGTTTGTCTTGTTTTACATTCTATATCTATGGATGCAGATGCACCTTTTATACGACGTACTACATATGAATATTTTTCTTTACGTTATCAATTATTTAGCATATATTATTCATATAGTTTATTTTAGATAACAAAACAATCCGTATTTACTTATTTATTTAGTGAATGAAGTGTATACTGGGGAAATTAAAGAAGATCCCTAACACTGAAATGATTTTCCTTCTTGGAAGCTTGTCATTTTGTCAAAATTTCAGACATATGAAAGAAATTTAATAGATTTTTTTTACCGAACGATAATAGAAGTAATATTATGTAGAATGAAAAGAATATAAAGGTACAGATTAATTTAAATAACACGTAACAGATGAAAATATTTTTTAAGTATTTAGATAATTAGGCTAGTTTTTTAAAACAATACTATTTAGCTCATGCAATCAAGGTATATTGTCCACTTTCAAATCGTCTATCTAATATACTTCCTCTGTTGATAGTCTTAACAAAGGGAAACTTACAAACTGATAATAGCTGTGGCTAACTCAACCACATTAAAAACAACCTGCAAACGTGCAGATTACATAAAATATGGGTTTCAAGAATCTTATTTATAGAACAATTGATTAATTATCGTGTTGAAACAAAAAATTGGGATAAGTATCTTGATCCTAATCTCATTAGTGTAAGGATCACGACAATAGGGAATTTATTGAATGGCCTACGCTTTTTAAAAAATAATGTAAACAACTCACGATAAACGTGACAGAGCGAAACAAATATCGGTGAACTAATGCTATCCCTCTGCTACTTGCCAACGGCTGGTCGTTTAACTGTAAATGTTATTAAAGCAACCAATTTAAAGGCAATGGACTCCAATGGACTTTCCGGTAAATGCATATTGATAATAAAATTTAATAATTAATCAATTAAGACCGCCATTATATTCTTATATCTATTAATTTCAGATCCTTATGTTAAGGTATATTTAATGTGTGGCTTAAAGAAATTAAAAAAGAAAAAAACATCGATTCAAGCGAAGACCCTAAACCCAGTTTTCAACGAATCAGTTGTTTTCGACGTTCCTTACGAAAGTATTGATGAAGTTGATTTGCATATAAAAGTCTTCGACCACGACGTTTTAGGCAGTGATCAACTGATAGGTGGAATTGCTATAGGTCCTTCATACCATCACTCACATCGACAATGGAGAGAAATGCTAGAAAAACCAAGGAAACGAATAGTCCAGAGCTATACTCTTGTTGAACAAGTGGATAAAAAACGATAAATTCCCTCTCCCTCTTTATCTATCAATCCACTGATATATATATATATATATATCCTCTCTCTCTCTCTGTTTGCCTCTGTCCTATTATTACAAGAGCGAAAGAAGAAAGGCATCTTAGAAAAGAAAAAAAAAGAAAGAAAGTAACTCTTCAAAATGTATATATTGTATATTTGGTACCTATGTATTGACTGTAAAATCCTCTAGATGTTATAATCGTTCATATACATATGGTTATTTCTCTAAAAAAGTAAAGACCATAATTACCACTCAATGTCCTATCATTTTAAAGGGAAAAAAAACTATAAAGAACTTTATATAAATTTCAAAAGATACGTCAAATAATTAGGCCAATGTATATATATACTGCGTATCGTATACTCACTTTTACCTAAGAATATTGATAATATTACCTAAAACAAACAAATTTAGACATTTTAATCAAATATATTCAATAATGATTATACGGTATAATTGATGGATAAGATATTTATTGCAGAATAAAAAGGCAATCGCCTAAAGAGTTATAACACGAATAAAATACAAAATATAGCTTAAAAATGTACAGTTTGTAGAGAATACGGTAAATTATGAAACCTTTAAAATCTATTCATCTTGTTTGCATTGTAATAGAACAGAAATACAGTATAACTAGAACAAATAAGAATAAGGCATAGTTTATATAGAAGGCAGGAGAAGATTTCATTTTAGCCTGAGGAATATTTTTATTACTATAAGATTATATTGTTAACTTTAATCTATGAATTAGTTAATTAATAGTAATTTCATTTTACTTTGATTCTTATTTCTTCAGAACTAATTTAGAGAATAACATTAAATGAGATAAAGGGAAAAAAATCATCTCTTATCAATTATCTTTTAGTCGTCTCTTTTTCTATTAGAGGATAATTTATACAAAAAGTCCTATTCTTATTCTTTGCTTTACTTTCTTTCGTCTTTATCCAAATTTATTTGATGGGAAAATGAAAGGAATGATTTGAATGTTAAATTTCTTGAAAAAATAGACTGCATATTTAATTACTTCTAATTGATTGTCCAACTGATCTGTTTTACTTTATTAGTTGTATCGCGTAGCCAAAGTTCTTCTAATGCTTGTGTGACGTTTTCTGAAACAAAAGTAAACAAACGGAATAATATAAATTGCAATGAATGAAGAAAAGAAAAATGCAAGTAGAAGCTATAATTAAAGGACAGTAATTTAATTATATCGACTTCTATTGTACTTTAAATAGTTTCTAAGAGGAAAGAGTATCTAAATTACATATTAAAATTCTAGAGGATGAACTTATGCATTTATCTAAATAAATACTACGATATTATTTATAATAAATTAACTAACCAGACATTAATGGACAACCGTGGACAATAAAAATTCTGATATTTTTGCAGAACATCATGACAGCTTCAACAGATTCATCAGTTAGTTTAGTACATTTACTAACGTTTAACTCATTTAACGCTGATGAAGTATTGCTTTGTGAAAGTCTGTAAATCCCTTCATCAGTAATCTGTTGACAATATGGACCAATACAGAAAAATTAAATATGCAGTTTATGCTACTTAAATTTTCTTTATCTATTATACATTCTGTCTTTTTTGTTTGTTTTTTAAATTTATAATGTTTGCTTACATCATATATTCAGAAAAAAATCTATATATTATTTAGTAAGTGTAGTTTTCTCTTATCTGTTTACAAACCGAAGTTTGGGCCAAATTTAGACTCTTTATATTTTCACAATTTTGTGACAGGATGCTCAGGAAATCGTCGTCTATACTTGTCACACCTGTCAGGTCTAATTCGACTAATTTTGGGCAATTTTTTGGTATTCTAATAAGACACTCCTTGGAGAGAGAACAGCATCTTCGTAGATATATAATTGTTAGTCCTATGCAGTTTTCGAAGATAACGTTAAGGTGAGATTCGGAAATATTTAATCTATTTTTCTTTAATGCATTTAGATTAAATTTTCTTAGATTTTTGCAAATTTCGCCAATATATTGGAATCCTGTAGATTTTATTTGGGATTCTGATAGATCCAGGTTTGAAATATTATTGTGCAACAACTGAAAATATTATGTAATATTAATAATAAACGCATTCTATCTCTTCACGTACGTAAGATATATTATCGTCGTCTAACTGGCCTCTCTTACTTAATATCAATAAAAGTTTGTCCTTAAGATTTCTAGGTAGATCATCTAATTCTCTCCATTGTTCAATTTTTGCGTATTTTAAATTAGTTGCTAAATTACGAATACAAATAGTTAATAAATTAGGTATAGCCGAACTACCAAGCCGCTGTTCCATGTTTATTTGACAACGGAAGTACTACCCTTTGCATACGACTTTCCGCTAAAAAAATAATGGCGGGTTTTTTGAAAATATGATAAAAAACAATTATTTAAATAGCCTTTTTTCAAATAAACAGCTTATTCAATCTAGTATTCCTTGTACGATATTTGAGGATATATGATTGTTCTCCCTTTAAAGAAATATCAAAATGATCGATGTCCCTCTTTACTTAGATTATCCGAATGAAGTGGCCTATGAAATATAAAAAAAGGCTTCATTGTTAACCAGTCCACTATGAAGACTTTTGTTTCTGATTGAGGAATATTCTTTTTTATTCAAACTCTATTCTTTCGAGGCGAAATATTCAGGGATTATTTATGAAAATATCCATTAGTAAATTAAACTTAAATATATTTATAAATGTTTCTAATATTTTTTTATTCATAATAAAAACCATTGATATTTATAATATATATATATATATGCACTAAATATATCTAATCAATAATTGACCTAAATACTTATTAACGAATTTAATAAATAAGAAAAGAACATAAAGATTAGTCTAGTTCTTATTTTATTATTAACTAGAGGAACTAAAATTTTTTCACTTATCAGATGGAAAATGATGCCATCTACTGGAATAGTAAAAATTAATCATACATTTTATTCTACTTTTTGATTTATCTTATTTAATGAAAGCTTAATAGATTTTTTGTGTTCTCTCCAGTTTAAATTGTATCATTTTTAAAGATTTCCTTTTTAAATAAACACTTTGTGTATAGGTTTTTGAAAATATTATTAAAAATTATTGTTTATCTAATATATTGAGAGTTTAGTATATTTGCTTATAATTATTTTTAATTTAAATTCAACGCTACATTTAATGTTTAACGACAATGGTTCAATTCCAGCTAGAAGATTAAAAGTATTTCCGGTTCCGTATAAATGGTGGGATCAACAACTTGAATTTTTTATAATGATAAATCTTCAATAAGATTTTATATTATTTACTTTTATTTTGTAAATTTTGAAGGTAAAATTTAGCGTTTTAAAATATATGCTGATAGAAACACGATTAAAGTACAATAGTTGACGGAAAATAGCAGAAAATGATAAATTAATCGTACAAATCTTTATTTTCGCAATAAAAGATATAGTAGGGAGATGTTTAAATCTAAATCATCAGACGGTTTGGTAACCAATAATCAAGGCATGCCTCGATTAAGAAAACAGCTCTCCATGGAAAATCGGCCAAAAACTAGAAAATTTATTGGACTTCCTGCTCCAAGCCATTCTAAAACATCTAAGACAATCAATTTTGAAAAAAAGATTGCTCAGAATTTGAAAAATTTTGAAGAAAACCAATTAAACCAACCATCTCTTGAATATCAAACTATTAAGAAGACTAATCAAGAAATTGAAACTAAAGATGTGGCGAAATGTTTTTCAATCAAGAAGGCGGACTACAATGAGGAAGCAAAAAGTTTAAAGCCAAAAGATGATAAACAATCCTCTGACGGAAATAATGAATTTCATAATAAATTTCTAAAACCAAAATTTTCGGATAATATGTCAATAGGAATGGAAACAGTTTCAAATGATGGCGACTTGAGTCATGTTAAAATTAAAGATGATGATCCAAGATTGAATTTGAAAGAATGGGGTTTACCAGATTGCGTACTTAACAAGTATAAAGAAAAAGGTATTGAGTCAATGTTTCCTTGGCAAGCTGAATGTTTAAGCTGTGGAAAAGTTTTAGGTAAGTTGATTGTGTTTATGTATAATTATACTCTTATTTTGTTGCACTTGGTACCGTGTCGATTAATTGATTAGATACTTTTCTTAATCTAATGACATCTTATTGTTGATATCTCACTGATTTATGGATTAGCTTTTAAGTTATGTACTATTTCTACGTCGAATTTCTCTGGGTGCATTAGAGGCTTTACTATTGAATCTTTGTTCAATCTCTACTAATCTACAATCATGCATTCAACAACAACAAAAATACATTCACTCCCATAGTCTTTCGAAAGGCGCGTAATGTCTCTGGTATGGACTTTAATATCTTTATATTGTTATCAGTATTTACCTAATTTAAAAAGAGTTAATTGAAAATTCTGCTTTATAAAGAGTTAACGTTTAATACTTAATCTTTGATCATAATAGTTCTTTCTATGTTGTTTGCTTTATGTCAGCGTATGATTACACATCTCGTAGATTATATCGTAAATCACATGACTGATATATAATCATATTTTTCCTTTCTATAATAGATAATTTGAATTGATGATAGTTACTGATTCATATTTCCGCATTAATTTAAGATTCATTCGCAAAAAATATTGTGACCTTAGCAACTATGCCAAAAACTAATAACAAAACTATAATATATAGAGATGACTAGAATCTGTATAGAGTATATGTTTATATGTTTAGATTTAATGACTAGAGCAAACGTAACAGTGTATTGCAAAGAACAATAATAATAATTTGAGTGTATGTGAAGGATAAACAGTATTTCAGAGTTAATTAATAAGTTAATAGAGAGATAGGAATTGTTTTAAGAAAATAACAATACTTTATATTGTTATTATGATAATCTCCTCTTGTAGAAACAGCTTCGTATCATCTCTTTTAGTTGAGCCTTTAGAAGGGTGTTGGGTAATATATACAGAAAAGGGTTGACTACGCTATTTAACAGAATAGCTGCCGTTGAAATAGTTCCGATAGGACTTTTATCATGATCTTCATAGCCAATAAATCTTGCTGCGGTAGATCCAGGTGTCCAGCATAAAAGAAATAATATTGTAATTATTATGAGTTGGATCATTAACCTGTGCTCTCTATTCAATTTTTTGAGAGATGACTGTTCTTCTGTAGCAGAAATTGTCGTTATCTTGCTGGGTTCGGACACTTGAATCTTCCTTCTCTGCTTTCTTACAATTAAAAATAGGGAAAAGTATGTAACGCTTACATATACGATTGGTATTCCTGTAAACACTACTAATACAAATATTGTATAAGAAATATGACGAGTGTAGTAGAATGTGCACAAATGTTTCCCACTGAAATATTTCATTGTGCACCATCCTGTTAATAATGCCATAGAAGTTGGCATAAAACCAAATATCCATCCGCATATTGTTATAAACAAGCATTTCTTAGGTGTAAATATCATTTTTGACGTTGCCGGTCGGGCGACGGATAACAATCTATGAAAAGCAACAATGCAAAAGTTTGTTGCCGAACTCTGCAAAGTACATGTGACAATATACGCAAGTGCATTACAGAAAAATAAGTTCATTCCGCTCATGGAAAGAGTCATAAACTGTGTTATTATTACAACTATAAAACTACAGAATAAAGCCAACAAATCAGCCAAGTTCACACTGACAACAAATACTTTTTGATCAAAAGAATACTTTTTTTGTCGAACGAATAATATAATTACAATTAAATTTGCAATAATTCCAAATAAAAAGAGAGCCTGTAGAGAGATAAGAACCGATAATGGTAGTAGTGCCATAATTCACAAGTTGACGTAGAATGCGACTACCTTCTTGTTCATCATGATAAGTTCCTAGATGGCGTCAGGTGGTTTTTTTTTCTAAAGAGAATCCGTTAGTTAACCCCAAAGAAGCAAATTTCTTTTTGTATGATCAACTTTAAACTGTGTCTTGGGTGAAAAATCATATTTCAGTCTATTAATTTGATGAAAATTGCTTTATTTAGGAAATTATTAACATTTTGGAAAAGAAATTTTATTGTTTTGACGTCAATTTTACTTAAGTTAATAATTTCTTAATGCTTTTAACAGGCTATTCAAGAAAGTGGGATATTTATTTAAATTAATATTCATTTCCTTTAAGAGAGATATTTAATGTCACTTTGTTTTTCCCGTGAAAGTTTATCTATCAGCTTTGAAGTTATTATCATTAATTATTAGCAAAGCATAATTTCATAGCTGTTTGCTCTTTTTCATGAATGTTATTTCATATAACTCTCTCTCTCTCTCCACTTTTGTTTTTAAGTAATATATTAATTATTTTAGTCTATGTTTTTTCTTTGTTACAAGAGATGAAAGCAAATTCGCTTGGATGGCAAAACTGAAATTTATATGCTAGATATGTGATTTTTAGTAGACCGCAATGAGATTACCTAATTGAAGCATATATGAAACTATAGTGAGATATGTAGGCCATAGAAAATCCTGATAAACTGTAATAGAAGAGAAAATTTATTCTCTAAATTGACGCTATTTAATTGCTTCCTATAGCTTTTATTATATATATATATATATATATATATATATATATGTTATTAAGTATTGTAATAAGTTTCTATCCCTTGCTTTTAATATAGAACGATATCTTTTGTACAAATTATTTTCTATTCTCTTTACGTTTATCTCTCTCTTAGAGATGTCGTTCTAGTCGTTCTAGTCTTAGCTAAATTTTATCCGACACCTGTAGTACTTTTAGAGAAAATATACCTATTGAAACTACTACTTCCGTAGTTTCAGATTTTCACAATAAGCAGTAGATAAAATATGTGAAAGGGAATTGTAAATCTTGTTTCTATTGATTAACAAATTTGTTTACTTGCCTCCTATTTAATATTTATCTTAAAATAGCTTGGATAATAAGACAGTAAAGTGTAGTAGCTTTGACTGTTCATCATTTAGTAAATTTACAAAAATGGAAAGGAAGAAAATTTCAATAAGATTCGAAAAGAACGAGATAGAGAATAAAATCAATGTTGGCCGACTGATTGATGTTTAATATATTTCTAATATTTTGTTGAATATTAGCAAAGTGGTTTAAAGTGAGTTTGTCTTTATCTGTATCTTGTATTGGTATGAGAGTAAACTGAAAAGAGCAGAAGACGAGAGTTTTGTGCGGAGGGATAAGGGACTATTGTAAAAAGTAATTGGTAATGCAAGATTAGCATAGATATTCCAAATGTGGGTGCTTATTTTTATTATTCAATTTATAACAAGCAAGTAAATACACTGATTTAGAAAAAATAAGTAAAAATATACTTGATACAATGGAATATAAATTGAATATGATTGTTTATTTGTTTGTGACAATGTTCTATATATTCAAACAACTTATAGCTGAATGAGAATCAGAATATTCAGCTACAAAGAGTTTATTTCCAGATTTATTGACACAAACTCCAGCGGGGTTTTTTAATGAGTCGGCTCTGGTCATAAGACATGAACTAAATGCGTCATCTTCGAATTTTGTTACTATATGGGCACCCCAATCTGCGACGTAGAATGAATTTCGATTGTCCGATGTTATACCGTTAGGGAATTTCAAGTGTCTGCCATCTCGTGTTAATTGACCAACAGAATTAATATATTTACCATTTGAAGCATCGAATATTTTTATTACGCTTCCCCAGCTGTCCGAAACTAGTACACGATTCTTTCTATCAATTGTTAAATAAGTAGGACTATCTAATGGTGATGAACGTTTATCGAAATCGAACAGATGTTTACCCTCCTCGCTAAAGACACTAATCGTCTTTTGTTGGGTGTCACTAATTATAACTGTCCCCTTCTTTGTAATTCCTATCGCACAAGGCTGTGGTAATAGATTTTTGAGCTTTTTAGTGTTACCAAAAGTTGAAATGGAATTTGTATGTGGATTGACTATTTTAACACCGTGGTCTGTCGTTGTTATATAATTACCGGAAGCTGAAACGGCCAAGCGTCTTGTGGTTATCCCATTGGCCAATTCTTTTATGCAGCTTCCATTGTTGGCATCAAATAACTGTATTCTACAGTTGCCTCTATCAGCAACCGCTAAACGCGCTTCATTTTCTACTAGTACGAGATCATTAGGACAGTTAATATCACCAACTGCCGAGCCTTCTTTCTCCAAACGCCAATGAACACTGTGAACGGAGGATCTTAATTGAAGCATATCCGTATCGCTCCCGCATCTATATTTCATAGTTTCTTGTTTGATTGGTTCTAAAGACGACTTTCTCACTGTACATGACCCGACGGTCATAGCTCTAGCTCTTGGTGAAGCACTTTCAACAGAATTGCACATTATTTTTCCAAATTCCATAGAAAGTGACTCTTGAATAAAAATAATGTTTGTATCAGGACGATGATCGTTTAGCATATTTTTTACAGCACTAGAGTATTCATGCTCTACTTGCTCTAGAAGTACTCGTTCGTGTCTTCTTATTGATTCAAGAGCATCAGTAGCTGCTTTTCGAATTCTTAACTTAGCCTCATTACAAGTTTTTTCAATTTTTTTCATATATTCCTTCTCATTTTCGTTCATTTGTCTCGTTGGGTGCTCAATAACATCGATATGGATATCCTTAGACGACATGGAAGTTTTAAGTTTCTCCCTTTTCGTCATTGTCGGCATCCCTGTGACAGTGTTACAAACTAGTTAAACGAATAGCTTATAAGGGTTAGCATGACGTCACTGTGACGTTTTTCACTCTCTCTATATAGATCTGTCCTTGAAATTTGGAGCTATACCTATAAAATACCTTGTACTTGATATATATTAATGGCTATGAACGCACTGCTAACCTTTTCCTTGAACCCGGAACTAATAATTCATTGACGTCAGTGTTTTAACCTAATTATAGTTTGAACTAATAAAAATGTCGTAGGTGTAAAAGAGTTGAAGGTTATAGTTGATAAAAGAAAAGAATAAAGACAACTTGTATAAATACTCCATCTAAAATAGATAGATATGTTTATGCAAACAATTATATACGTATAATTTAATATATAGTATATATACAGTATATCTATACACAACTCAAATATAATTAGATATAAGATCAATTTTGCAAGGTTTTTGCTAATAGAAAGACACTTTTAATCCAATTTTATTATAGTATGTAATAACATACTTGTATAATTTAATTTAATTTATCTATGATATTTACATAAATTTACGGTAGTATTTCTCAGTATTCAAAGTATTCTTTTTTTTTCTTTTACTTTTGTTATAAAAGTCGATATTATTCATTAAATTTATGGAAATATATATATTTTTGTTTCTTTGTTTTTTATTCAACAGATGTTAAACTACTAGGAAACCTTTTCATTGAAATTGTCTCTGTTGAAACTAGCATTTCGCTTCAGTAATAATGCTATTTATATATAAAAAGTCAATAATTAGAGAATTTTTCTATATATATAATTACTAAACTTTTAATGTGTTGTTAAAAAGTAGTATTTATTATTTATATAGCCGGCAAAATGTTTTATTATTGTCTGATACAGATATAATTTAATTTTTACGGCTCTCCTTCAATTAAAATCAATATTGTTGATACACAATTAATACACGTATAAATACTATTAGTGTTTTTTTTTTATCTTATCTTTGAACACTTTCTATTTGATATTATCTTACATAATAGACTGTTTATTTTTCTTTTCATAGATATAAAGCATAAAATAGGAAAAAGATCCAATTCTTATTATTTTATTAGAACTAAAATAGGGTTTTTATACTGCTTCATCCTCCCACCTATACTTTTCCTAACTGGGATAATTTCACCATTAAATTTTCCCTTTAAATAAGAAGTATATAGTTTTTAATTTTAGAGCCTTACGAATAAAGTGATTGTTCTAAAAGAAGATATATATCCTAAGGGTTCTATATAAAAATCAAATGTTGCACTTAGGCGAATAGTTAAAAAAAGAAACAGCTTTTTTTTAAACGTACTTATAAACTAATTAGTGTTTCCGCTAAGCATTAAAAAGAAACGAAAACTTTTCCAATATAGAATTACACTGAATAAAAATACAATTCAAAGCATAATTCACATATACTATATGGATATTTCACTTATTTACAGTATATATGTATATATTTGTATATATTTGTCTATTCATTTATAGATAGAACAATTTACCTTGTTTCTAAAAATCAAACTTTAGTATCCTTCTTCAAGCCAAATTGATGATTCCGTGATGTTCGTTTATTTACTATTCGGTTCCAAATTACTATTATTATATATATATATATAATAACCTGTTTTTATATATGTACTCAAGTTTTGTTAAACACTTGATGTACATATGTACAAGTTCTTCAATGATTTATATATATATATATATATATATATATATATATACTAGAATGGTAGTTCTGTACAGATTTATATCAATTGCCGTTCGCAACAAGCTGTGAACTTGTTCTGTTTACCAGCTCGTTTTTACCTTGCACAACGGCGCACCCTAGACTAATGTTCTATAAAGACGACCAAAGACTGAAAAACATGATTTAACCATATACTAAAATAGAATTATATTTGTACGCAAAGTACTCTTTTAGATATATTTTAGGAATTTTATCAAAATATATTTTTCAAGTCAGAAACATTAAACCTAAGTAAAATTTGTTACATATCAAAGCAGAGGTCCGATAAATAATAGCAATGGATCATAAAATTACCGAGAGATGTCTTTTAGCTTAGCTATCAAATAATCAAATAGATGCTTTCGTAGAAAGACTTAATTATCGACTACTGTCAAGGTTAAAGCCAAGTTCTATGTAATAAAATTGTGAATAGAAATTATTAGAAGTAATGTATCTGATCCAGATAAATATACTGTATATATATATATATATGGACTGAAAGAACTTTAATAACATTTACTACAAAGGCTTGTATGTGTTTATTTAATTTTGAGAATTAGGTAGGAAAGGAGAAAGCAACGCAGTTGAAATTTAATGAGATATCTAATACGAAACTGAGACAACGTGTTATTATACTATAACTATGCTACTTAATTCTATTCGTAAAATATAAAATGTATGACAAAAATGTAACATAGTAGAAAATTTCCTTGATAGAGTGTCACGTGCTACGTCAATCGAACCCTGAAAATATTTTACGCTACTTTAAAATGCTTATTTTTCCATTTTTGTTCGTTTAAAATCATGTTTACAATTTAATCATCTTTCTGTGATATATTTTAGTTGATAGATGAACGCAAAGTATGCTTTCTTTAATATTTTGACTGTATAAAGCGAAGGTGATATTTTAAATATGATTATTAGTGTAAACAATATCAAAAAATTAAAGTTAATAGTATAGATCTAGTGATCATGTCTTACAAAGCATATTAAAAAGAAACAGAAAAAGGAAAGAAAAAAGAGAAGAAATGGTGTTTGTAGATTTTATAATCTCGGTAGAACAGACTCTATACTTGCACTAATTATTAGACATCTTTAAAATATGAGTATTTTTCATTTCATATAAATTAATTATACTTAATTTTTTTGTGAAGATAAGAGTCTTTTTCCTCTAGTTAAGAAATTTAACTCTCTAATGTTTATGAGATAAATAAGCTGCAATTCGGTCATTAACAAACGAAATCCTTTTTTTCAATCTTCACCGAAGGTTACTAGGTCAATTCGATTTAGATTAAAGCTTCGAAGAACATGCGAATAGATTAGTATCACATATATTTTTTACGAATATTCGGGTTTGCTAATACATGTGATGAATATTTTCTGTTTAAAAATTTGATACTATGGAAAATAGATGATAGATCATTATGCACTATAATAAGAGGTGGATGTGAAAAAGGACAGGGAAAAACAAATACAAATAGTTCACAAATGAGATAGTGTAAGGGAAAGACAGGTACATATAAAATTCAGAAAGGGTATAACAAACAACTTTCTTTTTTAACTGAAAGAATGTTAATTAAAAAGTGATAAAAACTATTTTCTTTTTATATTGTTAATTTGATTTTAGCGAAGTTCTTTTAAAAAATCAACAGCTTAAACAATTTAATTATTAAATATTAAACATTTTAATTTCATATTATAATGGAACTTGAATAAGTAATCGCGTTATTTAATGTAATTATTATTATTATTAGTATTAATACTAAACACTGTACTTTTCTTTTTTATAATAGCTACACTATAGTTTACAAAAGCTTCAATCTCATAACGCTCGGAATAACCTAAAGGTTTTTGTATGTGTGTATGTGTTGAGTTTCTCTTTCCTTTAAGAATGAAGAATTAAACTTTTTTCCTTATTATTATTTCCCCTCTGTTTTCCTTCTATGTACTGCATTTCCTATGCAATAGGGTTGTAAGGAGATACCAGAAATAGAATTTATATATTGTGTCTAATGCTTCTAAAGATAACCATAGAGATAAAAATATCATAGAATAGCTATATGCACAAAAGAGTACATAGTCTTATGCACGTAGATGACATTTGCTAGATTGTGTACTCGTTAACCGATTTATACCGGTATATATAGAGCAAAATTACTCATAAAAGCGTGAAAATACGTTCATCTGTTCTGATAGCAAACATTAAACAGTCTAGACACTCACTTGCCTTAAAGAGTTACTTGTGAAATGTTTTTCTATATAACCAAAAATAACTTGAAAAAAATTTCTCTATCTCTATCTGGATTTATTTCTATTATTCATCTGTGTAGTGCAGAATGACCGAAATTAAGGGAGTTCCTTGTTTGCGAAAGACTAACTAATTGTTTTTTTTATTTATAAATTTAGTTGTTTTTTCTTTCGCTTCAAATCTTCTTTACTTAATGACGAAGCAGGTTTCGTTATAATAAAATAAAGAAAAAATGACATTAAAATGGAGATATTTTTGTCGAAAATACTCGAGTATAGACATTTATATTTAGCAAAAATTGATTTCGATTTGTGACACTGTCTATATTACAGTCTGTTTATGATTAAACAATATTATTAATTAGTCAATGGCTATTATTTGGTCACTGCTCTCTCTCATCCGGTTAAATATAGTATAGCTGAGTAGATGCACTTTATAGTTCTGAGCATGATATTCAGTTATAGATAAATTTTCCGTGCTCTATGTTATTTGAGAGAAATTCTGTCAGTTCTAACAACAAATAGTCGAATTACTATGTCATAGATTTTTTTGTTTTTACAAATATTTACTTAGGAAAAAATAGAGAAAGTAAAATTCAATTAATATTCAAAAGAAATATAAAATAGTTTCGATTCGTGGTATTTGTTAACCTTTACTTTTAATACAATTGAGACACTTTAGGCGTTTCAAAGTCACCTTCGTTTCGTTGTTTATTTCTTATCGTCCTTCTCTATTACTCTATCCGTCTCTCTATCTATATCCACTTTCTTTCTCCTTTTATTTCGTACAATAAATCCTTAGCAAAACCTTAAGTCTAATCCAAAATACTCGATAGCCTTTTATTATAATTACTTCTACTATTTAATGCATTATTATCATATAAATCCATTAAGCCTATGACTTCAGCACAATGGTAAAAGAGAAAGGAATTCTATTCTTACCCTAAAAGGAGTATTTTAGTTGTGACTGTTTCTGATGCGTAAAGGATAAACTGAATTTAAGTGTTAAACCGTTAATGCATTATCACGGATTTCTCAACTGATAATACTTAAGAATAGAGATTTAGGACTTATAGTAAAGAGTAAAATGGGAAGGGAGGGGGGTGGAAGAGGAAGGCTATAGTAATTCTCATGTTTGCCTCTAAAAAGGACTAAACCAAAATGTAGTATAACGTTATAATGAGTTGTTTGTCAGCAGGGCTCTTACCCTTCCTGCACGATTTTCTAAGCTTGACAAAATCCGATGTTGTATGGTTTTAAAGAAGATATTAAAAATCACAATTAATAACATCTATTTTCAGATGGGGAAAATTTAGTATATTCAGCACCAACGTCTGCCGGTAAAACCTTAGTTGCAGAGTTATTAATGTTCAAAAGAGTTAAAGAGAAAAAGAAGAGGGCAATTTATATCCTCCCGTTTGTTAGTGTTGCAAGAGAGAAAATGTTTTCGTTACAGGTAAACTCAAGTTAATATAAATATTTTTCCAACTGTGCTTGACACTGCTTGATAATTATGATAATTCTTACTACTTTTCCATGCTTTTATCAAGTTCTGTGATTAATTAAGGCGCTGATATATTTGTCGAAATTTTTTTTCTAAATTACTGAGGCATTTAAAGGATACTTGTATGTATAAAGAGAGAGAGAGAGTAAAAAGAGAAAATATTTATTAAAGTTATCATAATATCTTAATTAAATGTGATATTGAATGACTGCTGCTGTTTTAATTGTCATTCTTCTCCGTGAACCAAAACAAAATGAGATAAATATTTTTTTAGCAGGGTATTTTCCTCATATTCTTTTTAATATTTGTCCTCTCATCTGGGACAAATTCTAATTGTATTTTTACTCAAATTCTGTTATTATTTGTTTATAAACAAACAAAAAACTAGATATCCTATCTGTTTCACTTTTTTCTTTTATCTCATTTTGAAACTGTTTTCTGCTTTTTAAAAAGAGAATGAACAAATTATTCATTTGATAATTTTTATATTACAAAAGATGATAGAACTAACAAACGGCAAGGGCTTATTTAAATAACAGAAACTTTCTTAAAGCTGTTCATACTGTTTAAATAGTAAAAAAGAAATATGGGTGGGTGTTAGTAAGAGGAGGGAACAGTAAATAGACAGTATAAAAATAAATGCTAAAATATTTTTGTATTTTAGCAACTTATCCCTTCTTTTGATAGTATAGGGAAATCTGATCTTTTACTATACAACATCCGCAGAAATTATACAAATAAATCGCATATTTATATCATTATACTTTAATATAAACATCTACTTTCTCATAATATAGAGTGTGAAAAGACGTATAGTTCTTATTCATGTCAAATCTATTAATGACTACTTTTTAAATCGTGACGTATAATTACATCGACATCGAAATAAATTGACATACGAATATAGTACATGCTGTAGATTGAATATCGTTTATATATTCTATGTAAAAACTATGATAGTCACTCCTTATAAAGTTCAAAAGACTATAAAAAACAAGCTTGACTAAAAGTGTTTACGGTTTCTCTTATAATTTATTTAATTAATTGTCACATGTTTAGGGCTAATTTAACTTTTTTTTGCCTTTTATATTGTTTTTTTAATCTCTTTTTGTGCATATTTTAGACACCAGTTTTTTTTATCTTCTTAAGCTTCTATACTCAAGAAATAGTTTAATTAGCGTTAATTTTAATTGAAATTTTCTGCTTTGTTAATAGTTTCAAATAGGTCATTTCCTTTCAGATAACATAAAAAATGCTTTATATAGATTAAATTTTCCCTCTTATTCCCTTGTCAGAGAGTATAGGTTTCTAAAATTAGAAATGAGTTTAAATATTGGATTTGATACACTTGACATAAACGCTTTTTCCTTAAAAGACGGCCAAACTCAAATTTGATTTTTTTTTTCGTTTCGCTATACGAGTATTACTTAAATTATAGGGGCTGTTTGAAGATGATGGTTTAAAAGTAGGTGGATATATGGGCTCACAGTCTCCATCTGGCGGTTTCATGAGTATTGATATTGCTGTATGTACTATTGAAAAAGCTAATAATTTAATTAATCGATTGTTGGAGGAAAATGAATTAGATCATTTGGGAACGATAGTGATTGATGAGTTACATATGATAGGAGATACTTCAAGAGGTTATTTACTAGAGTTGCTGCTCACAAAAGTCCGATTTGCCTGCAGAAATAAACTCCTTGGTAGGGCTTCATTTGACTTAATAATAATGTACATTAGCAATATCAGTCCATTATTTTTTACAAATAATTAATCTAGTGAAAGTTAATGTGTCTATTTCTTTAATTAACTTTAGGTTCTTCAAATGTTCAAATTATTGGAATGAGTGCAACTTTACCAAATTTACATGTTCTGGCTACATGGTTAGACGCCCAGCTTTATAAAACGTCATTTCGACCTGTACCTTTATATGAAAGAGTTAACTGTGGTAACTTGGTCTATGAATCAACCACAGTTGAATCTTACGAGGCACCAAAAGTTTATCTCGATAAAATATTAACAAAAGAGGAAGATAGACGAATTGTTGGATTTTGTCGGCAAACAATTAATCTTGGGGGAGGGGTCTTAATATTCTGTTATAGTAGAGATTGGTGTGAAACGCTTTCAAATACTATAGCTCATAGCTTTTACACTTTAAATCAAGAAGAAAAGTCTATTCTATTAGATAATAGTGCTTTATCTGAAATATGTGAGCAATTAAAAAGATCAACCGTGGGTTTGGACGATTTACTTGGTCGAGAGATTAAACAAGGTGTAGCTTATCATCATGCTGGCTTAACAATTGACGAAAGAGATATCGTAGAAGCTGGCTTTAAAGTAAACTTATCAATTCTTTATAAAAAGATTTAAAATAATTTTCCATTAAAGAACTTACATAAAATTGATAACCTTACTTTATTAGAATGGATATATTAAAGTTCTTGTTGCCACATCAACGTTGTCAAGTGGAGTTAATCTACCTGCTCGAAGAGTTATTATTCGTAGTCCTACTGCTTATGGTAATAAAATTATGGAAGTTGGCGTTTATAAACAAATGGCAGGAAGAGCTGGAAGGCAGGGGGTAGATAAAGTTGGCGAATGTATTGTTATGTGTGATGAAAGACTGAAAGAGAGAACTTTTCAACTAATAAATGGTGAGATGTTACCCGTTAGAAGCTGTTTGGAAGGGAGGGGTGGTTTGACTAGTAGTTTGAAAAGAGCAATCCTAGAAGTTGTGGCCAGCGGTGCTGCTAAGACTGTTGAAGATGTAAACTACTACACAGATTGTACACTTTTAGCGAGTTATGCACAAGAAGATGAAATGGATTTGGAGGATTGCCTTGAATATCTAGTAAAGAAAGAGTTTATTCATAAAGAAGGTTGTCATGTCAGTCCTACTCAGCTAGGGTCGGCAACTCTGGCTTCGGGTTTGAGTCCAGATGAGTGTCTTGTTGTTTTCAGGGAGCTTGAAAAAGCTAGACGATCGTTCGTCCTTTCCTCTGATCTTCACCTAATTTACGAAATAACTCCAACCTATTTAGCCGAATCATGGGGTAATCCGAATTGGAGTCGTTATGATGAGATTTATGACAAACTACTTGAAGAAGAAAAGAAAGTGGCAGAATTTTGTGGAGTGAAGGAAAGCTATATAGCTTTAGCTATTAGTAAGAATGGCGTTAAAGTGGGAACAGATCAACAAAGGCGTTTATTAGCTGTTCATAAGCGATTTTATACTGCTCTAGCATTGCACGATATTATGAATGAAATAAATATTCGCGAAGTGTCAGAAAAATACGGAGTAAGGAGAATATGAATTAAAAAGCAGTATTTCTACGATTTATCAACTCTTTTTCAGGTGAATAGAGGAGGTTTGCAAACACTTCAGCAGTCTGCTGCTACATTTGCGGGTATGGTTACAATTTTATGTGAAAAACTAGGATGGCATAGAATGCAACGTTTACTTTCTGATTTTCAACCCCGGTTAAATTTCGGAGTCCAAAGGGAGTTAGTAGATCTTGTCAGGATTGATGGCCTTACGGCAGATAGAGCAAGATACTTTTATAATAGTGGGTTTAGAAATGCTGCCAGCGTTGCTCACGCTTCAACTAATGATATTGAAAAAATATTAAGGAACACAACACCTTTCGAAAGGTAATATATTTGTAGCTAGAGCTGTCTTTTTTTTGGCTTTTATATTTATGCTTAGTAATAGCTTCTCCTATATTTTGTAGTAATAATCAAAGTGGTTGTGAATTAAATTTGGAGCAAAAATGTCGATCAAGGAATATATTAATTGAAAGTTTACAAAAAGCTCTTACTGAACGAGAAGCTGCTGAATATATAATCAATGAAGCTAGAAGGTTACTTATAGAAGACTTATCGAAATTGGGAGTTGAATTGAAGGATGTTAGGTATCGTTACGCATTTTTAATCAATTTTATTTTCTTATTATTTAATAACAACAAAACCCTTATGTTTAAGATTTACTAGTTCACTTACTCTTACTTACAAAGGATGTAATTCCAGGTTTAAGCTGAAAAGGTACACAATATACATATTTATGTTTATTAGTATATACAATACATATAAATTTATATATATATATTAGGGTCACCCTAAAAGTTTTACCCGTTTCCCTGTAATTTTAAAACAGTACATTGTAGGCCTATATTATCATTATCAATAGAAAGTGAATTCATTAATGCATTATCACCAAAAAACTTTCACAATTTGCGACCCCTAAATGAAAAGTTATGGAGACTTTAGTGGTTGCATGGTATGGATGGTGGTATAAATCAGAGAGTAATTATTCAATTTCTTGCATCACAGCAAGTTTATTGCAATCAATATTCACAGGCAACTGAAAGCTTTTTTTGGTAAAACAACACTTCATGAAAGTTCAGTAAGAAGGTGGGTTAGAGAATTTAAAGGAGGAAGAACAAATATACTTGATGATGATAGACAGAGTTGCTCTAATCAGAGATAATAGGAGAATAAGCCAGGCTGAGATATATCAAACATTGAACATAGGTCATGCTGCTGTTGAAGATTTGATTTCCAGTCTTGGGATGAGAAAGATTGTCTCAAGATGGATTCCCTACCAACTTGATTGGTATCAGAGAGCTTACAAACTACTCAATATCTTAGAACAACTGGATGGGTAGTCTTGCCTCATCCAGCCTACAGCCCAGACCTGGCGCCATCAGACAATTATCTGTTCTGGAAATTAAAGGACCATCTTTGGGGAAAAATATATGAGAATGATGAGGAATTGCAAAATGCAGTAAGGGCATTTTTCAGGTCTAAACCGCCCTTATACATTGCCAAAGGATTTGATATTCTTCCCGCCAGGTGGCAAACATGCATTGACAATAATGGGCAATTCGAAGCTATATAGACATACCTAAGACATTAGTTAATATGTATGACTAAACATATCATGTAATTTTTTGTTTTTTAGCTGTAAGACACAAACGGGTAAAACTTTCAGGGTGAACCTAATATATATACTGTATATATATATGTTGTGAATAGGGTTGAAAGGTAATGTGTTTATTGAAAGATCACAAACAGAAAATATGTACTTAAGCTTACTTATAGTATCTCGTATTATAGATTTTTTAAGAGAGTACATTTTTTTTCCTATTGTCTCGATTGATTAATGCCATTCCTAGTAAAGTAGACCTAAGTACTATTACTTAGCCATGATAAGAGATTTTTTTTTCTTAGCACATATACTATCAATTTTTTCAATATATTTAATTTGTCATTTACTTTTTCTGAGAATTTATTTCTAAAATGAAAGAATATGACACTTTTCTACTTGATTTGGGAAGAGAAATAACAAACTTGTACATCCAACAGTATTAAGGTGTTTACATTCCTTTTTCAGTCCGTTTTCTTATTTTTTTAAGTAATTTTTTATATAGATCTCTATCTTATTTTCTACAAAGAATAAATTGCTTTAATTGTCTTCTCATGTATGGATTCGGTAAGAGATATACAAAAGGATTAACTGCACTATTCAACACTATCATACCTCCAAGAACATATCCAAGAAGACTTTCTTTTTCTTTGTAACCTATAAATCGTCCAATAGTTGATCCTGGTGTCCAACATATCATAAATATGGCTGTTATTATAATCAACTGAATTAATAATCTAAATTCTTTAGAATCTGACTTTATTTCTTTTTGATAGTTGCCCTTGGTACTTACAGTAATAGCTCCAGAATGACTTGATACTGTTCTCTGAACAGTATCCGCTTGTCGTACTTTCTTTCTTTGTTTTTTTACAAAATAATATAACAGGAAATAGCAAATGGTGACAAATAGAAAGGGTATTATGGTAAAGGTAACGATATTGAACAACGTATATCCGAAACATTTCGGATAATTGAACGTACATAAATTCTTAGTTGGAAAATATTCCAGTTTACATTTGTTTGTTGATACAACTACTGTTACGGGTACACCACATAATATCCAAACTGTTGCAATCATCAGTAAACAATTTCTTTTTGAAAATAGATTCTTTGATATGCTAGGCTTAGCCACAGATATTAGCCTATGAAAGGCTACTAAGCACAACTGAATAACGGACGAATGTAATATCCAACCAGTTAAGAAAGCCATGCCTATGCAAGCTGATTCCGCTGTTGGATTTCCTTGAACAGCTATATGTTGAGTTATAATAAATATGGGATATGATAGTAAGACGGCTAGAAAGTCAGATACATTCAAACTAATAATGAAAAGTTTTTGATCAAGAGAACACTGCTTATTCTTATAAAAGAGTATTATAACCAATAAGTTTGCCAGCAAGGAAAATGAGAAAATAATATGAAGACATATCATACCAATTACTGGAACTGCCATATTGCTATTGTCTAATGCCTTCCTCTCCTTTTAAATATTTTTTTCCTCAAATGGCATTTTTTAGTTTTTTGATTGATAGAGATGGCGTTCTAGATTAGAATTGATTCACTAGCTCCCGTCTCTAGTCTTTTCCTAAGAAACAGCTGCAGATTTCTTGATAAATTCTTAATTAGACCAAACACGTGAGTGGGTAAAGATAAGAGAGAAAAATCATTAGATATTAATTTTTCTCTCCTCTTTACTTAAAAAGTTAGCTTATGTTAAGCAGTATCGCGCGAGCTACATTTAGCGACATCTTTATCTAAAAGAAAGGAAAATTTGTTATTCACTTCGTTTATGCGCAAAAATGTCTACATAATGGCGCAAATGCAGAAAAAATGATCATAATTGATCATATTTTATTCTTCCATATTGCTTTTACTAATCTCTTGCCTAGTAACATTCAACTACGGAAGTTGGATGTAGATTTAAAAGTATATTAATTAACTAGTTCAGTTGTTAATGTTAGTTAGTTGATTTGGAATATAGGAATAAGGAAAAAGAATAATACTATGATTGGATGTAATAGTATGATCTTTAATCAGTTTATACAAGTTTATAGTTTTATTTTATATACAGAACAATACAAAATATATGTGCTTCGTAATTATTTCGCGGATTAACGTTTTATTGGAAATCCATCAGGTTATTCAAGTAAAAACAAATTTAAAAATCATTATTTCAAACTTAGTGTTTAAATATTAAAATTTGTAATTAACTATTGTCAATTAACTGATCTTTCAGTAGTAGGTGATTTTTTTTGTACTACCAAAATAGGCTTATATTCAATAAGACTATATATAGAAATTATTATAAACATTAGACTATTAATAAATAATGATCTACTATGTCTAATGATACCGCTGTCTCCAAAGAAAAAACAATTGAAACCAAGCGATTATAAGGATAATTCATAGTGAATAATGCGTTGTGCATGTGTATTAATTATTATCCAATAGATGGGGCTATTGAATAATTAATGTGAAACTTATAAATATGTTATGTAAGAAAGTAACAACTCCATCAATATTAAAACAACAATTATTTAGTATTTATAGGTGATAATCTATCAACTTTCGATAGACAGTTTGTCTGACGATAACTTTATATTTGTGCAATAACTTTTATAGTCTATCAATTCTATTTCTTGTGGAATGCTTATTTCCATCTGCACAGAAGGATGTTCTTCAAGTCTTTACGCATTACTGAATTCGGCAATAAATATAACAATGGATTTACTGCGCTATTGACTGAAATTATCCCACCTAAAATATATACTAATCTTGTACTCTCATCTTTCGTAAAACCTACAAATCTTCCAATGGTAGATCCAGGTGTCCACGTAATCATAAAAACAGCTGTAATAGCCACCAATTGTATGAGTAATTGGAATTCTTTATTACTAGTTTCTCTCTTTGCTAATTTTTTCGACGTAGAAAAGCTTGAAATAGAATTTATACTATTGTTTTCTGGTCGCAACTTCATTTTTTGTTTTCTAACTGCAACAAAAATTGCTGAATAGGCTACTGCAACAAATATTATTGGTATAACTGTAAATAAAATAATAATCGTCATAGTGAAACCAACACATTCAGGATATTTGAATGAGCACATATTTTTTGTTGGATAGTACCCAAACGCACAATAATCCAATGCTATTGGTACAATGGACGGTATAGTCATCAGTAGCCAAGTTGATATTATTATAATGTAACAATTTCTTTGACAAAACCAAATCTTACACAAAGTTGGTTTTATAACACATATTAAGCGATGAAAAGCAATTAAGCACAGTTGAACTGCCGATGTGTGAAGTAGCCAATTACCAATTAAGGATGCTCCCGTGCAAAGGCTTACTGAAGTTTGATTTTCATCAATATTTCCATACTGAGTTATAGAAAATACGAAATAAGTTAATATTGCCACAATAAAATCGGTGAGATTCATGCTTATAATGAACATTTTTTGATCAAGACTACACTGTCTGTTTCTAATGTAGAGTATTATGACTAAGAAATTAGCCAAAATTCCATAAATACAATAAGTATGCATTACAACTAAAGAACCAAAAGAGTAGTCCATTCTTCAAATTATGCGAAAACTCTGACTTGTCTTTAATGTTGATTCCGAACGTGTTTAAGATATCTCTTGCGAAAGAGAGTCTTAAGACCATGCTTGAAGTACTCATTGTATTCATGTATTCAAAGGTTCTGAAAGCACTCTCACTTTGATAAAAGCAGAAATGGAATTACCAAAGAGGTGAATTGTCCAAACATACTAGCATGCATATACTAATATAAATATATATACATGTATTGTATATTTATACACAATTACTGAAAAGAGGACGCTTATGAAATAACGTTTTAATATAGGTGATATTCATTATATAATTGACAAAATATAGAATTTTCCTTAGTCTGTAACCTACTTATTGATAATTATGTTGCACGAAAGCTGCTACTTTTTATAGTATTTTAGAAAGTTTCAAGTTTGTTTCTACTTGTAAAACTACTAGAAAAAGATCCACTAATTATATAAATATTGTGGTAAAATATCTCAGCTTATTTTTAGAAAAGAGCAAATTAATAGAATATATAGCTTTTGTTTTAAGCTTTTTCCTACAGACATCTAATTTTATGTGCTCTGGTAATACGCCAATAATATTTTTTAATAAAAAATATTTATTTAGATTGCCTGAGCTAAAATGGAAACCCACTTGTAATCAATTTAAAAACCATACTTATTTTTTCAATACTAGACGCAGAAAACAGTCAAGTTATGCTTTCTAGTTTTATCCCCATTACTCATTGTATAGAGGTAGCAAACTTTAGTTCATACAGAAGAATTATACTTTTATAATTTATTTTGAATATATATTTACATAGATAGCAAAATGCTACATCATTAAAATGAATAATGTAAGCTTTTTTGTTCTAATTTCATTTGTATATTTTGCTTATCTGCAACAGCACGAAAACATTTCTTTCAGCTTACTTCTTAGGTGATTGTTAGGTAATAAATAAACAATAGGATTAACTGCACTATTCAATACAAAAAATCCACTTGATACATAACCAACAAATTCTTTAGAACCTTTCTCATATCCGACAAATCTACCAACAGTTGATCCGGGTATCCAACAAATCATAAAAATCACCGTAATTATAGCTAATTGAATCATAAGACGATATTCTTTATTCTCTACTTTTGACTTTAATGAGCGTTTATTACTTGTCGAACAAGCTGTAGCTTGACTAACTTCTTGAATATTGAACACTTTTTTCCTTTGTTTCCTAACTGATAAAAATAAGGCAAAATATGATACTGTAACAATTATTATAGGCAAAATTGTATATAATACGATATTAAAGACAGCATATGACAAGCATCTCGGATAATTAAAGGTACAAATTTTCTTTGGTATTATAAACGTTAATTCGCACCATCCACCAAAAACTGCTATTATGGTTGGTATGAAAGAAAATATCCATACGCCAGTTATTAACAAGAAACTTTGTAATTTTGTTAATTTTAACTTAAAAAATGATGACTTTGTTACTGTTAAATATCTATAAACTGCTACAACACTTAATTGAATAGCTGAACAATGCATAATGGCACTTAGAAAAAAAGTTAGAGAATTACATATAAATAGCCATGTAGAACTGTTTAGAACGTCAACATAATTTGTAAGAATAAAGGTTATATATCCAAGTATCATTGCAAGTAGATCGGCCATATTTAAACTAATTATAAAACTTTTCTGATCAGATGTGCACTGTTTATTAACAATGTACAAGTAGACGACTAGCGAATTTGCTAATATACCATAAATAAAGGCTATATGAAGAGATATTGCTGCAAAATATGGGAGTTCCATGATTACTGGATACTTTTCAAACTGTATATTTACATTGAAGCTGAAAATTTCAATATAATATCTAGGTGGCAGATAAATCGCATTTATTGGCTTCCACAATATGGACGCTTTGACCGAGTAGGGTTCATAGATGTCTGGAATAAATACTATAATTACTATAATTTTTTACAGCAAATAATTACATTATGACTTTTTAATCTTTTTATTAAGTTTTTATATAAATTCCATTATTACTATTTTTGGTATAACTTAGAAATATCTCTGTTTTCTTTCTGAAAAGGTTCTGTAATGATAGAGAAGATAAAGATATGTCACCTAATTCAGCATCAACCATTTCTAAGCCTGACATAAAACAGAATACTCCTACCAGACCTAGCAATTTCAAATGCGATTTAGCAAAGACGTTAATTAATATCACAAAGAATGAAGAATCCATACTCAATCCACCCTCTTCTATAACGCATAAATCGTTTTCATCTGACATTACTAAGAGAATTGGATGTTCGAAACGAAAATGCGAAGATTCACCCAATGTTGAAAAGAAAAAGCAGAAAAGTCCGGAGCATCAAGAAAGAGTTGAAAAAATGATGCTTGAAAGAGATGTAAGCCCTTTTGAAGTATCAATGAGCCTAGGAGATTCTATGTTCTTCACTAGTCAGCTTCTTAATTTAACTGACAAAATTAAGGACGTCAGCGAAGAAGCCAAAAATCAGTTTGATTGCCACAAAGATGACATACAAGAAAGGAAACAGATGGACAGCAAAGGAATACTTTCCGATATAAATGTACCAAATGAGAACAAAATTGAAGACAAAATTCAATTAAGTATTGACGATTCCATGTTTTTTAATAGCCAGTTGTTAAATATAACTGATATCGATGACAAACCGGCTGATAAACAAACCCCTATTTCAACTTCAACACAAAAAAGCTATAGGAAAGAACAAAGATCCTCACTCGATTTATTTGCAGATGGTTCAGGAAATGCAACTGATATGATAATTCAAAATTTTAATACGCAAAAGACTTCTAAAAAGACAGATATTTGTAAAAATGTAATGGATATTACGGGTGAAATGTCCATTCTGGGTATAGAATCTTCTATTGTTGCAAGTGACGGTGAAGAAGATGTTAGAATGGCGTTTGACGATGACATTATAGCTTCAACACCCTTAACTGAAAGGAATAGTAGGACTCCTTTAAGAAACGATTCAAATATTATCCCAAGTAGTCAGTCAATATTGCCTGGTACCCCCGAAATATTATCTATGACGCCATCCTTATTTAATATTGTAGATGTTGCATCAAATAAAAAACTTTTTGAACTATTCACAAATGACTGGAAAAGAGCTAAAAAGTATTCGTTATGCACTGCTTGCTCTTTTGATGAGGATGAACAGAGGTGCGTAGTTGGCTTAAGTGTTTGCTGGGGAGGTCACGATGTCTATTACATAGGTTTACGAGACGTTTCGGCATTCGATTCTGTTAATAGCCTAGCCGCAGAATCATTTTGTAATGACTTAACGTTGGAAGAGAAAGTATCAGTCATCAGAGAAATTGTCCACGATAAAGCTGCTACTCAAATAGCTTTTGATCTCAAGTCTCATATGAGAGTATTATCTAAATCTTATGGTATATTAATGAATGGACGTCTAAGAGATCCACAAGTAGGAATCTGGTTACTCGATCCTTCAGCTGATCATATAACTTTCAGGTTGATTTTTGTTTTCTTGTAATATGAATTCTTTATGTAGCTACTTTTAAAGATTTTTTAGCAATCGTTTAGATAAACAATATAGAAGTTCTTTTATCAAATAACTATTTATCAATTATATAGAAACTTTTACAACGTGCGTGACTTTTTCAGACATCTGCTTAAAAATTATTATCCAGAAAAGAGTCAACTTGTCGAATACTCCGTTGGATCGAATGGCCACAATTCAATAGGTTTAAGTCCGCTTACTGGTAATCCATCAGCGAGCAGGATAAGGTCTTGCGTTGAGTGCTTAGTAGCTTTTCATTCTATGAAATCTGTAAGGAAGAGATTAGAGGAAGAGAATATATGGACAACTTTTACAAAATTAGAAATGCCCATTGTTGGAATATTAGCTTATATGGAACTTAACGGATTTGGTTATAGTCAAGAAGGATGCGATCAACAAAGGCAGATTCTAATTGACAGATTAAATAAGATTGAAGAAGATGCATATAATATAGTTGGACACGAGTTCAGTTTAAGCTCGTCCGATGACATTGGTAAAATACTTTTTGGCGAATTGAAATTACCCATTGATCCAGATTTAAGACAAAAGAAAAAATTAGGAATGTGCAGAGTAAAAAAGAAATGGTCTACTAAAAAGGAAATACTTGAAAAATTAACTAAGCTACATCCATTGCCAGGAATGATTTTGGAATGGAGAAAACTGAACTTAGCTGTTACAAAGAATATATCACCATGGCAACTGGAGAAAACTTTTTGCATTAGAACGAATATTAATAGAATATTTGGTGTAACTATTAGTACAGCAACTGGAAGAGTTTCGATGCACGATCCTAATTTGCAAAACGTTCCCCGAGATTTTGATATTGAAGGTAAGATAGAAAAGAGAATAATATTTGATCATAAAATATCTACAGTAGCACTTTCACAAGTAGTAACAAAACCAATAATCATAAAATTCATGGCAATTACACGAGAACTGTAAAAGTAATAATAAGTTAATTTATTAAATTTATTAGGAATTCATTTTTATTTAGGCCTACATCTTTAATTAATATCATACGTCTGAACGTATTTCTTAGTATTGTCAATAGAAAGCATTGATCTACATAAAAAAAATTGTTAAGGTCATATGAACAAATAGGATTTCACTTTTTAGTTTATAGATGTTTTGTCCGTTTTTGACTATATATTAATATGCATATAATCTATGCAGGCAAAAGATTATATAGTATATTGTTGTATTATTTATCACAGTAGTTGAATATCAAGTGTTAAATCTAAAATTCCTAATTCTTTAGTAAACTCTTTACTGATTATAATACTTTTAACGTCTTTCAACAACTGACCACTACTAAAAGCCACTTGCAAGGCTACTGGATTTTCATCCTTAATCCTTATTTCAACTATTCCGCTTCCAATTTCAGTTTCAACTGACAATAAACTGCTTTTATGTTGTTTTAGAATATCGTCTAATCTCTTTTGGCAATTATCGAAATTATCTCTTAATAAAGTTGGAATGTGGAATAGAGCATGTAAATAGCGAGATCGTCCTTCTTCGTCACTTAAATCATCTGATAAAACTATTTCGCCTATTTTTAATGAAATAGTTGCATCTCTTGACTCTGTTTCAGATGTTAAACGTTTAGAATAGCTTCCTCTTTCCATTATTTTCTCTTTATTTAGTGAAAGAAAAAACAATATTCCAGCTCCTTTGCTCTAGCAGGCTAATATGAAAAAAAAGTCCTATTTGGCAATTTGATCTTTAAATTTTCCTTAGATCAATATCTTTGAATAAATACGATCTTTTTATGTTCATAATAATATAGCCAAATAAATATTCTTTTTTTTTTCTTATCTTTTATACGCTTTTCCCTCTCCAGTTGATTCATTAGATGGGCCAGAAAAGAGAATTGTCAGTATGAGGAAATCATTTATTCCATTTAAAGGTTACGCTTCTTTACAACAAAAAGTATCTTTTTTGCCTAATATCATTAACAATATATCCTACAGGTGGCGTCCTAATAGCTGCAGATTATTCACAATTAGAGCTACGTATAATGGCTCATTTATCAAATGATGAGAAGTTAATAAATATATTAAATTCTGGAGTAGATGTCTTCAAAGGTATTGTTGCTAAATGGCGTTCAAAGGATATAAACGAAGTAACTAGTTCAGAACGCCAACAAGCGAAACAAATATGCTATGGGATTCTTTATGGCATAGGTCCAAAATCTTTAAGCGAACAATTGGAAATAAGTGAAATAGAAGCACTTGAATTTATAGATAGTTTTAAAAGTGAATATGCAGGTGAAAAAGCTTACATATTATTAACTTACAATAGCGAATTTACATTTTTCTTAAATATTACTTTTCTAGGATTACGCCATTTCCTATGCGAAACTGTTCATAAGTGCCGTAACTATGAATATGTTGAAACAATTAGTGGAAGAAAACGCTACCTGCCGAAAATAAATTCAATGCAGTCTATGCCAAAAGCTCACGTCGGTATTATAATTGATGAATATTTTTATCATGTATGTAAATAACATATATATATATATATATATACGTCAACAGGCTGAGAGACAAGCTGTTAATACTACTATACAAGGATCGGCTGCAGATATTGTTAAGGAAGCTATGATTAAAATAGACAAGGAATTGAAGAAAAAATTTCCTGATTGTAGAATACCACATTCACATAATAATAGAAATCGAAAAGGTTTCTCTTTTCTTCGTAGAATATTTGACATATAATATGCATAGTCTAAATATAATTCAACAATTTTAGACATTGCCGATCCACCAAATGGAGGCTTCCTGGTTCTTCAATTGCATGATGAGCTCATCTACGAGTGTCGTCTTAATATGAGTAGACAAGTTGCTGAAGTAATGAAGAAATGCATGGAAAACACTGTCAAATTGAGAGTCTTATTACCAGTTAGCGTCAAAATAGGATTTAATTGGGGTGAATTGGAAACTTATAATTTCTGACATGATAAAAATATAGGCATATTATTGAAGAGACAACTTTTTTCTTCATTTATTTCTTTTACAAAAATTTAATCGAACAGGATAAATTTTTATATGAATAAAATTATCGTATTATAAGTTTTGCCCCATTTTCCTAATGTTTACACTTCATTCCTTTGAGATATCATTTCTACAGATTTAATCCTTTTAACTTATATCATAGGAGGGAAGATATGAAAAATGTCCTCCCTACAAAGTCATTTCTCCTATACGTCATAATGGTAAAGTGTATTAACATGACATTTATTTAAACGATAAAAAATCAGGGAGATGTTAAAAATAAACCAAGTAAAAAAGAATCTAAATATAGATAACCCCCACAATTATGGAGATAATACAGTTTATTTAATAGCAACCTTTTTTAGGTATATAATCAGTTTAGAAATGTGTATAACGTTACGAAACAGAATGTTTATATTAAAAGAATCCTTTGACAAAGGCTAGCCTGTGATACAGGTAAAAAAGATATTGAAGGTTTATCACATAGAACTACGGAAACACCTTGTATTTTTCTTTATAAACTATCCATTAAATAAATGTATATTTTGTTCGCTTAATATATAAGATGTAATGGTAAGTAATGAACAACATTTTCTCTACAAAAGCTTATATCTGTTTCCTCTCTAATTACTTCTTACAAAAGCTAAACATTGATTTTAGTTGTTTCCTCATTTCAATGTTTGGCAAAACGTATAGGAAAGGATTAACAGCACTATTTAAAACAATCAGTCCAGTTGACATATAATTTGCAAACGTGTTTGAATTATTTGTATAGCCCATAAATCTGCCTATCGTAGAACTTGGTATCCAACAAATCATAAATCCCACAGTAATAATAACTAATTGAATTAACAATCGACTTTCTCTAACTTCTTTTCGTTTTACAGCTGTTGATTTAGTAGAATCAGAGGTGCTTGACAGATTATATGTGTCCCTTGTTAAAGATATTTTCTTTCGTTGCTTTCTGACATTTAAAAATAATGCAGAATATGATACACTTACTATAATTATAGGTATAATTGTATATGATACTATATTAAAGTAGGCGTACGATAAGCACTTGGGATAATTAAACGTACAAATTTTCTTTGATTTAATAAAAGTTAATTCACACCATCCACCGAATACTGCAATTATTGTTGGTATAAAAGAAAATATCCATAATGAGAGTATTAATAGTGTGCAATGTAGTTTTGTTAAATATAGTCTGGAAAATGTTGGTCTCCTTACTGATAGGAATCGATATAGAGCAACAGCGCTTAATTGTACAGCTGAACAATGCATTATTGCATTAAGAGCAAATGCTAAGGAATTGCAAAGAAATTGGCCAATATCATTCTTTCTTACATCCAAGTAATTTGTTATATTAAATAGAAAATAACCAAGTCCCATTGCCAAAAAGTCAGATGTATTCAAACTTATAATGAAACTCTTCTGTATTGTTGTACACTGTTTATTAATGATATATAAATAAATGACAAATAAATTCGCAACTATTCCAAATATGAAGGGAAAATGAAAGAAAACCATCTGATAGACGGGAAACTGCATCTTGTCACCAATAATTCATGAAAAACTTCCGTTAAGTGTTACTTTTATTCCTAGGTGGCGTCCAAATATAATTGCTTTTAAGTGTATTGTTTTTAAGTAGTCTTTCCAATTTAATTTTAGCGCCATCTATCGCCTGGCTTACTTACCTCTCAGTTGCTTAAACTATAAACTTTAACACAAGTTGAAGAAAATGATAATTGAAAAATATTTTGATAATAGAATATATATGAGAAGTCTATTGAAATGTTTCGTTTATAATATCATAAATGGGTAGGTTATATATTAAGGCTAGTTTTCTCGTGGTTCGGTCAATTTACTACCTCATGGGATTCCTAGATGTCAGCGACTGTTATACGATATAGATTTATCACCTATAGCGCCATCTATTCCCCACTAAACTTTAATGAAGTATTCCAAGTTTTTGTATGATAGATAGAATACGTATAATTTAATAAAGCTTTTAACAAGTACAAAAAGAAATTGGAAGAAAAGAACAAATCATGACCTAATATGAATAACACAGTAATAATGTAAAAGTACGTTAACATTCAAATTTAAACTATTGAAAATAAACAGTCTTTAAGGAAATCAGGCGCACCAGAAAAATTAAACGATTAAAGGTAACAAAAAAAAGCTTTAACCATTCAATCTTTTGCTTTTTTTTGTACGCCGACGGATAAAAAATCGTTTTTTACGGGTATTGAAGTCTCCTATAAATCTCAACCAATCACCACCTCGACACGCGTCTTGAACACGGAGGCGCATGCGCAAAAGCGTGCGAGTCGCGAGTCATTCACGATGATGGAAACGGAGCGATCGCCCGACAAAGAAAACGGTAGGAAAAAAAGGCGTTCAAGCAAAGCCACGAAATCGCCTTCAGTCGTTCAAAAATTGAAAAAGATAAGAAGAGTCAAAGCGAATGATCGAGAGAGGAATAGAATGCACAACTTGAATGGTGCATTAGAAACACTACGAGATCGCCTTCCTCAATTTGGAGAAGAAAATAAGTTAACTAAGATAGAAACTTTACGTTTCGCTCATAATTATATATGGGCTTTATCAGAAACTTTAAGAATGGTTCAGAACCAACAACTTCAAATGGATGGTCAAAAAAATTTACAACTAGCCGCTTCGTTAGCTCTTCAAGGACCAAAAAATATAAATAAATTGACGCCCAACTCTCCCTGCTCATATTCTCCACAACCTCAACTGCAAGATTACAATTATTCTTTCAATTTTGACTGTCAGCAGCAATATCATCCTTATCATCTAGAATAGATTTAGAACAACCTACTGCAAAAAAAAAAGTAAAAACGGAAAGGATGAAAAAAACCGAGAACTGGCTAACCTTCTGTCGTCTACTTCGTGCTTAGTTACTAGAGCTGCGTCTCTTTTTCTTTTCATTATTCAGGTCAAAATTACAATGCTAAATACATTAATTAATTTTTTTATACCTATCCAAAAATTTTATTGCTATTCTTTCAGTTATTAATTAATTTGATAAGTAATTACTTTCTCGAGGGATCGCAGTTATTAATCAATTACCTAGACAACTAGAAAAGGAAGAAATAGAAAAGAATGATTATGTAATTGAAATATAGAAACGGAAGAATATATGCTAATTAGAAGTCGTTCTTCTATAAAGAAAATTCAATGAACCGTAATACCTGCCTTAAACCTGATTTACATAAATTTGCAAATTGGCGTTGAGATCGTAATCGGTTGAAATCGCCACGCGACTTTTGGCGCCATTTTTTTTCGACGCCACGTGCGCTTGTAATGCTATCTGCTTTATATCCGTCACCCTTAGGGCCACGATTTAACGGTATTTTTACTTAGCCCTTGTTGTATTGAAATCTCCTACCGAGTAAATCGTGATTAAAAAAGCCGCATTCAGACTCCAATATCAATTACACATTGACTTTTCATCAATATATTTGTTTGTTTCCATTTTTTATGTAAATTTCATTCAAGGAAATGAAATATATCAATATTCAATCAGGCTATTTTTTTATAAATTAATATTCGAATAGGTTATAAGGTGAACGAACATGATGGAAGATTGTGGTTCAAAGGTCTCATGAGACTTGTGCCTACTCCCTCATTGCCTTTTAGGCAAAGACCCCAGGTTTAGACAGATTGACCACGGGATATATATGAATATACATTTTATAAAGAAAAATGAAAAATAACTCTAGCGTAAAAAACAGAAGAGAATTCAATAAGAGGACTGGATAGGAAGGAGTGTGTGTGAGAGAGAGAGAGAGAGAAGCTAAAAAAGCCAGAATTTACTAAAATATGTAAATTTATGATAGTTCTCCACATAAAAAAACAGGCCTACATATCAAATATCAAACGAAATTAAAATACCTAATTTAGTCTCTTTTTTATTTAAATAAATAAATAAATAAGTAAAAACAAAAAAAGAGAAACGCAGTTGAAAAATATAAAAATTTGATTGGTTCATTAAATTCCATAAATTAAAATAACGATGCTCGAATAATCAAGTCAAACGTTGCATGTAAGAATTTAGCCTAAAGGCTCTTTCCGTATGCAATTATTATGTATATAAAAGTGAATTTTTGTACCACAATGTACTTTACATTTATTTTTTCAAAGTACGTATATAGCCTATAGCTTTAAGGCATTGGATCGAACCACTTTCATAGCTGCCACCTTATAACCTTACCGTTTAAGGGAGGTGTGTTTCGGGCATGTGGTTCCTCCTTTTAACTCCTTTATAATGCCCTCCAACATACATATTTTTAAAGAAAATTGAACTTTTACTATAATTTTGGTGGGAGTTTACAAATTATTTTTTAAAAACTTTGTTCCTAAAGAAGATCAAAGGAATTTTTATTACTCGCCTTCGACCGATTCTTAATTGCACTTGAGCTTAATGAACCTTGAAACTCTTGTTTTCAACGTTGTTTACCGACTTTTTAAGTATTCTAACTTTCGAAATAGTTAACATTATTAAATTTTGCCTCCTTTTATATTCGCAATTTCTCTTATCTTCTTCCGTTTCACTTATTCTGTAAGAAACAGTCGATGAGAAAATTGAGAGGAGCGCTATTTGATATTTATTAATCACCTTGAATTGTGTGTCATTATATGTCTCATTAATTATACATATTAATGGATAAATATGACGACGAATGACCGTTTCTTTGAATTGCTAATCCGTAATTGAACCCCTGTGGAATCCGAAGAACCCTTTTTATTCTCTCTATTTTCTTTATAGGGATAATAACCCATAAAATTAAATGAAGCTTGAAAGCATAAGAAAAATAGGTAAAACTACCAATAAAATAGAAAAGATGTTAATAATTATGAATAAATTAAAACAGGAATGAAGGAATTTCACCAAAGGAATGAACTTTTATTGAAAATGTAAGAAATTGTAAGTTAAAAAGAGAAAAGAATAAAATTGAGAATAATCACCGCGGCGTTAATTTACCGTCATTGAAATCGCCTTAGGGAGTGAAATGTCGCGCGTGTCGCCTTTCGAATGCAAACGCACGTAAAACGGCGTTTAGATCAAAGGGTCTTTGGCAAAGCGGGATTTTTGTATTTTGTATTCCTTTCTTTTTTTAAGTTTAGCCGCTTATACGGTTCGGTAGGCCTCCGTTTTTTCTCCACCCACAATTGTACGCCCATAACTTAATCCGCCTTGTCTCCTACCTCGTTCGCCTTTCCTGGTTATCCATTCGTAAAGTCGGAATCTTTTTTTCTATTCAGATGAAGAGTAAATATTAACGGAAGAAAAGACAAGGATAAGTTTTAGAAAGATTGACGTGATTTCAATACGATTATGTTAAATGTCTTTAAGTAGAAAAAGGGACAGATGCATTTTGAACAACTGTGTAAGCAGTGTGTTGCTTTAAGCCTTTCATTTCCTATTTGATAAATTCGAGGCTAGTCTGGTGGGTGGCTTCCTTTCTTCCTTACCGAAATCGTTTCCGATACCTACATTCTATTAACTTTTATCACCGCAGGACAATATATATTCTTTTCCGTTCACGTTGATTTATCATTCAATCTCGTATTAGATTCGCCTATTCAGTGTATTTTAATGAATAATTTCCACTCTATTTTACTAAAAGTATCCAAGTTTAAAAAACATTTTTTTCCTACTTAATCCCTCTCTTGTTGTTAGGTTATGTAATAATTTGAAGAAGTATCGAAGGTGTCGAGCGTTCGTTACCGTATTCCATTTCTCAGGGCTATTTTATCCAATATTACGTAACTTAAAAAAAAATAAAAGAAACACTAGTCAAAGTTAACGGAAGCGGATATGTTTTCATGTCTAAATGTCATAAATTGTAACTGTTTTACTCTTATTATTTTATTGCTACATTCTTATTGAACTATTAAAATTATATCTTCACTATGGTTATGGCTATTATTATTACTATTATTATTATTACCATTTGCAATAAAAAGAGCTTTATAATTAAGATTCAAATAGTTATAATTATTCAAAATAAAAAGTGAAAAAATTTGCATACTTGTTGTTTATTCGTTAACGGTCGAATGATCTAAGCGTAAAAAAAAGGTAGATGAGAAGAATTACGTACGGAGTTTTATGATTAAAGAATTCCATTAATAATGTTTAATTTAGCGAATATTTTAAATCGTTCAAGTTATTTGAATATCTTATCATTTTTTCTCTTCTCCTATCAAAATCTTTACCAGTGATTATATGGATATATCTATATATATATATATATTTATACGTCAAATGGGATAACATTATTTCCGTTATATCAATGAATAAAGATGTATAAGATATAAAAGATAGCGATCTTTGGCAAAGAAAAAAAATCTTGATAAAAAAGAACCGTTCTGCTTACTTTAAAGTTTAATATCTTACATGTTAAAGAGTCAGGTCATAAAGTCAGCTGTTAATTGTTTAAAATGAAAAATATTGGAAAAAAGAGGTTATATATCATTATGTAATAAAGTAAAAGTTTATTAATTGTAGGTAGAGAGTTTATTACATTTTTTTAGGTGAGAAAACTTAAGGTAAATGAACCTGAAAACTCTTCAATTGTCAAGTTAGTTCCCAGAGAATTCATGAACCTTATCAGATTCTTTGATGTTTCTATTCAAATGGTGTGAACCTAATCGGAAAGAGGTTAATTAGAAAATTACTCATGTAAGGCTTTAATAGGCAGTGGTAGTGACTAGGATTGCATTTGTGTGACGGGAAAGGTGCATTTTAAATCAATCATTAATAAAAGACTACAATAAACTTATTATAGTCTTTTGAACTATTTCAATAGAGACTAGAAAGTGTTCTTGTTATTTGATTTATTTTCATTGTAACTTAATCTTAAACGTAACACAAACAAACACACACTTATATATATATATATGTATATAAGCATATCTATCTTATTACGTAAATAGGCCTAATAAATCTACTGTATATTAAAAATATAATTATTTTCATTTATAATAAGACTTTTACAATCGATCTCTTTATCTATTTTTAGATAAACATCTTTATTATGAACGCTTAGCATTTATGTAATAATCGCAAGATTATAAGCCAATAACAGTTAAGATTTTTATCTCTTCTTTCATGACCAACTTAAATTACAGAGTAAAGAGGGAGCAAAGACGCGCGAAACGTCACAAAAGAAGTTAAAGAAGATTCCATCAAAGTTGCGCACAAAAGGAACCTTTTGACAGGAGGAACTAGAAAGAAGATTGACCAGTCGATTGACAAGACAATACGTATTTCGTTTTTGATGTTTTTAGATGCCGCTAAAGCAGGTGACGCCTTTAACTCGTTTTTTCTTCTTTCTCCGTTTTCTTTATATAATATTGTCTATTATGTCATATTGACTTGCTATCTCTTAATTATTGATCTATCCCTTAGATAATCTTTAAACGAGAAAGGGAAAGAGGAGAATGAATTTTGAACGTCAGAAAACGCCAGGTGTTGCACCATTGATCAAAGCGCCAGGTGCAGTAAGGCCGAAGAGAAGAAGTTCGCTTTTTTTCATTTTTTACCTCTAAAATAAAATACTCTTCATGAAAGCGTCCCCTAACGGGGAAGGAGATTTCAACGCCCTACATAAAAAAGTCCCTCTCGCCTAGATGACTCGTTATAGTCTAAGGTTAAAGTTGAGTTTAAAAAGGTCAACTGAGCTGGCATGATTGCGTTATTGTTGTTCGACAGTGGGGTTAGTAAATGGAGGAGTAGTGTTCTTTATTTTCACCCTGTCATTACGATTTTTTACTATTGTTATCACGTATGAAGAAAAGACACTTATTTCCCAGTATGGTAAAGAAGAAGGTGGAGAAATAACCTTTGGAACGCTTTCTTTTTTTATAATAAAATTGCACAAAGACGCGTGTTGCTCGGCGGGAGGCGACTGTCCGTTGAACGTAAAAGAAAGAGGGCGTGGATGTATAGGCTTTTCTAAATTGTTTTTTAATCTTATTCCTACACTCCAGAGTGGATAGCCAGGAGAGGTCATTAGGCAGCGGCTACCCTTTAGCGGCCTATTCGTATGTAAATTCTTCTATGTCATAGGAGAGGTGGGAGGGAAAAGGGAGTGTAGACCAGATCCGCTTGTGACGTAACCTAACTTGTACAAAGTAGAAAAACAGGACTAGTATCCGAGTCTTCCGGTAAACCGGAAATGACAACGGGCGTCAAGTTGCCGCTATTTGCACATATTCCATAATTACATAATCAATAGACAGGGTAACATTCTCCCATTGTCAAGATTTTAAATGAACGCACCATCAAGTGACCGTTTAACGGAAGAAGTCACGCCACCTTTCGGTCTGACGTATTCAACTATTCAACCTTTGGATTCTCAGCTTTACAGATACTAATTATAACATCAATGTGCTGACATATTAAATCATGGATTCTCGCTAACAAAGATTTGCACTCTCTCTTTAACTTTCTTACAAATTATTCTTATTCCGCTTTTTAAACAATAAGCATTATTTCTTTTCTATTCAACCATTAATAGCCCATTCAGTTCTTCTCCATCCAATTAAAGGAGGAGAATAGGTTGAAAGTGAGTCTTATAAGTTCACCTTAGGGTATTTTGCGGTTGGCAATCGCCATATTGAACAAATCCTACTTCAAATAACGCCGACATAAGATCAAGTGTTAAGAGTCACAGAAATTTCTAATTGTACGAAATTGGATACTTTTTTTAACGAAAAGAGAGAAGAGAAAGAAACATTTAACGATTATAACGTTTATGATTTAAAGCAAGCTTATCAACTTTTTCATTTTTTTGTCTATCAAACTTTTTATCTGTTGTTTCATATAAAGTTAAAGGTCCGTTATGCAAAGCAAGTCTTGCCCTTTCCTCCATAAGACTCCGTAATCTACATTGACGAATATATTTCTTCTTTCTTTCATTTCTCGATATTAATACTTTAACTATGAGGACAATCATTGCAAAATTCAAAAAAGTCATAACTAAAGTCATTAAAACTAGAACTGCAATTGATGATGAATTAGAATCACTCTCTGTAAAGAATATAGGCCGAGCTAATTCTTCGTGAGAAAGGGAGGTATTTGACGATTTAATGTTAAAATCATCACCAGATGTATCATAAACATAATCCATAAAAGCTTAATTTTTGTCATTCAATCGATAATAAATATTTATAATTTCATTTAAATATATTTTTTGAATATATTTACATAAATATCGCTGTTTATAAAATGCTTTACAAATATATTAATTATTAAGTTACAAGATCTACTATAGATGGCGACACCTGACAATAAACGAAAGAAACAAACTTCGACAAAGAAAACCTTATTTATACAACCGATAATGAAATTTATTGCGAAAAATAAATCAAATAAGCAAAAAAAAGACGCAATTACGTAATTATAACGATATGACAAAGGAGAATTAGACAAATTGTTTTTTTTATGATATGCTAATAAGAAAATTTCGTGTAGGAACCAGGAGAGAAAGAAAGAGAGAGAAAGGAAGAGAGAGAGAGAGAGAGAGAGAGAGAGGGAGAAAAGGTCGTAAAATGGAAAGACAATTCTTAAAAATATCTTATTATTTAAAGAACTTTATTCTAATTAGATTAAAAAGAGAAAAAAATATTAATACGGCACTGGGAAGACAGATTTTATTTTTAGTATCATTCATAAATCCTAAAAATGGCTCTTTCATGAAACAAAAACGTTATTTCTTTGTAAAGAAATGAATTACTGTATACATAAGAAAATATCTGCAGTATACGTATATTAATACAATTAATAATCAAGTATCAAGTACAATATACGTTAGGTACTTAATTATTGTATAGGTTTACTATTTTTGTTCAACAATAGTAATAAGGTCTTTTCTTTTAATAGTCTTTAATAGAAAGGAATATATTGCACAATTGAAATTCTTAATTTAAATCGTATCTTTTTTTTTCTTAGTAGTGATATCTACATATTGAAGAAGCATTTGAAAAAGATATTACATAGAATATTCACAAATTTATGCTTATTACAATATAAGATTAAAGCACATAAGAAGGAAAGAAAAGAACAAATTGCATGAGAAAAGTCATTTTTTTTAATCTTTTAACGTGTTATCCAAATCCTCAAGAGTCAATGCTCCCGTATTACCGGAAATCGATCTGGAAAAGCTGCGAATATCGAAAGAGATTCCAGAATCGCAACTGAATTTAGGTAACCCATCAGTTATTGGTGTGGAAAATTCATTCGTAGTATCTGCTAAGAAAGTTTCGGACCCGGTTTTCTTTAAAGGTGTAGAATGTAACAAGAAATCTGGTATGGTCATAGTATCGCATTTTATTGGCCCTCTCTGATCATCGTACGTATTACTTTGGGCAGTAGTTAGAGTTTCGAAAAACGAACAGTCCGCCGTTATTTTTTTAGGGGGCGCTACAGGTGGTTTGGAAGATTTTCTACTCTTCGAAGTAAAAACATTCCGAACAGAACTTGAGAATTTGTTGAAACTATTCTTCTCTCCATCAACATTAGAACCACCTATAGAATTCCGCCGTTCTGGATGTTTCTTACTAGATATTCGTCTGATAATCTGTTAATAAATAAAGGAGAAAATAAGAATACAAAGGCTGGGTTTGACCTAAAAGAACCAATCATACAATTATACTTAATAGATATTTACTAAAAAATTTTATAGCCAATTAATAATATTTCGGTTGTTTTTTATATAAATATTACATAGTAGAGCGCTTATACTGTATATACTATATGCTACATATGTTTGCTAATAAAATATGTAAAATACCGTTGTTTCTCTTAGAATGAGGACACCAAATTCATCAAACTCTGGCGCCTTATCTAGTTCTCCACTTCTTAATTCTTTTAAAACTATTTCCACTTCCATATCATGACAAGTAGGTATTTTAAAATCTAGGATGAATAAGAGTAGTTTTTGTTAGGCCTATGAAATTACGTTTCTTAAGTTTAATAAATACAAACCAGAAAACTCTTGGGTAGTCCTTAGCAGAACCTTTTTACGATTTAAAACCGATAAAGGTTTATCATGATCGATTAGTTGATGGGGCGTTGCATTGATTGTATGAATTAACAAGTCCGTAAGTTTTAGTTTAAATTTAGGTAAGATAGGCTTAAGAAAATCCCGGATTGATTTCTCCATTTTACCCCTAACACCATAGGCTCTACCATCCATGAGATAAATAGAAAATGTAACTCTTTCTTCTATTTTAATCTCTTTTGATGTAAAATTCCGACATGGATCGTTTGGATTTAAGGGCTAAAAAAAAGAGGACAAAGAGAGAAAAACATAAATATTCTTTTAAGTAGAAAATAATATATGTGCATTAGCAATGGCCATAGTAAGGTATTAAATGTTCTAAAATATTAGATACAATATGTTTAGTATATAATCATTTTATATATAATTTTTATTTCTTTTCAAGTTAATATTAAAAAGTACTTAAAAAAATGATTATCGATTTTAATGAGATATAGACAAAAGTAGGAGGAGTAACACTAAAATTTGTCTAGAATGATATACACCGCTAGGGGGTGTTGCAACTTACCACATCGACTCCAACTTCGAAAGCTTCGAACGCCGACATCTGATGATCAGATCCTTGCCTTTGGCAATAATTGCAGACGACCTTGTACAAACTGACGTCTTTATCTGTTTCCCGAACGGTGGTCTGCTGGCCAATTCTAAGCCTAAAATAATTCTTTTCTAAATTATCAAGAGCCATTCCAGGACCATCTACAGGTGTTGTAGGAACACTTAAAGGTTTAGGATTCCTAGGATCGGATATTTCTATTTTATCCAATTTGAATTCTGATCTTCTAGCTAAATATAAATAGAGAAGAAAAGATAAAAAATTGAATAAATAAATAAAAATAAACAAAACAAAAGTAAAAAAAATACAATAAAATAGAATAATTAAATTTAGTTTTTATAAAAATAGCCATTATACTATTTTAAATGAATTAAAACTATATCATTTACTTTTAGTCCATGGCAATAATGTTCTTTTTCGACTTGCTGGAGATTCTCCCCTATTTTTTAGTGTTTCTAAATCTTTTTTCTCAAGTTTCCTATCTTCCATATCTTTTACAACGCTTTTTCTATACATTTCTGATTTTAGGAATCTTGGATAACTATCTTGCTTCATTAGGCAGTAAATTTGCTTTTGGGCTGAACGGAATAGGTTGGGAGACAATTCTTCTCCTTTCATACCATCCTCTGTAATCTTCTTGGCCACGCAATCAATATTAACCATAAGGGAAGCGCCCGAAGCTAAATGGTTATCGAATATTTCTTCTGCTAGTAGTTTTCTCTGCAATATGAAGCCGTTTAAGATTATTTTCAATTTGTGAAAAACAAAAAACAAACCTGATTAGGATCAGACAATTGATTATATTCCTGGCATCTTTTCCAAAAGATAATATTCTCATCACTATATTCCTTCTCAAGGAATTTCTGAAAAGAAACAATGGAATGTAATTATTACGCACTAAACAATAAAAGGCTTACCGTAAAAGTATTCAATCCTTCTACATCCTCTAACAGTCTATCAAAACTAACAGCCCATCCAGCAATCCTTCCAATACTCGGTTTACGATGAAGCGGACTTCTTAGCTTACCCCTATTATCAGCCTGATTCTGAGTATGCGCCAGCCTGACAGTTTTTACCTCTTCTTCGGGGGTTAGCACAGACTGAAAATGAATAATTTGTCAGAGAGAAAATTGATAATCATTTGTTTCTCAAAACACGTAAACAAGATATTTCTTCAAATTCGTAATTATCACAACAGAATTGATACTTGATATCGTATATGATAAACGTAAGAATACCTTACCCAGTACATATAAATAACTCTTAATGATGCTGTACATATAATACAATATACATATTTAAATATAATTCATATATGTATATATGTAATGTATTCTGCCAAGGTTAAACGTTATTTGACAATGGAACAACGCAGGCCATCAAATTAATTAATAACCTAGTAAATAATCATATATATACAAAGGAAAGTTAAGTAACTTACAACCATTAGGCAGGCTAGGCTATTCGATTTTTTCAATTCGTTTATCCAACCGCTTGTCATATTATGGACGATTTTTATACCTTCTATCTCTAGACCAATTGCTATAACATTGTCTTATCTCATTTTAGGCCTACAACAGTGGCCAAACACGGTGCTGCTTACCAAATTAATAAATAAAATTATTTCTGATAAATTCTAGTATTCAACTGTAATTTTTGTGAATATCCAAGAACAAATTTCATTGAGGAGAGATGGAAGAGAAACTGGTAGTAGACTATAAAACGTACGGAAAAAATAGCCTAGAACGGTTTATGCAAGCGTATAAAATAGAATAATCGACAGCGATATAGAAATAGAATAAATACTGTCGATCGCCTACTGCAGTAAAAAAATTTCACCTTTCTTTTCCATCTCTCTCTCTCTCTCTTCTATTACTCTGTTCTACTATCTCTTTCCTTTTATCTGCTTACTGTCTGTATCATTTCTCATACAACAGCGCTGTAAATATCTCAAAACGGCCAAAATTGAACCAACTGATTAATTAACGTATTTACAAAAACGCATTATTTATAGGTCTAATTGTTAATTTTTAATCCAATATTACTATAAATAGAAAGATAGAGAAAATTCTTTTATGGGAGGTAGATTACAATTTCTCTATAGGCCTATTGCCAAGAGAATAAATAAATGTCATACAAGTTTGTATTTAGGACTTGTTTCGCAAATGATCTTATTGAATTAGTCATATATTTTCTACAATTAAAAGTAATTACGAAAAATCGGTTCTAACCAATTAAAATAGTCGATTGTCTGTTATTTTCATTCGCTAAATTAATGAATATTAATGAAAGGCTTTAGGTTGGAGGAGGCGGGGGGTGGGGGGGGGAGAAAAAGAAAGCAGTGGAAAACATATAAGATAAAAAATGTGGACTTTTTAATATATTAAATATTTGTAGTTAGTGAAATAGGTATAATTAAATAAATCAACAATCAGTGAAATAATCAAAACAGATGATAGTCAGCTTAATTATTCGTTGTTTATGTTAAAGTTTCCGGTTTAGAAGTACGTCAAACCAATAACTGATTTCATAAAAACGATATGTATATATACACACATATATGCATGTTGTATATACTGTGTATAATAAATAAACAGTGTTGAAACACGTTTTATTTCCAACAGTTTATTTGGTTCAAAATGAATACGAGAATATTAATATAGATTTTATGATAGTATTTAATCGATACTGCAAAACTAAAACTTTTTTTTCAAAGATTGATAGCCTTAATTCATTGACCTAGTTTTTTATTTAAAACATATGCTTAAATGATGAATGTTACTTAATAAATTATAAATAAAAACATAGTAAACAATTGACAACTTACTTTTTGTGATTTGTGTTTTAATCGATCTATCTTTAATGATTTTGAAAAGTCATCTTTATGCGATATAAAATTTGGTAAACGGTGTAAATCAGTCAGCCATTCTTGTTTATGCTTTGGTCTCCTTATGGTTAAACTAAACCAATCTACAACGCTCATTTTTAACAATCTTTCAGCCAGCAAGTCAACGTTTATTGGTAGAGGCGATAAGAGGCATAACGAAGTAATCAGCTGGGGTATTAAAGCCAGGCTATCCGTTTTTTTTCTAATTAATCAACTTAAAATACAAATATAGTCAAGAGAAAGTAAGCAGAATATCCAACTTTGAAATTTGAACGGAGACTGACTAGTTTTCTAACTGAAAGATGCCAAGCACCTGTTCAGTCCTTTTAAATACAGGTGCGTGTTCAATTCTCCAGAACACCTGCCCTTTACTCCCTTATCTTCGATATTATGGAGAATAGAGGATTAAGTTTATCTTTCTTTTTTCTCTTTATTAAATAAGCTAAGCCTGTAGCTGATTTATATTTCAAGTTAGTGGGTTAATATCCGTATTTAATGATTCTATCCTTTGCTAGCAGAACGATAGGAGACGTGCATAGGAATTTAAATCTTAACGGTAGAGCATACCACAATTTGGTCACGTGCCATATAACATCTGTCTACTATGACGCTCGTATTGAAATCACCTCTAGCATATAAACAGAAATACATAATGTTGAAATGGTCTTTATTTTTAATTTTACTTTATTAAGTAACATTTATAGAATAGCTGATTTATCTCTTTCATTAACGTAATGCTTTCAACTTTTCATCTCTTTCTTTTTATCTTATTTTTACGTTTTCCCATTCCCGTTAAACACACACAAAAAACTAAATTGTTTAAAATAATTTAGAATCACCTTTGAATTCGTACTAAACGTTTTTAGGTCAGGAAGTCGTTTAAATAATATATGAATAGACTAAGTAAACAATAGATATGTAATTTTGAAGTTAAAATAAAATAAATCGTCACGCCATCTAGTGCTGATTTATAATGTTGGTTTCTTTTTTTTTCCTTTTAAAGAATCGTTTTTTTATTAAACTATTAAGACCGTTTAGTAGATAACATTTATTTGATGGAGCCTAAACAGAGATTCATTATTGATTTCCTTATAAGTAATGATTGAAACATTTTAGTAGGTACAAAATACGAAGAAGAGAAAGTTAAATATGAAAACAGACTAATGATTAAAGGAAAATAGCCATCTAATTAGTTTTAGCGAGGTCACACCTAAGGCGTTAGACGTTGTCTAGTGTTTTTTTTTCTATTTTTAGTGACTTTTGCACCATGCTCATTAATTAAACGACTTTTTTAAAGTTGTAAGAGAAGAAATGAAAAGTAGGAAGATAAAAAGCAAGATACATAAGTAGCCGAGAGAGAGAAAGAGAGAAAATTGTTCCAGATAAATTTAGTATATATAGTATATATATATATATATGTAGGAAAAAAAACTTCAAAAGTATTACAGTACCTGATAACATAAATAAAACAATGTATGAAATTTAAGGATAAGCCTACATCAAAGTATAAGAGTAAAATTTTTTAAATGAACAAAGGAAAAGAAGAGGTCGTTTAACTTTTTCCTGTCCTATTTATAGGAGGACGATTTATGTTTATATAATCGTTTTTTAAATATAACAATGATTTTATCCTGCTCAATTTAGTTTCTATTATTAAAGAAATAAAAAGAGATAGGCCTTCCAGTTTATTATTTATTACTTTCAATGCGTCTTTTACTCTTTTTTATTATAGTTATTTTTTAGTATAATAATTATTATCTATTCTTGAACCAAATTTATTTACACCTCTTACTTTTTAGTATGCTTTTTTTGTTTTTCTTTCTCTCCCGATTGAGAAGGAAAATAGGACATTTATGTTGTTTTGTTGCTTTTTTGTTTGTTTAAAGGAATAATCACATTCATATATAAAACAGTGAAATACTAAAAGGATATAAAATAGTCATTGTCGTTTATTCCCATCGTTAATTACGTAATATTTCCGATGATTTTTACTTTCATTATAGATTAGAAAAAAAACGAAAGGAATGGATAATAGTACCAATCATTACGTAACAAACATTTCTCCTTTTTGGACGACAAGATAAATGATGAAATAACATACCTCGTTAAAATGAAGAACGGTATTTCGTCTGAATTTTAATCTTAATGATCTTCCTCTTCGTAGCGGTCTTTCAGGCTTGAAGGGGGCGAGAAACAAATATTTTATAAATTTCAGCTTAAAATTCTTTGTGTATCCATTTACCGTTTCAAAGTGTAAAACTTTCGGTTTATTATCACGAACTTTCTTCACCCTTTTCGGAGTTAAAAGGTTAGTGAGAAGGTTATCCAAGCTTCGTCTATTCTTCGTTGTTAATAAAGAGACAGGAGACGAAGAGTCAGGTGTAGTCCTAAATTTCAATTTTGGATGTAAATCATCCATTCTTCTAATCACAAAATATATTTTTGAATTGTTGAGATAAAACTTGACAAAGAGGAAGTGAGAGAGAAAGAGAGAGAGAGAGACGGGTAGAGTGAGAGTAAGAATGAAATAGTACAAAAAAAACACAACTAAATATATTCTCTATCAGAGCTTTGGAAACAACTGCTAGGGGAATAATTGATAGGCCCTTATAGGCCCTTTTCTTCTTCGTTTTTTCTTTTTTGATATCCAATACGTGTTCTTTCAGAGGTTGTTATTCAATATAGAGAAATAATGAGATCGAATGGTAAATTAACAAAAAAGAAGAAAAAATACTTATTCTCTTATCCTTTCAACAAAAAAACTATTAGCCACAAAAAGTTTGTATAAACAAATAAAATTCAAATAAATAAATTATGGAGAAAAATCTGGCCGCCGGTGAGAAAGTTTTTAGTAGAAGTTTCTTATTCGAATGACGTCAGATAAGTGGTAAAGATAGTCGTAGGTAAGGGGGGAGGGGAAATAGGGTAGGGGGGGTAAAAAAAGAGACGTTAAAGAAACTTTCACCCTTTAAAGGTTTTAGTCTTGTAAAACAAAATGTTTGAAAAAAAAATCAAGCTTTCATCTCACTTTAAAGATCTTTTTAAGAATTAACTAATTTACTTACTTTGTTTGGTTGATGGAAAACTAAAGAAGTGAATGTTGATAGAAGCAAGCTTGATTATTATTCTTTTTATATTAAGTGTTGTTAAAACAATCATTTAACTCTGATGTATTTCTAAGTTAATTATTGTATTGTATACTTTTTTTCACCCTATCTGTCATTTCTTTATGTTTTATTTTCGTACTTATTTTTGTAAACATGTTTACGTTGTTTTTTGTTCAATTAACGACCTTTTATCGCTTTCATTCACTCATTCGAAAAATTGACGGATAAATATTATTTAACCCTCATTGGCGCCATCTTCAGTGTAATATATTCTATTTTGTTTTTCCAATGTATGGTGTAGTATTTAATATAGTGCATTCTAATATTTTATATACATCAGAGAGAGAGAGAGAGAGAGAGAAAGTGCTTGATTTCTTCTAACTCCTTATGTCTAAAATTTAGGACAATATTAAGAAATCGATGTTTATAGGGGTAATTTCCGAAAAACCCCTTCCCAAAAAAACTGACATTAGGTTTTTAGGTAAATATATTAAACTTGGGCTATACAAAGCATAAAATATTATTTTCGGTTTATTAAATAATTTACGTTTCAGCTATTACATATTATATTAGATTACTTTATGATATATATAGTATAAAGTTATAAAAATAATCAAAAACAAATCGAAAATATATATTTTTATAATAGTAGTGTAGTTAAAGAGAACTTTTTCTTATAGAAGATAATAGCTTTAATGTTAAATATAGTACTTGCAGTGAACCGTATTTAATGAAATTTATATAAGTAATGTGAAAAATTTTTAAATTATCTATTTAAGGACAATCGTTAACCAAAGACTAAACTAGTTGAAAATGAATGGCAGGTGATAATAGTAACATTAACGTTCTTCAAGATAATGACTAAAGTAACATTTTGACGACAGTTTCAACATATCCAAACAATAAATTCATTAGCGTCGTATGTGTACAGAAAGTATAAAAAAAGAAGTGAAGAAGAAGAAGAAAAAATCTGCAATACGCCTATAGCGAACTAATAATTAGCTGAGTTTATGAATTCTTAATAATTTTCGCCAATATAAATGTTTTCTTTTCCAGCAGATAAATCATTACCTTTCTTAATATTTTTCATGTATATGTAGAGGTATTCTGCACCGAATATTCATATTCTTTATTGAAATGTCTTCTCTCTGAAAAAATATGAAAATTCTATTTTAATGTATAAAGATAATGTATTGGACTTTTTTGTAATAAAAACTATTTAACTGTAATAATTTTAAATTTAGTTTAAAGGTACACACGAGAGATAGAAATGACAAAGAATATGAAAGTTCCGGGAAGAGGATACTTCATAATTTATTCAGAGAAACAAATAGTAAAATCTACACTGAGACTATCTACTGCAATCGAACGTATCGGAAACGGAAGGCTGCTCATATATGGAAAAAAATCCAATAGAAAACTAAATGTAATTCAATAAAAAAATAACAGCTCAAAATGACAAAAAAAAGTAATTATTTACCAGTCACGCATCAATTTCACTCTTCTTTTTTCAATCCAATTAATCTACTAAAGCTAGTTTCCTCAATTGACTCCAATATATTGTATATATACAATGTATATCTACAAGCATATGGTTTTTTATAATTGATACAAAATATCAATAATTTTTTACTAAAATAGAAGGGAAAAGGCTAATATTCTTGGATTTAATAAAATCATTATTGAGTTACTGAAGTAAAAAGTTTGGCCTATATTTATATATATATATATATATAGTTGTTTATTATTAAACTAACTATATATATTAATTAAAGAATTAATTACTTTGCGATAATAATTATAAATTATTTGTTTTAACATACAAAGTGTATGCTGATTATAATATTATTTGTTTGTTTCTTCTTTGTTTTATCCTCTTCTTCTTCTTCTTCTCCTTTTTATGTTTATAATAAAGTAATTTATGATTTAGAATAGACAAGGAAAGTTCAACAAGAATATTAACTTAATAGAAGAAACTTAATTAGAATCTTATTTGAAAAAAATTATCAACGATAAGGTTTTTCTTTTCTAAGGAAGAAAATCTATATTTAGATTATGTTTTTTTTTCTTTCGATTTTCTAATTTACAGTTTTCTCTTAAGTGAAAGTTTTTAGAGGGTGAGAAAACCTGGTCAAAAGAAAGATAACGTATCAGAAAGAAGAGCTTCCCCGTGAGAATTTCAACGGACGAGGCTGTCTTCAACGCCTCTCTTAGCGCATAATTATCCCATTTCGTTTTTTTGCTCCCCCAACCCCTCTTAAGGAGAATTTTCCAGCGTGAAACCCTTCATTTATTTTCTAATCAACGGATCTCTAGCGATGAGAGCAAGACGAAAGTTTAACTAGGTAAAATTTTAACTAAGTATATATAAATCATGATAGCTTTAATGGAAGAATAGTAGTTTGTTTCTTTATCAAACTATCTAATTCTGTTCATTCATAAATTAGCACTAAGACAAAAGAGAATATGGAAACTGTTAAGAAAAATATAATAATAGACAATAAGATAACCTAGAAAAAATTAAATGAATAATAGAAAGCGAGAAAGGGAAGAGAAAGATTAAAAAATTATTGCAATGGTCAGAATGCTTAATAATAGCAATATGATAGCTTTTGAAGTCTTTGAAGATGATGTGTTAGTGTAAAATTTGCAACAAATAAATGTTAAGACTAGAATAGAAAGAAAAATTGTGTCAGAAATTATGTTTTTTCCTTTTCTCTCTCTCTCTGTCTTTCTTCCTTCCTTTCTCTCTAGCTTCCTCGGATTTTTTCCCTTATAATTCTATTTTTCGAATTCTTATATTTATTTTTTATTGATTAAAAAACAATTAATGAACGACGAGTTGCTTAGAAGTTAATAGCTAAATAGTTGATTAGAAACTAAATTACCTCATCATTTACGTATAAACATACGTTTTTTACTAAAGTAATACATTTTGGCACATCTTTGACTGATAAATTACTAAGGGAAAATAATTTAGAAAAAAAGCATTTGTTATGAGTTATTTATATTTATTCATAAATTAAATGATAATAATAATAACGTTCTAATTTATAATCTAAACAAAGGTAATCAAAGGTTCTTAAGAAAAAATAAGGTTCATTTCGAGAACAAGACGGATAAAAAAAAGTGAATGTAAAAGAGAAAATGTAAAACCTTCTTTACATAGAGGCATTGTTTACTGTACGTACTATTCCTGAACGGAGATGAATATTCTATGCTTAGAGCTATTGATAGCGTAAAGTCTTCAAGATTAAAAAAATTACTTATACAAATAAAAGAGAATTAACAAGATATTTTCATTACGTTCAGTTAAATGATGTAATTTGAATAATTTTGAATAATATGAAAATGCTTTATAATGTTTAGGATCTAGTTTACAAATGTCTTTATCGTTAGTAGTTTATTTTTCTATAAATGTTAAATAATAAGAAATCCTCTCTGCTGCAAAGTTCGCGTACTTTTGAAAAGTAGGGATTAAGGAGAAAGTCTAATCAAGACGGTTTTTCGTTACAGCGCCTTTCTTTGCGTTCCTCTCCATTTTCGTTATCCGGGGAGAGAGGTCCCTCATCTACCCAAACGGACTTTTGCGACTGTCTTTAGCTCTTAAAGTATTGACTCGTCTCATGGTGAAACCAGGTTTTTTTCATGAAAATTTCACTGATCCTATATCGTAGGGGAGACAATAAATCAGCAAGAATTTTAAGGCCTACTCTCCGATCGACACTTCACCGACAGGGAGAGGCCCGTTTATAAGATTAGTCTTTAGTCAAAAAGTCCACTGTCTTGGGAAAAGAATCTCTTTGTTTTATACAGTCTACACGTAAATTACGTAATCGCTTCTGAAAAAGCGACGGGTAACGTCGTTTCAATGTGTTCGGTATTAGCGGAAAGCCGATTAGACGCCTGACTTTCTCTTCATTTCGCAGACTCCTTCCTTTCGTCTAGGCCTAGGAAAACTGGAAAATATGTTAGACTTCTACTGGTAAATCATAAATGAGAATGACAAATACGTTTCGTAATGGACTAAACAAGCAAATGGAGGTGACGCCGCGATCAAACGGATTGATTTTTTATAGAACGGAAGTGGAGAGACGCTTTTAATTGTTTTGTATTAGTCACTTAAGGCGTTTTCAAGCCGAACTTGCCTACTGTCGTCTCTTGAGACTCTATTAGACTTCGTTTCGAAGTCGTCTCTTTGTTTACAATGTCGATATTCTTTTACAATCTTACTCTTAATGGCGTTATTAGCGAGTAGCGTTTCTACGGCGACGCCTAACGTATTTTAGATGGGCGAAAAGTAACGCCAGTAACGCCGTTTCTAAATCGAATAAACAAAAAGGGTAAAAGCCGCGGCAGAAATCACGATAGAGGCGCCACTAACATCTGTTAGCGTCACTTTAATCAACGTCGTCACGGGCGTCACCGAATTTATCTTTCTTATCTGAGTTGAGCAAGTAGCCAAGTCCTATACAAATCTCTTCTGAAAGACGTAAGTTTATTTTCTTTTTTTTTTAGACTTTATTGACCAGCTTTCTTTTCGGAATTAAACGATTATTACAAAGCAAATAAAATCATCTACAGAGGATAATAACAGTTAAGTGAATGGGTTTTGAAATTAAAATTTCTCAACAGCTATCAATCTTGTTAAAATTTAACGCTTCGACGCTTTCCTCCCTCCTTTAACCGTTACTTAAAGAGGAAAAAGTTTTGATAATATAAGAACGAAAACTTGTCGATTAATATTACAAAGTAGGATAGAGATTGTAAAAAAAACAGTATTTAAGTGGTTTGTCAGGGGTCGAGTTATTGGTAGGCTTTACTAATAATTAATGACTAGGCGTTTATGATGGACTGAAGGATGAAATAAACTAGTACATCTCTCTTTCTTTCGCTTTCTTACACGCTCTCTCTCTACCTTCCATTCTCCTGCTCTTTTTATTCTTCTTTAATGGTTCTTTTTCACATAGTATCTTTAAACGAACGATAGGAGGAATGATAGCTCTTCCTACAAAAAATCAAATATCGAAATGTTATGGGGGAGCAAGGACTACAGAACTTCTGACGAGTTTTACGAATTTATATTAATTACTTGTGTAGGTGGTATTCTCCCTTGAAGTTCGCAGAAGGAAGGAAGAAAGGAAATTCCTTTCGTATCCAACGGCTGTTTAAAGTCAATGTTTGTTTGTCGGTTAGTTTTTGTAAGAGAATTTGCTTTACTCAAAGATCACATTCGCCACGTATGCATTAACGCAATCGAAGGGAAATGGTAGCGAAGGAGAAAAGAAATTGTTATTGCATCACTTGAAGTTTTTCCACTGTTTGTCACTATATAGTTTGTCAGAAAGTGCAGTCAATTGCAATCTTCTATTATTAGCTACGACGCGGCTAAAAGAATTCAGTAACTTTTTCTATATCTATTTCTTTTCTTTTCTGTGCAGTTTATTATCATTTGGTCAAATAAAGAAAAATAGATTTATCAATATAATAAGCCAATTATAAATCTGTTTGAATGTCAATTTAAGGTATAATGAGGAAGAAAAATTGTAAATCGTTATGATCACTCTGTAAAACCCATAAGATATTTGCTCTTGCTCTGATTGATTTTCTCATTGTTTGTCAGTGGTTTGTCAAAGAATTCAATCATCGGCTATTTCTAAATAAACCAGAAAACATTAGGTAAAATAAGTATATTTTGGTACATATACAAGAGCGTATCATAGTAGAAAAGAGCATTCTTCGTTATTTTCTTCTGTATGTGTGCACTTGAAACATAACCCAGAGACCAGTGCTACATTTTCCACATTTTATTTTTATTTAAGGCAATAATTCGTTCTCTGGCAATTAAAGATAAAGAGAGTGAGAATAAGAAAGAGCAAGAGTAAGAGAGGGCAAGAGAATGAGAGAGGGGGTAGGGAGGAAGAAAGATGGAAAAAGGGTAAGAAGGCGTTAACGGCAGAGGAAGGGAACGAACGAAAGGTGTAAAGTCATTCAATGAAATGATATTATGTCAAAACTGGTTTATTTTTTCCGTATGTAATTTGTCAGTAGTTGTCAAAATGCTTTTGTTGAGTCAGGACGGTCAAGCTTGAGCAATTATTAATGACTAGCAATGGTATAAAGCGAAAAGTGAGCTTTTGATGAAGCGTTGCGACGAGACGAGAATTTACTATTAACGAATTTTTTTCGGATAGCAAAACCAACTCAATATTTCCTAAATATAGATAATACTATAAAGTAAATAGTAAACGTTATTTACACTTTGCCTAACAAACTATTGATTATTAGTAAACAATAACAAAAAAATGCATTATTTCATAAAGACAACACGGTAGCGTGACTAATCTCTATAGTAGGGGAAAAGGATGGTAATTTTCTTTTTTTAAATTTTGAATGCAATCCCTACTCGACTAAATCTAATTAAACTATTAAAATAGTTAAGAGATGTTCAGGTAAAGCGTGATTTTTTTTCTCTTTCATTCATTCTGTTTGTCTCGCTATCTCCTCCCTCTCTATCTTTCTTTCTCTTTCCTTTTCTTCCGTTTTCTCTCCTTCCCTTTTTTTAAACATAAATCAATACGATCGGTTTTATAACGATTTTTCCGTCATAAACTCATTTATAATCAGCACCAGTAATTACACTCTTCTGCAATTAGATAAATGAAGAGCAGATATTTCTTTTCTTCATTTTTCCATCTCTTAATCCCCAATGTTATCTTCTTTTTCTCTTTTCATATTATATTTCTTATTAAGGAATTAAGGTCTTTCTGTTAGTATTACTATTTGATAGAAAGCATAAACAAAATAGAAAGTATAACTGTTATTTGACAGATCTCTGTACCCTATTTAGTTTTATTTAAGTGCAGATAAATAGCTTTAAACTTAGGTATCATTGCAGTACAAATATAACACTGAATAGGAGAAATAAGAAAGAAGTAAGACATAAATCTCTACAATTGAGGTTAATTCTAAATTTAGATGAAAGATTTAAAAATATCTAATGTAATTATAGACATAGAAATTTTTAAGTTTTTAAGCATATTCCAATTGTAAGAAAATATTATAAGTCCTTTTTTTGTTTTTAGTTAAATCTATATTTAGTCTGCTTTCTTTTTTTTTTATTATAAAAATTAATGATTTTTTATTGAACGTTAAAAATGTCCCAGAGTAAGCGGAAGTTACATAATTATTAAGCTTTAAATTATGGTTCTTTTTATGTTTTGTGATATAAATGGTAAAAACAATTGAATTATTTACAAGTAATGGTTAATTTATTTATTTATCGATATAATTAGCTAATTTATTAATATTAATGATGATAAGGTGAAGAAAACTTGGAAATCATTGAGAGAGTGAAATATGAAAAGCCGTTAATTGATTTTGCATTTATTTTTATGTTGATTTTTGTATGTTTCTTTTTTTTTTGGAGATGCAAAAAGGTTGATTTTTTTTATATAATGAAAAAATTAAGAACGGAAGCTGTTGGTTGATTCAGTAAAATCATTCATTGGAAGTAACACTGCAATTTTTTTCAATTTCCATACGAAAAACGTTGCACCTATCAATCAAGCAGACTTCGATTTTCACGTCGTGTTTTAATAAACTGTACAGTATCAGCGTCTAAAGCGTCTCTCCTCGAAGACGGTCGTTTGTCAAAAAGATCCTCTAGCAGAATTACCATTTAATTATACGCGTAAAAGCTCGTTTCGACAGGTCGGTATTTTCCGAGTTCCAAATTACCTAATTATACTAGTAATTATTTCCCGATATCCTTCTAGATAACTTATGATGTAAGTCATGCTAAATAACCAGATATGATAATGGGTTCTTAGAAGTAGTGTAAATTAGCTTTTTAATCATTTGGTCTAGAAACAATATTGATATATTGTATCTTGGGTTTAAGTTAATCTATCAAAGTATAAATAAAAACAAGGGCAGGATATTGGACAAAGGTTAAAATGAAGAGAAATAAGTTGAATTTAAAATCTTAACATACTCTTTAATATTGACGTTTCTCTTTTTATCTTGCCGTAAAAGGACAAACAGCCATTAGCATAGGCCTATTAGTTAATTACGGAGCTCGTTTGTCAATCAGAGACCAATTTCTTTAATTTTTAGTTGCGTACTATTTGAAACGAAAGTTTCAATAATGAAACTTTAAGAAATGAATAGAAATGATTTACGGTTCACAAGAGAGGCAAAGAAGAAACATGAAACAGAAATTTCTTGTAAAAGAGGAAAACAGAGGAAGAAAGAAAAAAAAGAAAAGGAATGGGAAGGACAAGAGAAAGAAAATTATAATAGAAGAAATAAAGATAATTAGGGGCTAGTGTTTTATTGATTGAAACGAGTGGAATTTTTAATAGATTTCGATAATTGAATTTTACATTCTTTTATTCCGACTTTCGTTTTATTTCAACAAAACAGCCTTAACGTTTTCTATTTACAAAGATATTAGCTCGTGTAATTACTTGATCTCTCCTCGTATTCTGACATTTATTAACAGCAACAAAGTAGAATACGCTACAGCAATGTGTGAAATAAATATACATGTGTTTTAGAAGTTACCAATAAAATAAATCTAAGGGAGAAGAGAGATATAATAGCACAACAGGGGTTCATCAAGTTCTAGATATACCATTAGTTCCGCTTTTACTTAAACGCTTAAATTAACGTTCACTTATTTTTCTTTAGGTTTCTTAAAAACGATCTATTGGTCATAGAAGGATAAATCGATCAGTATGGATAAACACTCAGAAGTTAATCAATTATGAAATCATGAAATCAACAATTCTTCTTCTTCTTCTTTCAAGCTTTATGATAAAAGTTTTATCTCACAGTTGTGAAATATATACAGTAAATAATCAATTAAGCGCTCGTTGTAATAATTTGAATCTTAATGAAATTCCGACCGATCTTGATTCACAAATTAAAGTTCTCCGATGTGAATCAAATCATCTAACTTCTATCTCCTCCGTATCATTCGTCCGTTACTTTCAACTGCAAGAAATCTATTTGAAGAAAAACCAGCTCAAATCTATACCGTATAGACTATTTTTTCCAGTTGAGAATCTTCAAATATTGGATTTAAGCCGAAATCGCTTGGAAAGTATACCAACGACAGCTTTAGAGTATACGCCTAAACTCCGAGAAATTATTTTAAGTTATAATTATATTAATAGAATTGATGAATTCAGTTTTAAAAATTTGGCCCGTTTACTGAAACTAGATATATCCCACTGTCATATCCGCTTCATTCAGCCAAACTCTCTTAAGAATTTGAAAAGTCTCACAGAATTAAATGTTATTGGTAATGAACTTAAAGGTCTGATATCGACTACAATTCTACCGAAATCGTTAACAGTGTTCAGATTACACCATAATAAATGGATATGTGACTGCAAATTGAGATGGCTTCTGCAATTTTTGACGAATAACAAGCTGAAAATTAGTTGGACTTTTGGTAATAGAATTCCAAGGTGCCAAAATCCAGAATTATTAAAAGGTGTTAGGTGGACGGAATTAAATTCCACTAATTTTGCTTGCGCTCCAACTATCATCAGATATACTTCGTACGTCTCCGTCAATGCAACCTTGAATTGCTTATCAACTGGTGATCCGCAACCGGAAGTAACATGGTATAAGAAGAATTTACGGGTGACACCTTCCAAAAGGAACAGAATAACCTTTTGGAGAACTTTCAAAAAAGCGTTAGATATTTTTCATTATAACAGCAGCCTAAAAATTATTAATATGACTGAAAAAGATATTGGTTTATACAAGTGTGTATCCTTGAATTCAGCTGGTCGGTCGGAAGTGACAATATCTTTGTCTGGGTCCAGTTCAATGCGTGCCGAGTCTAATTGGGAAAAAAAGAAATTAAGGGCTTTAAGTGCCAGTTTAACCTGCTTTCTTCTTGTGATTTTATGTAGTATAATAAGTATTTTAATGTTGAGAATTATTAAAAGGCGACGCTTAAGCGGCGTCTATAGAATTCAAAATCAGGGAGCCGAATCTGCTGGGTCAAAATGTGAAGAGGATGCAACCGCATCCCCCCTCCAACAAATCGATTCTATTACACATAAGCATGCTGAGACACCAAATTCGACTCCCGACCTATTGAAAAATAATTGGACGGAAGAGGAGGCGGTTGGTACTGCTGTCTAACAGTCAACAATGTTGATTGTGGAAAAGAAAATAGAGAATGAATACGAATGAATAAAAAGAAGGAAGAATGGTACAATAGGAGGAAAAGAAAAATAAGAGGGAAAAAAGAGAGAAAAAGGTGACGTTCTGAGAATAATAAAGGATTGACGGATAAAAATATAACGCTTCTATAATGTTCAGTGCGTCAGATAAAGGATTGCCCCCGATCATGTGTAACGTTCTTAAGTCCACTTGATAGAGCCATTCAATTTATTGGCAAATTACTGTAGATGGAGAGAAAATTTCAACATTTAAGAAAGAGAAATTTTTCGGTTTACGTGGAAATACAAATTGAACAGTAATAAGAAAAACAACAGCAACAATAATAACAACGACGACGATCACGATGATAATGCTTACAAAAAAAAAGAGAGAAATATTAATCATACTCCTTCCTCCTTGCTTTCTTTTCTATTACAAAATTTTTTTCCAAACTGTTCTTCCATTTCTCTTTAATAGAAAATATTCTCTATTAAAACAGACAAAAAAAACAATTTATTATAAGATAACAAGATAATTCATGCATTTTTTATCAAGTCTGGGACCTGAGAACATTGTAACTCTATTTTTCAAAGCTTAATATTGTAATTGGATCGTTTTTATTGTTGATCTTATATCGCAAAAAAAAATCTGTAAAAAATATAAACTAAAAGAAATTCACTCGGGGAACGTCCTATTTCAAACAACGCCATCTATTAACCATTAAAAATGTATTAAAACCAACTATAAATACAATATATACATATTTACATCTATAAATGTGGTAATATCTATTTGTTTGATTTTTTTTTATACAAGATAATGTGATTTTTGAATAAATAAGATTATTATTCATATCTTTTGGGTTTTTTTTACTTCTCAACCGTATTTATTCTTTAGTATAGGATTTTCCATCTACTTTTCCATTGATATAAAAAAAAGTGATGACCTCTTTTGACTTTCTTTTTTTAGAAACAAAAAATGATGCTAATATTTGAGAAAATACTCTTACTGCTCAAAATAGAATGTAATTATTAAAGAAAATAGATGATTTTTAAGTCTAAATCATATTTCTTTTTAACATTTCTATTTAAAATTTCTTAGAGAGTGGAGAGAGTGAGAGAGGGAGAGAGAAGGGGAAACAGAGTATCGTACACGTATATATTTATGCGACAGAAAAGTATACAGAAAACTGTTAATTAACTTTGCTATAATAAAGAAATATAAAGATGATAATTGAAAATTATAGTAAATAAACTAACATTGTATTGTAAAATATTATTGCTCTGTTGTTTTCTGTTCGTGCTCTTCTCTCAATTTTTTGTTTAATTTCATAAAGAGAAAATGTATTGAAAGCCTGACAAAAATTGCATGAGAAAACGATGGAAATGAAATGAGGTAGAAAACAAAAGAAAGAGAAAAAGGGAAAGAAAAGAGAGCATTTTGTTTACAAATACATATAAAAACTACATATAACTGAGAAAATTCTGATTTCGATTATAGTTTTTTCTTAAGATAAGAAAAGACAGGAAGAGAGAAAAAAAATCACTTATTTTTTTCTTTTCGATAATAATTTTGCTTGGAATCTCAAAAATCGATTTTCTTCTTTTGCCGACTTTGTTTTTATAGGCTTTCATTTTATTACAATATTTTAATTGATATGCCTAATAAGAAATGATTATCAGATGGTATCTTTCATTTCTTTTCTCTTTATATTCAATAATTAAATTAAGGATTGAATAGAGATAGAATTTATAATGATTGTTTAGTTGTTTATATAATCAAATCGTCTTTTGGATTTATATTCCGAATTGTGTCTGGCCTTGGGATATATCCACCAAATTGCTTGTCTCCAACTTTCTCTTGTTGAGAGGAAAGGTTATGTTTCTTATAAATTACAATCTTTCTTCAAAATATGTACTTTTGCACTTTGAATGTTATCTAGTACATCATTATGCAACAACTATTTATAACATACAGTATATATATATAAAATACCACGAAAATTACTAATTTTCTCTGTTAGCTTTTTTTTAACAAGTAGCGACATCTATCATCATTTAAAAAAGATGATATAAAAATTTAACATATGCTGTTAATAAATGTAAGGGTAAATAAGTTAAATCTAATTAAAACTTTATTAATATTAAAGGAATTTTTATGCCAGTGATAAAAGAAAATAAGTATCAAAATTAAGTAATCAAACTTGCAAATATCCTTTTTATTGAGTATCAGTAATATTTCATCTTGAGAGCAATTGATTTTCAAATATTTCTCATGAAATATAAATCCTTGGCTTTAATCGATTCAAGTCGATTGTAGTATCTTCTTTTCTCTATTATTATTTTAGGTAAGCATCTCGTCGTTTAAATCTGTTTTTTAAAATAGAAAATGACAGAGAGAGAGAGAGAGAGAGAGAGAGAGAGAAGGACCGATAGACAGACAAAGGAATATAGATAGCAGAAGGGAAATTGGAAATGATTACTGTTTATTATAGTATCTTACCTGAATAAGAAAAGAATAAATTGTCATTTCGACTGTAATGGAGTATTTTAATCATTTTTGGGGATAATTTCATATTCCTCAGCTTTTTTAGAGCTAGCAATTTCTTCTCTTTTATTTCTACTTCTTCCTCGAGATGTTTAATGGTTTTTTCGATATCCCCAACCTTCAGGTTATTTCCTTTCGTATCCTTTACTTCTTCGCTCATCTTTTGTTTAGCGTTTTCCAACTTCTTTTGAACCTCTTCTAAATTTTCTCTACTTTTATTAAGAGTATTTTCTATTCTTTTTGTCTGATCATTTAAATGCTCTATCGTTTCTCTGCAATGATCAATTTTCGCCCATAAAATATCCAACAAAGTAGGAGAGTTAAAGTTTCTTGTATTGACAATATTCTCGTGAACTATGAAAAAAGTCTATATTAAAGATTTATAACAAACAAGCAAATATATAAATTAGTAAGAGTAAGGAACGTTTCCCTGGACATAGTTTGCCTGATACTAAACTATCCTAATAGGTGAACGCATATCCAAAACATTTCATAATTTTTGCTCATCACAGCTATAGCAAAAGCTAATCGTTTCAGCTTTTTGTTCTATACACAAACAGATCAATTGATAAGTAGTATGCCTTTCCTTAGGACCTCTTCAGAAATGTATTGATTTTGTATTGTCAATTCAAACGATCGACTGATGAAAATTGAATAAAACTATTCGTATTTTGGAAGATACGATTGGCTATATCTTTGCTTAAAAATGGTTTTATAAAATGTAAAATTTACCATTATAATTAATGGAAACGCATGCTTGAACCTTACCCTTGTACATACAGTATCTACATATATAATCATAAATAAAACCTTTTAATTGTCCTTCCTCAAGTTTAGTTAACTCTTGTAAATGATGAAGATCTTCAACCAGACTATCGAATTTATTTTTTTCAGTATCGTATTGTTTCTTTGAAATTTTTAAAGATTTATTTAGTTTTTTAAAAGAATCATCATTTTTCTTGACAACTTTTGCAAAATCTTCCATTTTTCTCTTATTTCTTTTAATTAATTCAAGAAGTTTGTTTTTTTGACCATTTGTTTGAACAATTTCATCCCATAATTTTGTTGTATAAGTCTTGTCTTCGTATATCCATTTCCTAATCATTTCACTGACATCAGAAGCAATTGTACAAAATTCATCCATTAACTTCCACGTTAAATTTCCACAGCCTACATAACTAAAAACAAAAGGACTCTTTAAATCTTCATATTCTGCCCACACTTCGTCCATCTTATCCAATCTTTCATCAATTTTACGCTTGTAAATAAATATTCTTTCGTCATATTCCCTGGTTATTAAACAGTAAGTACACTTAATATATTTAAAGACCCATAGGCCTATTTTTGGAGATGTAATTAATCAAAGTTAGTGTAAGTAAAGACAGGCACTAAAAGCATAGATATTCAAATAAACATAAAGATGTGTACTTTAGAATACCAGGAAATGTAGTTGGGTAGTAATTTTTATGATAATGAATTTTTTAAGTCTATCACTTACCTAGCAAGCTTAATATTATAAGCGTCAGCCTCTCGTATTAAACTTAGACAGTATTTTTTGATATCACTTCTGCCAGCAATTTCGATCTTTTCTTTAACCTTACTAACTAGATTATCGAACATTCTGGCTCTTTCGCAAACATTTTCCAATTGTAAAAATTCATTTGTCCTCCTCACCGAATCTTTTACATATTTCTCATTCAATAATTTGCGGAATTCTTTGAAGCCGCGAACATCTGACTCCTTAATTCCCCAACTTCTCAATAGATCGGAAGCTATAGATTGTAGCTTATGAAAATTGGTTTTCTCCGATAATTTTGGTGAGGTTACTCGAAAAGTTTTAACATCCATTGATGCTTGCGTAGCTGTTACAACTATTGTTCTATGTACAACATCCAACGATGGCGGACAATAGCTATCCACGGATGATCGACTAGCTACAGACTGTTCTCTATGTAACATTGTCAATCTATTTAGGTAATTATTATCTGAAAAATATTTAAAAGCTTGTTCTTCTGCTGCTCTCCTCCTTCCTTGTTTTGTTCTACTCACAATCGATAGGTTGATTGATTAACTTAACATAGGAGGCATAAAAATTTATAACTCCCATGAGATGAGTCGTAGGGGCGTTTGATTAAAATTTTTTTGTACATATACAACTGCCAAACGAATGTAATTGGACGTTTCCTTTATCGATTTCGTTGGTAATATTTCACTTTATATCAGAAATGCTATTAAAGTTAGCTGGAAACGTTATCACGTGAAGACGATTATTCTCAACGGAATTGATTAATTTGTTTCTTAGCATGCATATTCCCCAAAGAAGGTAAAAAGTAACGTTTGCTTTATATTTATTGTTAAAAGGGTATTATTATAGTGTATTTCTAAGAGAAAATGCGAATTGATATGATATAACAGATTATTCTTAAAGATTACGACAGACAGAAGCCCGAGTGGCTGGTGAGAGTGGTGGAGAAGGAATTTTCTCTTCTTCCATTTTAGCATCTTCATTGATCTTTACTCTTGGTTCTTTATTCGGAGTGGGAGCAATTGGCCTGCCGGAGGGGGTAACAGCGACTCTGGCCGAGCCCAACGGTGAAGCTACACTCTTCTTTGAACCAGCAGGAGAGATTGCCTTTGTTAAGCTTTGAGCAGGAGAAGCTGCAGTTAGCTCAACTGGGGAAACTTGTTTCGTGGGGGTTACAACTTTAGATGGTACTGGCGAAGTGTTAGTAGCTACTTCGTGCATTTTCTGTTTAAGTTCAGTTTCTCTATCAGTCAATTGTTTTCTTCCACTGGTGCGATGATTCTGTTAATTTAAATATATCTTATAAAAAATTGTTTAAATATTCATAAGTATAAATCAAATTAGTAGGTTTACCTTATAAGAAAGTCGACTTTCATTTTTAGCCACTCCTTTAATGTGGTATTCGGTGTATTCCGCACTTTTATCCAAAATGTCTAATGCATGACGTGATCTTGCTGTTCCAATTTTACCACTTGGCCCGGCGTATTCCGCTTGTCTAATCCAATTTTTAGGGCCTGGAAGTTTTGAAGGCATATCCCAATTACCCACAAAATTACCCCACGGATTTTCATTTGACTTTTTTCCGCCATCCCTTATACGACCACGATCGTCCGCTATGATCCTAGTTGAACCATCCAAACATCTCGGTCTCTGTTTATTTATTTAATAGAATTGATTAATTAATTATAAAGCCAAATAAATGTACAATTTTCCCATGATAACATTCAGATAATTTAAATAACGCCACCTATAGTTTTCTGGCACCAGTGTATTAATTAATCTGTCATAAAATAGGGATTAGAACTTTAGGCAAGTAAAAGGGACAATTATTACTCTAGGCGCAAAATAAACAATTTTTGAAAAGTTTTGTCTGTTATCTATGGGTTTGAATATAGAGGATTAAACCTGTTGGAATTCAGATGGTATTTCCCAATTCCTTAATTTTTTCGGCTCAAAAGCGCTTTGATACTGAAAAACAATAAGAAAAGAAGTAATTAGAAGTACTCACATCAAAATAGACATCCCTATTTGTTTGTCGAGCGGCTAAATTATTATATGCAGTATAAATGGGCATTCTTTACCAATGAAAATTCGAGGAAAGAATGAACTGCTGAAAGTATTTTAAGTAAACATGAATTTCTCTATTAATTTACCTGGTTGGCACTAAAACTACGTGACATCCTTTTTGTTTACTAGCTTAAAAATCGTTTATTTGAACGAATTTCAGCCGCTTGATATACATACAATGCTAAGTTGCTAGGATACGATTCGTTCTAGTACAATCCTGTAGATGGCGCTAGATGAACTTCCGTCAAAAAAAGGAGAACTAAAGTTTTCACAGTCAATATGTTTTTAGTATTATAAAAATTATTATTTTTTCTTCTTCATTTGTATTAAACTGACGTTTTTGTTAGTATTTTAATGCTATATATGTGAAATTATAAAGCAGAAAAAGCTTAGATTTATGATATTTGCTATAAACCATAAATTTATATTATCTACAAAGATTCTTCTGAACTTGTTTAGATAAAAAAAGAAAGCTGTAATTAAAGTTTTATTGAACGGAAAACACAACATTTTTTTTAAAATAATGGTCGTAGAACCAGCTAAATACATAATATTCCCTAGTTAAATTGAATACGTTTAGACAATGAGCACAGCAGTAGAAAATTAGGGAAAGGAAAATGGGATAAATAATCGGAATCAACTGGGTTGAAAGAGAAAGGAAATTTCGAGTTTCGGGTCGAATGAGAATACCATTCAATTAATGAGTTTAATTTCCTTTCCCCCCAGAGATATAAGATGAAATTAAACCTATGTAATGACCAAAACTCTAACCGCCTTAGAACTATAAGTCGCAGTTATGCAGAATAAACTGTGTAAAAACTTAGTTATTATCCCTAACAAGTTCTCAATTAAATATAGCTATTTCTTGGCAAAAGAAAGATGGTTATAAAGTTATCTTTCACTCATTTATAATAGTAATAATTTAAAATGTAAACATTACGTAAGACGTTAATTATTCATGATTTTCCAACGCTGGAAGAGTAGTCTGCAAAAAAAAAGATATTATTATCAACTACAGATAGTTGTATATCGTAAGATGAGGCATCAAATAACAATTATGGGATATACTAACTTTTTATTACAAGATTCAATTCGTTTGTTAATTGGTTCTACTAATAAAAGTAAAGTTAATATATGCAGTATATACAGTATATAGTGATATGAAAAATTCCCTACTTATCTTAAATTTTTATAATTTAAAAAGAAAAAAAACGAATTATCTTAAACCTCAAGTTACCAAGTTGTAATGTTCTTTTTACTTGCCCAAAGGGTGCAATAAAGTCTTTTCTTTTGTTGATGACCTGGCCAGATGGAAAAATCACCTTAATCGGATAATTTGACTCGAGGCAGTAATTAGGACAGGTGTTGATTCTAAAATAGCTTTTTTTGTCATTGCATAAGAGTTTGAAAGACTGTCGGCGGTCTGATAATTTAGAAGACTCCTTTGGGAATGATTCATTTGTCGATTTGTTCTTAAAAGATTAGGTTGGAATAATATTTAGATCTTGATGTTAGTTTCTTTTTTTACAAATTGGTTCGCTTTAATGACAATTTTTTTCAGATGGCGCTAGTAGTGTCCCCAACTGACTGAAATACTTGCGGGGTAAAGGAATTTGGATAATCGGCCCAACGTAAATATTATTAAAGTAAGAAGTTTCAGACCTAAGAAATTTTACAAATTTAAATTTGTTTCTTTACTACAAAATAAGAGAAAAGTTAAGGAGATGAATAAAATAGATATGACAAATAGAGGACACTAGTCTTAAGAACGTGACGCAGAGGAGGCAAATACAGTGAAAAGTATATTCGAGCATCTGCTAATAATTAGGTCACAATCAATGGTATTGAATATCACAATATTTGCTATGAGCAAAGAGTTGATATGCAAAAAGAGAATTTGAAAGAAGATGAGAGTTTTTTTAAAGCTTTAAAATCTTGAAAGAACGGAATATAACGGAATAAAATTAGACAGAATAGGTAATAAAAAGGGAGAAATAGGGAAAAAGGGGTAGGTTGAAGTATTTTTGCAGTATAGCTCGTTGTTATGATGATAGATAACGGATAAATAAGACAATCTACTTTCCTGTTGCTTACTGATTGATGGATGAAAAAAAAAGGTGATTATCGGCGGCCGCAAAAAGATCAACGTCCGAAGCAGTTAATGGCGGTCGTAAATTTGATTAGATAGTATACAATGACTGCGTTGTCGACATTTTCTTGAGAGATTTTCGACAGTTTTATAGTTCCACCGGAAAAAGATGACTTAGCCGTATCCAGCATCGGGTTGTTTAAAAAATCCATGAAAACCACACCCAGGCGCTTTTTTCCTATTTTTACCTCATACACTAATATATATATATATATATATATATATATATATATATATATATAGCTTATTTCTGATAGTTAGTTGAATAAAGGATAATTTAATTTCTAAGAGGTCTATATGGAATACAGATTGAATTTTCGTTTCATATTTTTAATCTCCTCCCTTTCAATTTTAACTGAAACGCTCCCAGACTCGTCCTCTTTTCGGAAGAAATTAGGCTACAAATTGACATACTGCTATCTAAAAAAGCATCGTTCGCTGTCAAGCTTGTTTTACAAAATTCTGGGAATCCGGATTGACATTGAGCAGATGTAACATCCCTCGAAGGAGAGAGATGAAAAAGGGGAATGAGTGAACTGGAATCTTAAAGGAAAACTAATGTCTTTACCGTCTTCAAACGATGACTTTTAACCTTCGACTAACCTTGAATGATATCATAGTTTTATTGGAAAGGTTAAGGCCTATTGTTTGTTAATGTTCTATTTAATAAACAAGAGAAATTTGTCAAAAGTAGTTTATATATACGTAGTTGTTTATTCATATAGCAATACTTGAAATTCAATTAATACCCGGTGGATTTTTAATGTATAAGTGACGAGAAAGCAGAGCAAAAAGGGTTGTCAAGTATCGATTATCCATATTTTATACTTTATAAGTTTTCTTCTTAAACTTTAAAAAACCAATATATAAATTATTTAATGATAAAAGTGACGCATACCATCAGCAAGTTAATCGCATCGACTGTCGTTTATAACGATTAAGCGCGTTAGCCTAACAGAATTGAAGAGATATTAGTGTGAAAGTATTTTTAATTAGGAATATGATCACGAAACTATAAAAGAAAAAAAAGATGTCAGCACCGTATCTTCTAGAATATTTATCTTCCTCAGCACAAATCTGGGTACGTACCAGACAAGATAATAAGCTAAAGAGACTTGCTACGAATATTTTCCATTTATAGATTACCTCTTATATTTTACTACACTACAAACTGACATATGGTCATCAAAGGCCTATATACAAATATCTATGAAGTCGTTTACACGCACTTTATTGTTTGTATACATGATAAATCAGTATTTCAAGAGTGTGTAGTTTGTAATATCACTCAATTTTTCGTTCGAGTACCCTTTAACGATAAATCGCTTATCTGATTATAAATCCTATACTTTTTTCTTAACGGTTTCAGTTAATATTTAACTTACCTACAGCAAAATGAAGAACGCCTAGAGAAATTTAAAGGTTTTAGCGACTAATAATCTGGAAAAAGTAATTGACACTTAAAAAGTTCATTTCTAAATCTGTTTCCAAAATACCCCTCAATCCTCATCGTTAATATTTCCTTTAAAGAGTCTTTATTGGCGCAATTAAGCGTTGAAAATGTCGATAAACGTCGTCATTTACGGGCGTCACTCCGTATTTATAAAGAAGAACACGTCTGGCAAACAACCATGACAAACTGTAGATCGACGTATATGGTAAGATCTTATCGAATTGCATATAGGACATCTTTAATAGAACGACTAGATTCCAAATCTATGCAAAAAAGTAAACATTTCATACAGATAAATCCTAATATTACAAGAAAAGAGACGGCATTCGATTTTGCTTAGGTCAAATGTTAACTCTTGAACCGTGCAATGGCTATCAACAGATTTATTTTTTAGTCAGATTTATTGCTTTATATGCATTATTTATAATAAATAAAGGAATAAATAAACATAACTCTTCATTTTTCCTAATTAATAAGGTATTTCAAAAATGCAAACAATCCAATTTAATTAATTTATATTAGAGTATACAATGAACAGTATATTAATTATCTATGAATGTATGAACGATATGTCATATACGATTTATATATATATATATTTGTCTACAGTATATTTATGTACTATATTTATACATTTATATATACAGTTCTCATTGCCATATATATTATATTTAACTAAATTTAAAATCTATTATTACTATTCAAATTGCTACAATTGGAAGCAAATTTCTCTCTCCCTCTCCCTTTTTTTTACACATTTATATCAAAGAGGGTGAAAAAAAGTACAACCCGAAGCGCCACTTTCGATTGGCGGGCCTAAATTCAGACAGCACTTTGCTGTAGACTGTCTCAGTATGGCAGAATCAGGACGCTAGACGGATTATCCGCCACTTTCGGATATTTAACGTGCCCACTTTTTACAATTGTTTTTTTTTTGTTTGTTTAATTTGAAAGTAAACAAAATAAAAATATTTCTACTTTTCTAAACGAACAAAACAACAAAATTAAGTTTTTCTGTGAGTAAAAAAGAAAGTCTGGAGAGAAGAAAGAAGAAAAAGTTTGTGTAACTACAGTATGCTACAAACTGGAAAATGAGGATAAATAAGTTGCTGTTGGTATGCACATTAGGGGAAATTATATGGCTGACAGCTGATTGTGGAAAGAGTTCTGGTATGAAATAAGTTCTATTATATTCTATTAATAACAAATTCAATATTATTAGAATTTAGATTTCATTGTTTTACAGGCAATTGTTAAAGGTTACTTCACGCTAATGTTTCCTAAATTATAGTTCAAACTACCTTAATTTATCATATGAAAAATCATTCTTCCGCTTAAGGGAGATGCCATGGTTTTTATTCCGCTATTATGAATTACAGCTTAAAACTACTTTACATATTTTTATTACAGTAAATAATTATTAATTTTAATAAAGTTATCTTCATCAATTGACAAATGAATTAAGCAACTTTATTCGTAAAGTGGTTGTAGTTGCGACAGCTTTTTCGGTTTAGTATCTTCTTAGAAAAGATATGAATAATGCCATCAAAAGATATTAATTAAGAATTAAACGAAACACAACCACTATCCCAAACAGCTCTTCTATCCTTCTTTCAACTGTCCCAGAAGAATCTGTTTTCTTTTTACATTTTGTTTGCCATCTGAACGTCAATTTAGATGGCTTGTTTTATTTTAGTGATTTAATGCAGATGCTCTTTGTTTTTTATCTAAAAAGCCATTCAAAGACACTTAAATAAAAGATATAGTACATGTATTGTAAAAAACTGTTCATAAATACTAATACACACACTTATAGGATTAAGACAATTCTCTCGATAGTCTACAATAGCGATTAAATTTTTGGGAGGAAAAAAAAACGATTATAATAACAGCAAACTATATTTTTTTTGTATTTGTTAAAGCGACATTTGTACAATTATTTGGCTTGTTGCAATATTTAAAATTACTTTTTTGATTACGCAACAAGAGGGATTAATGAGGATTCATAACTAAATAGGAAATAATTAATAATAAATATGTTTGTTGAAAAACAAGAAGAAAAAACACCAAATGGGAAATATTTGTCAAAGGAATAAAAAGTATATTATGTCAATTTTTATTTATTAGCTATATTCTTAGGAATGGTAGTTTCGTTGGAAGAAATATCACGTGATTGTACATGATTAAGTAATAATAAATTCCAATAGAAACCACAATTGATATAGATTTTTTTAGATAATAAGTAAAAAGTAAATCGAGCTGGCTGACCTTTGATAGACAATCATATTGTTTACGCACAAATAAACCGCTTATTATTTTGCAGTCACCCAGAAATTTTCAACCGGAAAACAGCTAAAGAACAGAAAAACTTTCAGAGAGGGGGCGAATTCTAGATTATTTAAAGAAGGTACGTATATAACGACGACGTTCCAATGTACGAGACTGGAAAAAATTTTACAGATCGTCGCTCGCCAATCAGCAAAACTATTTTTACCATTATAACACATGCTCCCTAAAAAATTCTCCTTATCCCTTTCGTTTCCCTCTAATCTTCCCTTATTTCATTCTTTTTCATATTTTCTTCAAACGTCCGCTCCAGAGAGAAATATATTTTCCTTACTTTTAGCTTTTTAGTCATGTAGGGCTCATTATTTGGATCAGCATAGAAAGTTAACTTGATCTAATTTATTTACATTTATTTACTACCTGGATCTTTTATTTGGTGACGCTCTGTATAGTAAATAGAGGGATAGGACCTATTTTCTCGAACAGCGGTAATAACAAAATGCTGTTATTAGTAAAAGCAAGCAAAGCTGTGCAATTTAAGACGAATATCAACGTAGTTTTTTGCTGAAATGTAAGGTGCGGATATATACAGAATACTTATATATATATATATCCTAAGATATAAATTATGGGTTTATATATATATATATATACTTTTGATAAACCGATTTAACAAATATTCGTAGAATCATAGATGTTTTATACCTTATTTTCCGTATTATATATATTGGTAACGGAATATCGTTAAACGGTTCAATCTGTCACAGTTACTCTGACCGACAACGTTTTCCTTTCCTATTAACTAAGGAAAAGGCAGGAAAGTGAAAAGGGAGGGTTGTATAGTGGGAGGAGGTCAACTGATTTATAGTAACTTTAGTTTATCACTTTTTTCCAGTTTATTACGTAATATAATTGTGTATTTATTCTGTAATTATGTAACAAAAAATTGTAATTTCTTTATAGGCAAGAAGGACAGATGCCAGAAATATAAAAAGAATAGTAGAATATCCGTTGAACAGCGATTATTGAATTATCTACTCGTCGACTACGATATAGACGCAAGAGGCGTTAAGGACGTTAATAATACTGTAAAAGTCACCATAGAATTTCTACTACTTCGAATTCAAGGATTAGTAAGTTACTCAGCTTAACTTTGAAATTATCATTAGTTTATTTATTTCCTTAAATGAATTCTTTCAATTTCGCCTCTTTTTTCTTTTCTAACTACTCAATCGAACCCTATACCAAATAAAGTCTAGACGCCGCTCACGCCCTATAATTTTATGCATGATCGCCTATACTCGTCTCAACATATTTATTTATGACGGGGTTCGAAAATTATTATTTGAGCGCGAGAAAAAATGTTTCTTTCTCGCCCCCTCTCCTATCTAACTTGTTCAAATAATAATTTGTTTTTGCCCAAAGGCTTTTCCAAAATTTATTCACGACAGATGGAATTTAATTAGAAAATACCCCTTCTCTCTTACAATTCCTTTTCTCTCTCTCTCTCTCCTCCATTTTTTTCTCTTTTTTTTATCTCTCCCACTATTTGTGCCTGTTTTATCTTTTCTTCGAGAGAAAAAATATTCTGACACATATTTATTATTTTCTTTCCTTGATATGTTTTCTTTTCCTATTGTCCACTCGTTTTCCTTTTCCGTGTACTTCCACCCACAATTTTTATTCTTACGCAAAACTCATATACGCCCTCAACTTCCTAACTTTAGGCCTATCGATCTGAAAAGCGTTTTTGCAGGGTAAACAAAACTTTGTTGATCTTTTACAGTTTTTCTTTTAAATCTGCCAGTCGTTAAACGGATTGGATACTGCTTTGAAAATAGACAAGCTTTTATAGCGGGATGTATTTTAACGAAGTGTTTCTAATCGACCTCAATCAGTTCATTCCTATTTTTACGACGTTTTCCTCTACTTTAGTTTACCGTCTCTCTTTCGATTCAAGATCGTTTATATCTAATCGAAAATGAAAATAAAGTTTACAGTAGACGGAATATAAAAGTTCATTATTTAACTTATTATATAATATTTGAGTAATTTTAGATTAATTATTAAAGTTTTTGATATTAGAAATACCTCCAAGCATAAAGATTATTCGGCTTCCCTGATTATTTTGTCTGATAAGAAGCTCATATTGCAGTTATAAGGAGATTAGTGACGCCCTGATCCCAAAATAGGTCGTTAGGTGCAAGAATATATATCGGAGAAAACGTTTAATGCAATCTATTTATAAAAGACAGTCATTTTCTTTTATTTTTCTCTTCAAAGTGTTAAATTTATATCCTGGTAATGGAGAAAAGTATCAGAAAAGTCATTTGGCGATATATCCAAAATACGTTTGCTACTGATAAAGAGGTCAGACAAAGGGTCATGCCTCTGATAAATTCTATTCCTTAAGGGAAGTGGACCATATAAAGAGGATTTTCTTAAGTAATTGCGACTGATAATTAATATTCAAAGGCCTTTTATTTAAAAAACCCTAATTAGGTTTATTAAAAAGCCAATATCTCAAAACGAGTATGAATTTCAAGATATTTATTTCCCATATAGCCCTTTAATAATAGAAATATACTGTACAATGCTTTGAGTAGTTTGTACAATGAGAGCTATAATATATAATATTATGTTATGATCGAATAAAATATACTTTCTTCGCTAGAAGCTGTGTATTTAATTCGATAGCGGCCTCTTCTGATTTATGACGTCATAATCAAAAAGTCAGTAGATATATGTATAATGATGTTCTTATGTTTATATGACAAACTATTAAAAACCTTCTATTAACATTCATATGACATCAACAATATAAATTATAACTTAGTGAAACAAAAGCCTAAATACTTTTTTATCCGCATCCAATTCGCTTCCTACTATATCTTCTTCATTCTCATTTATCCTAGGTCAGTCACAAATACATTATATTTTCGTCGTGATTATTACAATCACAAGTCCTGATATATCATATTCAGCGGGCTAACATCATTTCTAGGAACCGGGGTGAAAGAAAGAGAGAGCAAGAGAAAAGACTGAAGGGTATATTTTACCCTCCTCTTTTCTACTCTATATTAACACAATGAAAAAAATGCTTTTCCCCTTTTCTCGCTTTTTCTTCCTAAATAACATAAAAGAAGCATTTATTTAACATTGTTAAGAGAGAAAATTAGTTTATATAGGTAGGTTTATACATAAAAACATCTGAAGAAAAGAAAGAATATATATGATATATACAATATATATATATATATATATATATATATATATATATATATATACAGTATGATCCGCATTGTCTGTCATACAAAGTTTTTGTTTACTAATTACAGTTCTAGAATGAATCGTAAAAAATACTGTTAATTAACCGCAAAAAAGTGGGATATTCTTTTTTTTTTAATATCTTGTACGCAGTTTTTATTTTCTATATGTTAGTTATTTAAAACAGAAATCGTAATTTTATTGATTGAACACGTTTTTGTTTATAAATTTCTCTTCCTGCGGCTTTTTTTTCTGTTTTTTTTTTATATTTTTCATTATTTTATACTCGTTGGAGAAATATCTTTAATGTTTGTTATTCAAGACTAGTAGATATGGGGGAGAGAGATATCACTTTCTCTCTCAAAACGGAAAAATAATGAAAGTGAGAAAGGAGAGGGAAATATAGAAAAGAAAGGGAAAAAAAGAAAATGAAGAATAGACGAGAAAGGTTATAGAGGGTAGGGAGAAAGAGATGGAGAATAGCAGTCACATGATATTTTAATGAAGACGAATTAGATAACGACGAAATCGCGCTACGAAAAGCTTGTAAATCGTCTAATCTGATTAGCTAATATATACAAACTCAACGAATGAGGACGTGATAAGGCAAAACTAACACTCGTTATCCAAGTTATACTACTGGAAGGAAATATTTCTTTTTCATTTTATATTCTATATGGTCATCCTCGTATTTAGGAGAAAAAGTAGGATTGTCATCCTAAAGGGTCATGGTCAACAACAATTGTATTTTATTTCTTACTCACGTCATGGACTTTACTAAATCGACTTTGTAAGATTTTAAGAAGGAATCGCCGAAGCGTCAAGTATTTGAGTTACGTGACTAAATTAAAGGTTATGTAATTATCATTTCATAAATCGTTAAATGAAAGAAATAGGATTGAAAACGGAAATAGCGGATATTTTTACACTATTTATAATAAGTATTTACTTACACGTATGTACGTAAAAAAAAGAAAGCAATAATAACTATATTATATTCTTTTATAACTTTTTGGATCAAAACAGCTGCAAAAATCGCCGACGGACAAACAACGTGTCTGTTTCGCGTCGATAACGAAATATTACAGATTGGTTGAAATATTTCGTTATCTATTTTTTTCCTTCTTTTCTTTAACTTATAAAGTTACTCTCAGACTAAAGATAATAATTTAAATAAATATTAATTACTATCTAATTAAAAAAGTCACGGTATAAGAACTAAGCCTACCAACAATAAATTTAATCGCAGTATGATTTATAGTTAAGAGGGTAGGAAAAAACGATTTGAGTAGGGAACTAGGAATAAAATAGGGGCTATATAGAATTATTTGGGAAGCGAATCCCTAATTCTCAAAAGTCCTTTCAAAAGGATTGTGAAAAATGTCTCTTTTATAGAACAATTTCAACAAATATTGACTAAATTCTATAATATAATTTAGATGCATATAATATTTTATGTAAACCTTTTGGAAATGTCAGATTTTGTCTACAACGTAAAAATGGAAACAGATGATAAAATTCTCTCTCATCAAAGATACTTCATAAAATTCATTTACATATTTAAACACTCTCTTTTTTACAGTTCAACGGCTTTATACTTTTCATTTTTATAACCATGTTCCCTAAAAAGTTTCCAACAATGGTACAATGCAAAGAAAATGATATCTTTCCTTCTCATTTGATAGTTTGTCATTTACGTGAATATAGTTTACAATAGGAATACTATAAACTACAAACTACAACCGTTTGCAATTTATAACGCCGTTGACAAGTATTTATCAAATCCTAGATCTAAGAGAGAAAAACCTATTAGGCCAAGTGGTGGCCTGCAATTCGAGGTGTATTCTGCAAACATATATTTCAAAATGTCAGCTCGATGACAGAATAGTCAATGCAGATATACTGAACATACACCAGCTCTTAGTTTTTGTGCAGTGTAATCTCGGATTTCTTCGTTCTCTCTCTTGTTCACTCTTCTTTTGCACTTAGCGTACAACGTATCGTCCATTTCTTCTAGACAGAAACGAGACGGTTCAATAAAAAGAACGCTTAAAAAAGAATTTAGGATTATCGAAAGAGAGAAAGATTGATAAAGTAAAAGCAATTTGAATATTGAGAAATCGTTGAGAGATAGGAAAGAGAGAAGAGAGAGAAAATAAAAGACCAGGGGAGGGAAAGTAAAAGTTGCTACCGCAATTTAGAAGCGTATCGTCGAACGGGGATCCATTAGTTTATACGCTTCACTGCATCCAAATCCGTTACAGATCAACTAACGCCGGCTTGACTTCTTCGATTCTTTAAATAATTCAAAAGCCACCTTTTCCTGGTGGCATTCGATAAGGCAAAAAGCGTAAAATAAGAGTTCTAAGTCTCCTATTTTCCTTATTTATTCAACCAAAATATTTTACACTTAAAATATTTCAATGACTACTTTTTTTTTTAAAACAAAAAAAAAAAGGTTATTTTCTTCCTTTGTTTACTCTATCTTATAAAACCCTATCTCTTTTTCCATCCTGTACTAAGCCTACTTTTTTTAGCTGTTTACAATAACTTGTTCTGATTTCCTTGTGTATACAACAGGACGAAAGGTCGCAAGTACTAACTACTACTGGCTTAGTGATTACGGTAAGTGCTTTTTTCGGCTTTTTCAATTTTTCCTCTTCTCGAGTGGGAGGTAAATGCGAATTTTAAGTGTCCGATGGGAATTCACTTACCAAAGGAGGATTGATATTTCTCAACTAGCTGTCATAACTTTCTGATTCTCCAACTTTTGCGATAAAGCAACAAAATTAGCGTGGTGTAGATCAATTTCTTTTTCATACTAACGCTTTGCTCTTTTTTATATTTTTTTTTACATTTTACAAGACTTACCTTTAGCGTGCAGCTTCTTTCGCGCTTTTTCATGATACGATTGGGAAGCCAGGAGTTGGATAAATAATAAAGATACAAAATTGTTTGGGGAATAACTAGTGATTTTTCTTCAATTACAGCTTACTTAAGACATGTAACAATTGACGAGTTTAATCTAAAAACATTCTTTAGCGATTGTTTAATTAGAAAATTCTAATAGACGCTTAATTGTTTGTCAAAACAAGTTTACCAGATAGAAGAGAAAAGTTAATAAAACTTTTACTATGCTATATCTTCGTTGAAAGTCTCAGACTTTCTACTAAAAATAACTTTATAGTATTGGGTAAAAGTTGTAAAATTTTAAATGCATTAGTTTTAATAAATTCAGCCATTGACCTCTATCTTTCCAAACTTATCTACAATCCAAAAATATATTACCCTCGTAGGAGGCTTTCTCATTAAATTGACTGGGTCAAGGATAGAAAATAAACCATATAGATAGGGGATTAGATATAAAAAAAATAAATTTCTTTATATAATTATAAATATTACATATATATAGGACAAGTATTCCTAGCTTTTTATGATTAAGACTTGTGGCCCGCAAATCATAGAAAAGAGAAAAACCTATAAATTTCTAAATCAGCAAGCGTAGAGTGCTTCATAAATTTATACTGCAAAGTAAGCTTATTTGGTCACAGCGTTTTTATGTTGAAAAATCACTAGACTCAATAATAAAATAATATACATTTTAGTACTTTTAATAATAGAAAATTAGTTGTTTTTCATAAAATAGTCTTCTATTTAGGCCATATTTAATTAACAGACGTTTTTACTTTTGCAAGAGTTGGCATAGTATAGGACTAATAACATTCCACATCTAGAATGCATCCATATTCATTAAGAAATGATAATTTAAATATTACATATCATATCTTAAATGCAAATATTATTTCATCCTCAGAACAGTATATATTAAAGTAAATAGCTGCTAATCGGTTTATATGAGTTGAATCTTAAATTAGTATGAAAAACAAATTAACATTACCACCCTAGTAAAGGTTTAACCCAACACTGAGACCCGGTTAAAAGTATATACAGTTTACCTCTCAAATATGTTATATTTGTACATCAAATAAAGCAATAACTTCCCATACGAACCTATTAATACTGCACAAATATAATATAGAGAAAATAAGAATATAGGCAATTGTTAAACGTAACGAAGAATGACGACCGAAGCAGGCTAGTCGTGCGGAAAATTGAGAAAGCGTCCATATTTTTGGGCAAAAAAATTTACAAATGTATAGAATATCGTTGAACGCAAATAATTAACGATATCACTTTACTAATCGAAAAAAATGGAAGACGATCGAAATAAAAAAAATTATCTATAAAAAGGTAAAAATAATGAAAAGAAGTCTTTCGGGACCGAGTATACATACACTATATATAAAAATGAGATATAAGAGAGTTTAAAAGTGACGGGAGAGTAGTAGGAGGTTGAGGAAAGGGAATAAAGAGACGGAGACAGAAAGAGAGGAAAAGTTGTAAAGAATGAGGGAAATTGTTTAGGGAAAATTTATTAATAATTTAAGAGAAGAAGATTTCATTATATACAAAAAATATTACAGGAATGGTTCGACGAGAGGTTGACGTGGAACCCTGAAAAGTACGACAACTTGACAGACGTTGTAATACGCCCAGAAAGGATCTGGCTACCAGAACTTGCTTTAATGAATGGGTAGATAATTAAAGAATTAACAATTATATATTTATACCTTCTTTACTCTAAATGGAAATTTTTTATAATTTCATTTGTCAAACTAAAGCCCATTTGACAAGAAATTGATTAAGCTCATGCTACAATTTAATGAAGAATTTTATGTATACTTCTTGAATGCATCGTAATATACGCGCATTGCTACCTAAATATCAAAAATAATTGATAAACTACTTTATATAGGAGTAGATAATATCACTTTTTTTTTTACTATCTAAATATCAGAGAAAAGAAATGTTTGATAGACTGAAAAATATACATTCTGCTAGCTGGCTCCCATGAATGCAAATAACAGTTTCATTGAAAAAAACTGATTACAGAACCTCTTCAATTTTTAAGTTTCTTACCCTAAAAATCTTAACAATATCTAATTTTATTTCCTTTTCCGTTTAAATTGAGAGTTACATTTATCAATGATTGATTGGTTTTGATTTTTTAAAATTCTATTTATATACTTTATACTATCTTCTTTTTTGTAATTGCTAAAAAATGTATATCCTCTATTTTCCTTTTCCAAATTAATTAACATTTCCCAACTTCTTCCTGTTTGCTTTCTAAGCAATTAGCATCCTTTGTTATTATTTTCATTGAGATATCCCTTTACAATTTCATTATTCATCCGTTACGTCATTTAGATTTCAATGGCGAAAGAATGCTTAACTGTTTCCTTTATCTTATATAACTTGATACCTTCTTAATCATTCTGCACTACAAAAATTATGACCCCCATTCCATATAGTTTGAAAAAAGTAGAGTAGTTTATTTTTCATCACGCCATCTGACGGTTCCTATTAGATGGAATGTATAAATCTTCTTACAGTAACTGTATTATATTAAATATACAAGGAAGCTTAGTAAATTAAGCAGAACTTTTTATCTTTTGATGAATTAGATAAAGCTATTTTCGCTATTAAGTCAGCTTTTAGTTAAGAAAAGATATCGTTTATTTTATCATTTAGTTAATTCAGTCAATAGATTATACTACTATAAATAATGAATGTAAAAATTAGATGGTTTGGTGTTTTTAAAAGAAAAAAATGCTATACAAAATTGAAAAGGCCTAATGAAAAATATTTATACTAAAAACAGAGCGGATGAACTAGCACCGGATTTCAAACAGATAAGGGTTCGGTTAAGTTACAATGGAAAAGTTCACTGGGAGCCTGGAGGAATATTTACGACAACTTGTGACATAGATATAAGATATTTTCCATTCGATGAACAATTGTGCCCTATTCAAATTGGAGCTTGGGCATATTATAGTGCTCGTATGAATTTAACTAATGCTACGGGTACTATACCAACGCATAACTTCCGAATGAATGGAGAGTGGCAGGTTTGCATTAAATCTATTTTTCTTCATAGGCTCTACATTGCTCAAAACTGCTAATTAGGTCATTGGAACCTCGGTTGAATGGTTAGAAACAATTCTACCCTGCTGTCCAGATACGAGATATCCATACGTTCAATTTACTTTATATTTAAGGAGAAGGCATGCTTTTTACATTATGAATATAGTCCTACCCTGTTCGTTGCTCAGCGTTCTGGTTATGATTGTTTTCTGTCTACCTCCTGACGCTGGCGAAAAAATAAGTCTGGGAATTTCGGTATTATTAGCGTTTACGGTTTTTCTTCTAATGGTTGCTGAGAACGTTCCGAGGACTTCCCTACATATTCCTATTATTGGTAAGTAGGAAATATCCAAATGACTTTGATAATCTCTTCAATGCGTTATTTGACCCTGTATAAGGACAGAAAAAAGTCTCCTAATTTGTCCATTTTCTAGTAAAATTCTATTTAAAGACTAAGAAAAGAAAAATATTATTTAGAAAGAAGAAATAATTTATCATAACAAACTGATGATAACGAACTGTTTGTCTACTTAGCCTTTTATCTTATATAATCCTTAGAAAAATCTTTGTTTATACTAGGTTAAAAGGGACTGTTAGTAGAGTACAACAAAATTTACTTAACAAAATCTAGATGGTTAAGATAAAAGATGTTGGTGAAATAAGATAACTTTTACCAATGACCCGAGGTTATACGTTTTATAGTTTAATTTTTTTTTTAAAAAAAAATGCCCTTAAGGAAAGACAGGAAATTATTAATTTTCTTCTCTTTTTTGTTCATAAAAGTATTCTCTTTTTTCTATCGATTTATTCAAAATTTCACAAATTTAATAATTTCTTTTACTTTCGTTTACTTTTTATCTGAAAAAAAAATTAGTCATTTATCTCACCTGTACAATGGCCTTTGGTACGGTATCTGTTTGCCTAACCGTCCTAGTGCTCAACCTTCACCACCGGGATTCTGAAAGGAAGATACCTAAATGGGTTCGGATTATTGTTTTGAATTATTTGTCTAAGCTACTGTGTGTATCTGCTAGACGGCCAAAGTCATTAGCTGATCGCTTGCATGCTGTTGATGAATTGGAAAACAAAACTAACGTCCGACACGGTTTAGGCCAAATAGCAACTGACATGAGTTTATTAAGGCCGATTTTACAAGAAGAATCGGCTATGCAAGCTAACCAAGCATCTTCTACAAGGGAAAATGGCCAACCCGGTAAATACTCTTCGATGAGAGACGCTATATTTCCAGTTTTCCAGAAGGAAAAAAAGAGATCGGAAAATTGCCAAGAATGGAAAGAATTGGCGCATGTTATGGACAGATTATTCTTCATTCTCGTGTTTATATTCATGAATTTGTCGGCCCTCATTATATTCCTGGTACCCTACTATAGGGAACAGTTGAACGTGCCTCAACCGGTCGACGAAGAGAGGATCTGATCTGCAATTTTCAAAGCAATAAAGAAGAGGCGTTCGGATTTTTCTTTTTCTATGGAAACTCGAATTAATAAAATACGTGCTGTAAAATTAAACTTTAATAATACATTCTATAAACTTGTTCATAGTTTTCATATTTTTTCAATTTAATTTATGAAGAGAAGGCGATTTTAATTTAGCAATAACATCTATTTTTTTATTTTTCAGCTTTATACATGAACATTAAGTTTAATAAAAAGATTAAGAGAATTTTTTGTTGCATCATACAAATAAAAAATAAAATATGTCTTATAAATTAAATTAATCATCAGTAAAATAAAGTTAATGATAGCAAATATTCAATAAATAATATACAAGTAATTTACTTCATATCTCTTTATTATAAGTATGATATAAACGAAAATATAAATTGCTCTGTATATAATTGTTATATGCTAACTGAATTTGACAAATGATGAAAGTGCTTTATCGTTTCGAAGTATCTCTTCTACACCTTTCTATAAATTCTATTTATTTTATACTTTTAGATTTAGCTATTAATATTTTTTAACTTTTATAAGCTTAGAAATTCTCTCAATTTATACATGAAAACTACACTTTTCAATTAAAACCAGTAAGTCTTTCATCAAGTAAATTTCAATTCTAAATAGACAATTCTACTTGGAATTGAGTTTACTTATTAAGTAGGTTTTCTAGTAAACTTCTGGAATTCTATTAATCAATTCTAGGAATACATTTATAATCACATCAAGTCAAATTATTCTACATAAATTGAAGTTTGTATCAAGTCATTCTTTCATATTTTTCTATTTATAAATACTTTTCGCCCTTTTTTCCCTTGTTATAGTTTAGTATACTTGTAACTACGTCTTTCTATATCTATTATATATAGTATGCATCGCTTCACTATGCAAGGCAAATAGATTTTACGGAAACCGCCAGATGGAGATAATGTTTATTAACGGAAAATTTGTCAATAAGCGTAAAAAATAGAAAGTTTCTTAAAGTAGAAGCAGCAAATTTTCATTTTGAATAATTTCTAATCTATATTTCTTATACTCGGCTTAAAGTTGATTCGACGGAATGTAAAATCATTTACATCTATTTCTGAATCTATCGGTTCGCCGATTATTGGTAATATATTTCCTTGAACTCGATTAGAAAGGGGTTCTATGATAAATATATTTTTGAAATATATGAATATTCATTATGAACATCATAAATTACATGGTCTATTATCTAAAGAAAAGCTAGATCGACATATATCTTAAATAATACGTTTCTTGAAATGACCAATTTCTATTTAAACATATAATTTTAATGTGTTTTTTTTTTATATGAGGGGAGAGAGAGAGAGAGAGCAAGCTAATTTTTAGTGTTAATTTTTTAATAATATACAGTATAATAATCTACTTTAAATTATTACATTATAAGAATAATAAGCAGATTCCACCCTAACTTTTATATTGACTTCATCTGTTGAAAGAAAATCAATAAATTATCTTCCTATAGTTGACCTTTATATTGAATTGGCTTGGAAATTTAATAGTTTTGTAAATGTTGTAATTTTTTCACTTATTTATTCACCTTTTAAATTTATTATCAAGATGTTTTTGATAGTATTTTTCACTTTCACTTACATTTTACTCCTTAAAAATTGAAATAGGAAACAAAACACTTTTAAATATTATACATATGTTTAATAAAAGGATTCTTTCTTTGGAACATCCTTTCTACTGCAGCGTTAATCTCTATTTCTCTTTTAGAGATAATTTTATAAAAGGAGGTGACAAAGGATATAACGATCCAAGAAGCGAAAGGCTTGTATCTCTTCCTCTGAAATTAATTAACAAACAAACATAAAACAACGGTGGAAAGAGAAAACTAAATAACTAATTCCATTATAGGAATAATATAGGTTTTCTAAACCTATTATAGCCTAATTGAGCCGATTTCAGTGACTAGAAAATTATCAAAACTCTTGCAACTATGATACCAACTCGCAGTAGTTTTTAGTTTCTTTCAACTAACTATTACGAGGATGATGTGGATAAATACAACATAATCCCAATCAAGTTCCAAATGGCGTAAATGTTATACTTTTCTTAAGCTAAGCAAAATACTATTTTACAAAAAAAAGTATTTTAAGAACAATATATAAAGTCAATGGAAAAGTTACAAATCCAAAGCAGATACAAAATATTAGAAAAGTTTTCAAAAAAGAAGTATAAAGAGAATCTTTAGAGGATCACTTTGATTATTTAGAAGAGAAATTTACAAAGTCAAAAGAAACAATTTTTTAATTGTGTAAATTTCAAAAGATAATGGAACAGGGATAATGGTTTTCTACTTGATGACTGGATATTCTAATAAATTCCTGGATTTTCTAGGAATACACATCTAATTATGCTAGGTCTAGAGTTTTCTGCAACATAAATAGAATGTTCAACTTTTAGCAAGCTAATCTTGCAGTTTTTATCTATTTGTAGACAATCTATAAAGATACCTTTGCTCTTTATCCCTTCTATATTTTGATATAAATTCTAATGAAAGGTCTGTTTATAAACACATCAATACCCTTTGCTGTTTAGGATGCTAAAGAGGTTTGATGGCAACCACTAGATGGAGACAAAGTGGATGCAAGAAAAATAGTTCTACAAAGTTCAATAGTAGTGATCAATCAAAATAAAGAAGGTTACAAAGTAGTAGCAAAACTTTCATTTGGATAATTTTCAAGTTGTATTTCTTCTAGTCAGTTCTAAATTGACACGGAATGTAGAATCATATTTTCATCTATTCCCAGACCTATTAGTCTGCCGATTAGTGGAATTAGTGGACTTGTTATAATTCACTAAAGCTGGTATTTGATTAGAAATACTTGATTAAAAATACATAAATATTATGTAATTGTCCGTATTAAATTTGTCGCTCTAATCGTGTGTACGATTAGAGGATTTAAATGAAACATTCAAATGCTACCTAAAAGCCAAAATGTCTTATAAGAAGACCTGTGACAATATTTAAGGCATATGAGTTAATCAGATGACCTCACATTGTGTATATTTGCAAATGATCGGAAACCTATACAAAAGCGGCTTTCCCTATCTGAAATGTCCAGCTGAAGCTGCAACCGACTTAGTTGAGCTATTAAAGGAGTATATTACAAATGATAGTAAGTTTTTGGAATAGAAGAGAATATTAGTAAAGATATGCAATCTAATTTGTGCCTGTGTTAATGATTACAGTAATGAAACGATAACAAAAATGAATAATTTATTAATATACTATTGTAAAAATGCTACTTTTTTCTCTTTATAATCTGATAGAAAGAGAATTAGGTAACCACATTCAAATGTTCACTTCTTCATAATTTATAAGGATATCAACAACTTTCATCCGATCTTATTCGTTTCATAAACATTATATAGAGAACATATTTAGGTTTATGTGATGAGTTACCAATCTCCAAAAGGTTAAATATCCATTATTAGTAATAAATTATGAACGAAATATCGCAAATGGTTTTTAAATTTATTCTCAGATTTCAAGTTCCGTTCAATTGAACTTTACAATGAAAAAAGTAGTGAAGATTGTGAATAAATGTGAAAATTCTTATATATTATATAATTGCTGTAATATTTAATTGAATCAATTCATAGACTCGGATGTTTGGGGTCCAGAGACTTTACTCGATATGTTGTTCAGTATTTCCTTCTTATCTGACTTTTTAATACAACAACGACCTTTTGAAAAACTAATAAGAACGATAAGTGCATTCTTTCTAAAGTGAGGATATAGGATAAGATAGATGATGACATTAACAAAACTATTTGAATTTGCCAACCAAACCATAATAAATGGAACTATTGGTGGCAAACTTGGAGGATTTGGTGAAAATTTATTTATAAAAACATTAAAAATATAAGGACACCAAAACATGAAAAAGGTGATTGCCGTTATTACCAACATCTTGACGGCTTTCATATTCTTTTTTAAGCTTGCTCCATGAACCGATGATTCTCCACCAAGCTTCTTTGTTTGTCTTAATTTCATTACCGATCGAAAAGTTGTTATAAAAATGCCAGTATTGCTAAATATAGGCATATAAACCGCCGTAAAAATACAAAACCAGAGAAAGTCAAAATGAATACTGCACATATATTCCTCTCTGATATATCTATAATATAGGAATTTATGGGCAAAAGGTAATGGTAGTGAATAAGACAATGTCCCAACCGTCCACATACAAGCTAATATTATTTTAATTCTTTTGATTGTAACAATTTGACGATATCTATAATTATTATAACTTTTAATTATAATTTCTTATCGTAAAATGCTTATTATACCTTAAGGCGTGGACAATGGCGAAATATCTATCTATTGATACTAACAGAATACTCCATATCGATACGGTTATACTGACACCATGACTGATACCCGAAATTTGGCACCAAATATCTCCATATGGCCATTTATCAAGAATACTAGGCGCTAATGATGGTAGACAAGCAATTATACCGACCAATAAGTCGGCTACTCCGAGATTAATAAGACAAATTCTTGGAATATAAGGAATTTCGGTTGTGATTCTTAAAACGCTAATACCAAGAGAATTAGAAAAAACAGTAAGAATTCCAATGGTTCCAATAAGAGCTGTTCTTGGTATGACTGAGAGAGGATGTTCGAAGTCATCTTCAACTATTGTTGAATTAGTTAAATTCAATTTCGACATGATTAGGATATACTTTTGAACAAGAACTTTAGATAAACTCTTTTGAAATCTTCAATTGAAGTACTTTTAAAAAATTTTCATTTATTGGAAGGCAAATAACAGTTGACGTATAAGTTTCCTAGAGATGGAAATTTTTTTTACTAAAAACTTCTATATATATGCAAATAGAACAATTGCATTTTAATTTGAACTATCATTTACATCTTAATAAGCCCTGATTAGCTTTTTGAGTACTGTCTATAGTTCCTTTTTTTTAGTAGTTATAGTTAATTGAACATTGAAAACGTGAATAATATTAAAAACATTAAAGTATATTTGTTGCTGTTCTATCTATTGTATTAAAGTTGCTAAAAATCTACATTAGTTAAAAGAAAAAATGACCTAATTTATGCATTTTTTATTAATTATTCATTTATAATAAAAAAATTCAATTAAATATTTGAAATTTTTCTCTTAAAAAATAGAAAGATGTTAAAATTTTAATTTATTCATTATGAATTTTTAATTAAATATTTCTTATATTGTTTTTGATGAGTTCTTTAAAGCATTAAGTTACTTTAATTTAAGTTTAGCATAAAATTAAAGGAACACACCTCTTTTTAACAAGATATTTTAGACTTTACACCTAAGGTTTATTATTTAGTTGCCAAAGTTGTCATAATTATATATAATTACCATAACTAAGGACCAAAATCTACAATTTTATTTAAATTTTTTTATTTTTGAATTAAAATAACATGGAAAATATTGATAATTTATAAAATAAAATACTTTTAAATAGAGGGCACTGCAATTGAATATGATTTGCCTGAATGATCTTGAATAGATTTCAATACTAAATTACACGTTCAATAGAATTAATAAAAAAATATTAAATACGAGCTGTAACTTTCAAATTATGCCGGTTCTCAAATATAGTATCTTTAATAAATTAGGATTTTGGATAGCTGTATTAATTGTGATTATCGTCATTTTTTTATACAAGGATTCATATGAAAACACTGAAAATCAAAGTGATAAGATTGTGTGGAACTTCAATTGGGATAGGTAGAGATAGAACCTAATGTATAATGTTATATACCATACTATTTTATTTTTTAAACAGTAAAGGCATACTTTCCAAAGGAGAAGCAAAAGTTCGAAATGTTAAGTCATTTGTATTTGTAAGACATGGTCATTACAATAGACAGAGCGGTAGACTGACAAAAATGGGCAGGGAGCAAGCAGAAGGTGCTGGAAAATATTTAAAGCAGATGAGAATGAAATTCAAGGCTATTTATTCTTCATCATCTATAAGAGCTCAAGAAACTGCCCAAATTATTCACCAATACTTACCTAAAATACCTTTTTACGGTTCATTCATTAGTTTTAAATATTCAGTATGACTCTTTATTTCTTCATTTTAATTAGATGATGACTTGTTGAAAGAGGGGTTACCAGACAAACCTAGTCCTACTCAAGGAAATTGGAATTTTTCATCTGAGGTTACGTGATTAACTACTTATCATTTATACTTGAGAAGTGTTTTAAACAATTATAGGTCTATGAAAAACATATACCAAGATTTGAATCCGCTTTTAAAAAGTATATGCACAGAGCAGATATAGGAGAAGATCGTAATTTTTATATTCTCGTTGCCCATGGCAACATAATTAGATATTTTCTTTTAAAGTAAGTTGGAAAAAATATTTATACAATGTTTTTATATTATGCATACTTTATTTTCAGGGTTCTTCAGCTAAATACAAGGGCTTGGATGCGGCTAATGCTACCTCACGCTAGTATAACTCTTATTCATATTAACCCCGACGGTACTGTTACAGCAACCAGAATTGGGATGGCTGGTTTCCTAAAGCCAGATCTCTTAACTTGGACTTAAAGTATATTTTTAGCATAAAATACGGATAACCCAGAAGAAGCTTCAAGTTTAAACTTAATACTATGCTATTTGGTAAGTTATAAGTCGTGAATTATAATATATGATTCTTTTATTTGCATAATTACGTTATACTATATCTTGTTAAATGTGGAATAAAGAAACGCTATTTTGTTAATAAATTAGAATACTTTAAAAGCTATTTAGAGAATATTGTTACTTCAATAGTGAAACTAGTTTGGTTAATGAGCGACACCTAGAGTGCACGTATACCATATATATACAGTATATATACAGTATATATTTGGCGTAATTAAAATTAGAAACGAAACCTGTAACACGATACGATTAATCATAATGCAAGCAAATTTCTCGTCTATCGTCAATTTTACGATAGAACAAGACTTGAAACCAATTTTACATCCTTTGCCTTTTTATATTAGAATTCCTTTTACAATATCTATAAGCTTTCTTATAATATTTAGCAACATACTTGGAATCAACGTTTTAAGAATTACACAACAGATTCCATATATACCAAGAATATGTTTGATTAATATGGGTATTGCAGATTTGACTTGCGGTGTATTTACCGTAGCACCTTCAGTTATACCCACCATTACTGGAGAATGGCCTTATGGAACTATTTGGTGTCAAATTTCTGGTGTTATTCACTCTACAAGTCTGACAAATTCAATGTATACTGTAGCTCTAGTATCATTAGATAGATACTTTGCTATTGTTCACTCACTCAAGTAAGTTTATTAATTATATAGCGTACTGTATTATTTAATTTATTTAAAAAAATATAGATATCGGCAGATAGTTACATTACGAAAATTAAAACTAGCCATTATTGGGATGTGGTTTGTACCAATTATATCATTCACATTTCCTATTTTTCTTGAATCTGATTACCAGTATTACTTATATCAACCAACCAGTTATCTATGTGGTTGTCGAATTCGCTATCTATGGTTCCTTTTGTTAACTGCACCTTATATGCCTATTCTAAGTTGTACAGTTATGACTTATACTACATTAAAAATAATAAGAAAATTAAAAGAAGATAAAGCGTTAACTGAAGACTTGGAGGAAAGAAAATCTAGACTAGTGAAAAATATGAAAGCGGTAAAGGTTATAGTCATCTCCGCAAATGCGTTTGCAATGGCTTTTGGACCATTTATAATAGTTACTTTTGTCGATTTTATTTCAAATAAGTCAATAAAGCATCCGCCAATTTTGGATTTTTTATGTATGTGGTCTGCAAATGTTAACAGTTTCGTGAATGTTATTATTTTTGTTTGTGTCTATTCATCTTTCAGAAAGAATGCAAAGAATATGTTAATCAGGTTTTTCACTTGCAAGATTTGCGCAAGAGAAAAATTGAAAGATAAACTGAAAGAAAGAGAGAATCCTTCAAGATTTTCTGAAACAATAGAATCCGAATTAAATTCACAGAATATTAAATAGCTTTAATGAACATTCAAATATAGTTTTCAATAAAAATTTAGTAATGTTAACTGCATAACAATGACAAATGAAAGAGGATACATATAAATATAGATTGACTATCATCTACCAGTGGAAATTGTCTTAGATACTGTTTCGAAAGTTCATTAACTTAGTCTTAACAAAGTAAACATATAGTTTAGAGAAGAATTGAAGAAAACATCAACATTGACACTACCATCTTTTACATGGAGCACTAATAGTAAATGATAAAGGAGACGTAAAGAACTTTTATAATTTTGTGTTTTCGTAACGTTTATATTTACAATAATGACTCTTATTAATAAAATTATTTATATTAAAATAGTATTATACTTTCGATCACAAGGTGGCCTATCAGAGAATAGATCTTCTCGTTGTTGGAATTTTTCCATTTTAGGCTCTTTACATTTTATGTGACACTTAACAATCCTTAAGAGTAGAAGAACAAAATTCCTCCGAAATGACGAATATATAAATATAAATACAATCACATTGATGAAGCTGTTTGAATTTAATGCCCATATAATGATAAAGTCAACGATATAGGGACGAACTGGAGGGTTTCTTGAAAATAAATCAATGAAGACTGTTAATGTTATAGGAATAAAACCTATAGCAAACATAAAAGCTGTAGTGAATATTAATTTTGCAGCTTTCATATTCTTCTTTAAAATTGCCCTATTTTGAGCAGAATCTTCGCATAACTTCATGTCTTTTCTTAACTTTCTAATAATATTGACTGTTGTAAAAATCATAAGGCTAATACATAACCCTGGTATATAAGGTATAGTTAAGAGGCAAAACCACAAATAACGAATTTGAATGTTGCACATGAATGCAGGCTTATGATATATATAGTATTCGTATCCATTGGAGAATAATATCGGGAGAGAGTAAGTAAAAGCTGAAACAGTCCACATAAGAATAATCATAGCTTTAACTCTTTTAACTGTAACAATTTGACGATATCTGTAAAAAAGTTGAATTCAATTCATTATTAATTAATATTAAATCTAGAAAATATACAGTAATTGTCATTCAAATTAAACTTACCTAATGGAATGGACAATAGCAAAGTATCGATCAACTGAGACAAGAACAATTGTGTACATGGAATTTGTTAAACTGACTGAATGTATTATTCCAGATATTTGGCACCAAATTTTGCCATAGGGCCATTCATTTAGAACACTGGCAGCAGTAGCTGGTAAACATGATAATAGTCCTGCAGAAAAATCAGCCATACCCATATTTATTAAGCAGATTCTTGGTATATAAGGCATTTGTTTAGTCAGATATAAAACACTTATTCCTAAGACATTTCCACAGACAATTAATAAACTTATAAGTAAAATTATCGATGTTCTTAGAAACACAGGTAGTGGCTGATCTGTTGTTCCGTTTATTACAGACATATTTAAGTTAAACATTACTCTTAACTCTGTAGCACAGATAAAATGACTGTATACTTTTATATATTACATATGCATGTATGTATCATGTATCTACATATATTAATAAACATATTTTTCATCATTAACATTAGATGTAGAAGTTTTACCTTGAAGTTTTCCCCCTTTCATTGAAACTATAATGAGACTAAAAATGAGTATAATACAGGAAGAAATATTTAAATAACATTATTCTTTCTTTTTCAAACAGACTACAAAACTATCGAGTAAATTAATGCTGTATTTCTTTCGTTTTCATATTTTTCTTGTTCCGATTAAACAAAAGATCTTTTAATTAAGTAAGTTGGTAGAAGGAAGTTATTTCTGCTTGACACTAGTTTAGTATATCATTATAATATAAGTATAAACATTGAAACCGTTTCTATGAACACAGCAATTATTTCTTAAGTTTAATTATACATATCAATACCTGAAACCTTTAACCTCAGTATTAATGGTATGTAACATCTAGTAGGTAGTCAATTATTAGTTCATACGATATCTCTACCTCTTATATAAATTCATTATCTATAACAAACCAATCAAATCCTTCATGCTACTTAATAGATTAGTTTAACTTGTTTATTTGAGCATTCGATTTATGTATTTTGATTTGATTTAAATTTGAAAGAGCAAGAAGTTCTTATATACTCAGCAGCGTTTTGACTATTAACTTCTAGTACTGTGCTATATTTACTTTTATTCCTTTTTTTCAACAAACAACAATAGACAAGTAAATATCATGGAAAATATTTAGATACAAATTTTTAGCATATTATATAAACATCTACATTTTACAGTCCTTTCCTCCATGAGACAAATGATGTGATGATACAAATAGACAATTAGTTTATTACATATAATAAAGTTTCTCATCCGCCATTTATTTTCTTTGGCTTCCTAGAAGTACCATTATGATATCATCTTTAATCGTGAATTTTTCTTTCACATTGGACTATCTGGTAGTTAAATTATTATACTAATATTATATATTTTTAATAAAGATAATTAAACTAGTATATAATTTTGAATATAGCTTTGAGAGTTAACCCTATCTATTTTTCATCTCCTTTCATTTTTGCCGGTGTAAATAACACAATAACTTATTATATTTTATAAGTAACTAAATTACATTAGTAAAATCATGATAGACCTAATTACAAGGCTAATGAAAAAAGAACATTTATATAAACAACAGATGGCGATACAAGCCCAATAATTGATTTTACAGAAATTTGGACTAAATAATTCAGTTTATAAAATTGATACAATGCTTAGTTTTACGTTTGAATTAAAAAATATTCATTAATACTCATTTCTTTCATAAATCTATGAATAAATGTATTTTCTTATGTCATTTATTAATTAATTGTGGTTAACCGTTTGCTTTTTTGGAATAAGGTTGTTTATAAGATTAGAGGGCTTCGATCAATGCTTATTCAATCAAAATTCTTTTGAAAAAAACAATTAGCTATGTCAACCTTCCGTATGATACAGTTATTTCCCATTAGATAGGTGGGCGGAGCTTCAGGCTCAACACCCCAAGAAAAATTTCAAAGAATTGTTCTTTGATGTAATAGTCAGATTAACTTAAAGAAAGTTAATGATTTGAAATAAACTAAAAGAGTTTTTTATGGCGGTATCTTGAGAATATCTTCATCTCAAAGCTCATTTGCATATTGAGTTCAATAATATTTTATTTGAATACTCGAAACATATTCAATATATTAATAATAATATATGTATTTCATTGTGAGATAAACTCATTATCATTTGAGTAAAGTTTTGAAAACACAGATGACTCAGATAATCCATTCATTTTAAGAATGGTTTTCCGTGTTGGAAATTTTTATGTTTTTATGTGAAACATAACTTTTAAACAACATTGTAATACCGTTTACATGTATATATCTATACCAAAAGTGAAAGATAATTAATTGAAAATAACACTAACTAATGGTGGTAGATGTTATCAATTTGTTTTTATTTAAAATAATTCATTTACAAAATATATATACATAATATATGCGAGAAAGAAATAACGAATATTCACGTATGTAAATGCAATGTGTTTTGAAAAGGAAGAAGACTATGAATACTGTAATTTCAACACTATTCACACACGGAAGTGGAAGAAAATTCAACACCGTAATTAACTTTCACAGCTTGGATAATTCACACATAGTTAAATTCAAGTTTCAGTTACAAATCATAATGTTATTAAAATTCATTGAATTTCTTTAGGGTCTTTAGAGCTTTTTCTGATTATAAACAACTTCTTAAATTGTTCATATGTTACGAACATTACTATATTCCAAGATCCAAGTCTTGTGAAAGACGGCCAAAAGCTGTTCACAATGAAAAAAGAAAAGAATTAATTATGCAATTCTTATCAATCATAAAGAATATATGACGAAATAGTATCTTAACCTATCTGTTGTGTAAAAAGTATTACTTATCATACTAACCCTTTGTAAAAGGCAAAAAACCCTTCATTGCGAAACATTGAGGTAGCACAGTTAACAACACCTTTATATTCTCCTGGAGGCGAATTCATAAATCTTGTTTTAACAACATCTATTGGACTTGCGAATATTGTTGTGATAAATCCAGCTCCAAACGCTGATAAAAAGTGACAAGGAACACCGTCCTTGAGAATTTGATGTTTGAGAATGGAAGTTTTAATATAATCATAAGTGACTAATTCACTAGCGTTAACAACAGCATTCCGTGTCATATTTGGTAGGGTACCCTTCCATAACCCTCTTATACCTTCTGTTCTAGCAATTTTAACATAAGCTTCGACACATCCTTTATATCTATTTAACAAATAAAGGCAAATTATTAAGATTTTATGACAGTATTCGTAATTGAATATACTATTATATAAAGATAAGTATCAGTATAAATCTACATTCTTTCTCTAGTTATTGATCAGCGTCTGATAAACACTAGCGTCTTTGCTCTAAGGTATGACACATAGTCTGTTCATCAAGTATAAAGGTCAATAAATTTTAAATTATACATACATATGCAAAATACAAATATATTGATCAATATTGTAATATTGAAGGAGTGGTAGCTATATACAACATACATGTAGCACGTGTTGCAAGCTTATATTAAAAATATAAATCGTTGGAATTGTTGGCAATTGTCCAATGGACATTAATTTAAATAGAAATACAAGTAGAATTAAAACTCCAGCATAACATTTTAAAGAATAATTAATTAATTTAACCGATTTTAAAAATCAATTCTAATTACCTAACAAATCCTTCCTTTTGCGCCTGCATTCGAACTTTAACTACGTCAGTTGGTTGAGCGAATAACACAGCCATTCCTCCTGTTGTAATTCCTGCTAATATCCGTATGCCAAAATTTTCTCCTGAAGGATTTTGCTTTCCCATAAAAAATTTCGTATAGCTGCCCTTCACCTGATCGTAGAGGCCGATTCGGACGGATGCGAAGCACATTTGTCTTTGTAAACCAGGTACCAACCCCTTGTAGATGGCACGGACACCTCCGCTTCGAAATATTTTGGTCAGACAGTCGAACATCCCAGAGTATAGTTTTGTAGCACTCTTTTCACCTTGGATCTAAGATCCGACATATAGCAGGATGGTTAGCTTTTTACATCTTATATAAAACGATCATCTATCCGAGACAATCGCCTTTAATTAGTGAAATATTTAAAATGAAATCAGGCAATTCTGTGATATTCATAAAAAGAAACAGATGGTGTGATTGTTTTTATATGGTTGAGCAATAAGGCTTATAAAAATCTTCAAAGTTCTAATTAATTATAAATAGATTAATTGCTGGAAGGAACACAGTTTTCTGTTCGGACAAATAGTAAAAGTCTTAAATTTCATAATCGTAAGTAATTAAGGTTTTATATTAAGATTATGGAGCAAGAAAGGGCAAAAGGATAAGAAACACCTGACCGACTTGCTTTTAGTGCTTAAAAACAAACACAATAGTTTTTTCATTGAATGTAACTGTATGCCTGTTATTGAATATACAGTATATATTGATAAATATTCTTGTTTTTCTCTTCTTCTCATCTTTGTATATCTTTTAGTTAAGTAAAAAAAATATACTGATAAGCGAAATTACATTTTATAGTCACGATAACAATTCCTTTTCTTATCGTTTCTATTTTTCTGTCAATCTGATAATATATAGTATAAGATGATTTTACATATAGCGTGGTCAAATAAACACCTATCAATCCTTTCAAAGAGTTCAAATATTTTATCATTTTTTTTGCTACTGCTTGAAAAGGAACAGCAATCTATTACAATCTATTACAAAAAGTCCTATTAAAACATTCACTCCATCTGTTTATAAATATTGAGTTGAAAATACAGATTGCCTATTGTTAGTTTGTGATTTTTTTTAAGAAAACACCTTTTAATTCCCATTTCGCTCTGTCAGCAAGCACCTGAAAACCCAGCCCTCCCTCCCCAAATCTTCATCTTGGCCTTCTTATTTTTCTGAAAACGTTAGAGAAAAATAAAATTATTTTCAATAGAATTAACTGTGACAGCTCATAGGTTCATTTGCTTTAAAACTATTCATCCAAATAGGCAAATAGTTCTTGATAAATTGCAAGACAGGGGCTGTTTATTGATAAAGGTAATTGAATGCTTCGAAAAAGTGCGACAAACAAGACATAAACAAGTTGTTTTTCTATAGATGGCCTTGGCCTTCTTTCTTCTTCGAGGTCTTTCAACCTGAAGTAAAATGTTTAGAACACACTGAAAAGCGTGAGACAGAGATCATTCGAGAAGCATTCAATTGGTGGTACACTTCACACATAAAACCTTAAAATACCTGTAATTGAACTTTAGCAAAATCCAAAGGAAACGTCATTCCATCAGCCACACATGCTGCTAGACCAGCGCTAGCTAATTTAGCGATTAATGGAGGGTCTTGTTTCGAAGAGGATGGTGCCATTTTTCTATATGACTGTTTATGAAGAATATAATGACATACGAAAATAAGATAATATGTTTATGATACTAAATATAGGAACAGGATTAATCAGTTTCTTTATATCGTTCAACAAGTACAAATAATAATTGATTGGAATAATCAATTACCTACAATGTTGGTCCTGACGATATAGAGAAAGGTTTGATTGCTCCTTCCAAATCGGAGGTTGATTTAGTTGTGTCGTGTTGTCGGAGGTTTTAGACTAACTTATATCCATGTTTATAGGCTATTTATAGTGAAATAAATCAGCTGACCACTTTTGCTTCAGTGCATGTTGACAAGATGGCAGCACTTGTCTCATGTATCTTTAAATTATTTAGCCTTACAATGTTTTTAATTGATATTATATTATCTAATATTTTTAAATATTTTCATTTTTGAATGATGTTTTAATTTCTCTGTATTTTCTAATAAATTGGCACATATACGCAATTAAAAAAATTTGAAATCGTTGTTGTTAGGCCTATAAGCACTACACGTGCTAAAAAGCCTTATGTAATAAAAACAAAGTCCTATATGACCTGTAATAGTAATAAACGTAGCAGGGAAATGTCAATTGGTGGTTTGAAAACAATCTGCCTGACGTAGTCCTTTTTTAGAACATACTAAATAATCTGTTTGTCATTGCCATTTCATCCACAAATCTGAATTAAAAAAAAAATTAATATAAGAGATAGACTATCATCATTAAACAAAAAAATTCGAATCATCTAATTTTTAGACATAAAATTCGAATAATCTAAAAATAGCCCGTTCAATATAATGGACTTTATTCAATAAAATATCCGTTTGGGTTTGAAAAAACGGTCCTTGGCCTATTAAACTATTTACTCACTACTTTTTCTTTTCAATTTTTTTTACTATATTTTTCCTATAGGACTTTTTTTTATAAAAAATATCTATACAAATTATTCAATTATTTTATAAGTTTGTTTACAAAGATTAAAGATTAAAGATTAAGAGTATTTAACAACTTTTTAGATATTACTTACTTTGTCATTTCACTGTTTTTATGGACAAATCTGGCCGTTTTTGTCCAAGCTTCTCTTTCTTGTAAAGGTTCATCCTTTCTAAATTCAGCTGTCCAATGGGAATTAACGCATGGTCGACGATAGACATCAATTGGTTCTATAGTTTTTAAATATTGAGAAAAAAAACAGAAAGTTATTTTTACTGATTAAAGTTAAGCTTTAGAGCCAGGTGGGGTTATATACAGGTGAAAAAAGTCGATTTTTGAAAACAAAGATTTTCTTTAATCGATATTTAATGCATATATATATATATAGATACAGTTTGAATTAGGCTAAATAAGTTCTTATGAGTCTACCTTGCGGCACTCGGACATGTTTATGTCGTAGTCTCATTAATTCTTTATAACTTCCCATTGGTCCTGCACCGTATCCAGATGTTTGATTTCGAGGAATCAAAGAAGGTTGAGGTAGTTCGTTTCGATCGACAATGGGCGGCATTTTATATTCAGGGTCTCTATACTTTCCCGATCTAAATACATACTGGGGACTATGTACATCCGGAAGTCGTACATGCTCTTGGATGTGATCTTGATATCCTAAGTGATTAACACCGAAAAAAGCCATTATTTCCAGCTACTTTACTCTTTCTAACTCCTTCAAGATGTTTTTGAATATGCTAACGGAAGTTTGTGTCGTTGTCTGGGAGATACGCCATGTTTGTTTATAGGCGGGTAATCTGATACTATTTAGGCTTTTTTCAAATGATTAACTTATAGCTGTAATTTAATTATTATCAAAAGAAATATTTAATTTTTTTAAAGCCTAAAAGTAAGTCTATTTTCAATTTTTTTTTATTTAGCTGCGGCAGTTCCCCAAGCAATCGTTCAATACATTAACAATGTATTTCAAAGACTTTAAACTTTCATAGCCCTTATTGATTCGTTAAAAATAAAATTTTATACAAAATTGATTAGAATTATGTAGATTATATTGAAAAACTTTGTTTTCTCATAATGTTTAATGTCAAAGGGATCTTCGGTTTATCTATTGTTCTATAAATAATATAACATAAGAATAATTCTTGTTTTTTATCGCATCAATAAATTGCTCAGTCCAATACTGTTTATCAGAAAAAGAACAATACGGCTTCGACATCAGCCTATGCTAGAATGTATCGAGATCGATTCAGATATCTGTTGATAAAATTACAAATTCATCTAAATTAAGTCAAACTGAAATTTATTAGGCATAGTAAATTGCTTCTCATTCGGTATGAACGCAATATGTAAATTGATCTAATCAACAATTGAAGTGCAACGCGGCAAAAACATGAAGAAAGACAGCTCTAATAAGTTGTAATACCTTTTTTATCAATTTTAATGTAAATAATACAATATCTACAATGCTGGTAAATGGAAAGAATTGGTAATAAACTTTATCTATTGTATAACTTAACAAGACTGTAAACTGTTTAAAATGAATGTTAAAGATTAGCACAGCAATATTACCTCATGCTGTATAATCTATATCAGAAATTGTTTTGTTATATTTGTTCTATGGTGAATATTGTAAACTAAATCCATAGAACTATACAAAACAACCAGCCCTTTATAAAAATCATGAATTTTATAGAGTTTTACTTACATAATGACTTGAAATATAGAATGAATTTTCCCATTTAATAAACGTTACTTTTCTTATTAAAAAAAGAAAGTAAGACATCCTTTTGCAAATGTTATAAACAAAAAACATAAATACAGCTAATTGCAGAAATAATCTAGTTTAGTATTTCAAGTTAATTTAGTTACAATAGAGCGGTTAAGTGACATTTTTCAGAGACTTTTTCCATGAAAGCTTGAGTTAGAGTAAAAGCGAATTCCTAGAAAACGTAATAAATTAGAAAAATCAGCTATTCAACAATTTATTTTATTAATATTAATGAAAATTACCTTTTCACGAAGTAACTTTCGTACTTTTCTCATCCATCTTTGATCTTTACGCATTTCTTCGTGTAATTTTGGGTCAGAATCCTAGTTAAAATATTTCTTATGTAACCGTACAAGTATTTCAACCTCTATGCTAATAATCGAATACTTACAAAGCAGAGGCTACTTTCTTTACTCTCAATATCACTATTTCCAGTAAGAATTTCTTCCAGGTCCGAATGACTAAGATTTAAAATACCTGCAGCTGTTTTTTTAGCTTTATCCAGCGCTTCATCGCCATCGTCTTCCTTTCTTGACTTTTTAAGCTCATCTTCTTCTTTCCTCCTCAATGCAGTCCTATTTTCGTATAAAGAAACCAATAGTTCATTCGAAAAAGTTTTAATAAACTGTTGGTACTGAGCCAAACGATTCTCTGTAGTTTTTAAGTGGCGATGAGCATTTGATAGAGCTGATTCGCTTTGCGAAGCCAAATCTTTCATGTGAGATTCCGCAGCATTTTCTACATCTTTAACAACCGTCTGTAATTCATTTTTCGACTTCCGAGCATCACTTAATTGACGGTTCTAAGAGTATTGAACAGAAGCATTATTAATGTTAAGTTAAAGAAGAAAATGCAAATACACCTTTTTATCCAGTTCGTTCGTTACTTTGTTGAGTTTATCTTCGGCCTCGTATCGTATTTTGTTTGCTGCATTCAAGCTTTGCTTGAGAGATTCAATTTGAACCTTTTGACGGGAAGAAAGCTCTGTAAGTGATTCTATTTTTGCTTCTGTCTCGGCAGAATTTCGTGCTCTAGATTCTTGCTGTAGTTCAGCTTTGTTCAATTTATTTCTAAACTCTTCGAGAAGCTTTCTCTTAGAAATTAAATCCCTTTCTAATCGATTGTTTCTGAAAATGAATGGAAAAAAACATACATATATATATATATTTGAAATGTATAACCAAACTCTTAATTACTTTTCATTTGCAGCTATACTGCGTTCACTTTGGTCCGATAATTCCTGCTTTAGTTTTCTGATTTGACAACTTTGACGTGTTATATCTGCATTAGCTGCTCTAAGCCTCGCTGACTGCATTGCCCATTCAGCTTCTGATTTTGTTATCTGAATAGTAAAATTTGTAGAAAGGTCTATTAGACTTAAGTATAATGAAATTGTTATACCATATCTTCAGTATTGACAGATTCATCTACAGATCCCTCTCTCTCTTCTAGTTTTAGCACCAGGGTTTCTTTATCAGCCCTTAATCTATCAAGATCGCATTGCAGTCGATCAACAGCATTTTTGGAAGAGTTTAACCTCTGATTTGTCAAAGATAAATCATATTTTAAGGCTTCACATTGTTTTCGTAAGTCTCTTTCAGATTTTTGTACAGCGGATCTACTTTGCTTTAGTAAAGAAACCTAAAAATACATTTGATGTCAATGTAATTCAATTTTGGAAAAAAAATAACTGAAAAAACCTGTTTATTTAGAGCGGAAATTCTTTGTTTTAAAGCAATCGTTTGTTGTTTTTGTACTTTGGAGTCACTCCGTTGCTCGTGGACAGTTACCGGTGAAGTGGCTCTTGATCTATACTGTTTCTCTTTTATTGGTTTATCTTTCATAAAATCATCTTCACTTCTCTAAAAGACACATTCGACTTCAGCACTTTTGACCTAGCTTTTCTTCCATATAGGTTAAAATTTAAGAATATACCTTGTTCTTTAAAGGTTTTTGATTTATTTCTTTTCTAATTGGTCTTTGTTCTTCAATATATTCATCGATCCATTCGTCCTCTGTAGGTTGATCATCCAATATTCGGGACAGTGCCGCTAATGGCTGCTTCTATTTTGGTAAAAACAAGAAACAAGAACGATAACAGCTTTGTCCATTAAATATTACAAGGAGAATTTGTTATACGATAGTAACCTTGTGAATGCTATTTCTGCTTGATGAGAGCATAGCTCGTCTTCTATTCAATTTTTTAATAGTTCTCTGGGCAACAGTAAGATCCTTTTTAACGTTGATAAATTCGATATGCTTCTCAGCTATTTCTTGCTTGGCTTTATTTATTTCTTTTTTGTGAATTCTTTAAAAAAAAAGCAAATTTTCAGCAATGAAAAAAAAAAACCGCACCCTTTTCCAAATAAAGAGAAATAAAAATAATTTTAAACCTAGATTGCTCTATTAAGAAATTTCTCTCTTCTCGAAGTTGCTCTACTTCGACTTGCTGCTCGTCCAATTGTAATTTTATAGACCTACTTTCTTCTTCTAAATCTTTAATTCGTTTTATTAAATATGGCGGTGGACCTCTATTCTCAACCTCTAATCTTGCTTGTTGTATTTGAAATTTTAATTCTAATGGGAACATAAATCCAATCATGAAAAAATAATTGAAATCAAAAAATGTAACATACCTTCTTTTTCTTGTTGTAAACAAACTCTCAGTTCATGTAAAGCGGCAGCATCTTGAGCGCCTCTAACTTTATAGTCATCCAATTTTTCTTGTAAATTCATTCTTCAAAGTTAAAGGTATAAATAATAAATTCTGATTAGACTCTAGAAAAAATAACTACCTCTCCATTATTAGATTTTTATTCTCTTTTCTTAAGATACCAAGTTCATTCCAAACTTCTTTTGTATTTTCTTTTCTTAAGGAAGCTGCTGATGGTCTTGAAAGGGCTTTGAAAGAATTTTTTTGTTCCTTCCTTTAGTTTAAAAGATAATGAACAAACTGGATTTATATATGACAACAATTTTATTCTTACATATCTTTTTCATATTGCTCATAGGTTTTCAACTGCTTTTTACTAAGTTTATATTGTGAATTAATTGATTTCAGTCTTTCCTTTCTTCTATCGTGAGCTTGTCGTAATTCTTCCAATTCTTCTCTCTTTACCACAAATGGACAATTATTTTAACATAATATTTAGAAAGCGTAAATATTTTTACCTTGATTGAAAGCATATCCTCAGTATTAGTTAATTTTTCTTCTAAACATTTTATTCGCTTTTCTAAAATAGCACTATTCGCCCTGGGAAATTCAGTGTCATCTTCACTTTCTAGTCTGTTCTTTTCTTTTAGTTTTTCCTCTAATAGCTTAACTTGCAACTCTAAATCATCCGTACAAATACCTACTTCTTCATCATTATTTTCAGCAAAATTATCGTAGTTTACTATTGAACATAAATTTTTTATTTGCTTATGTAACGAGGAGAGATTGAAATCCTTTTCAGACAATGTTGACTTTAATCTTCTAAGTTCTTTCTGTGCATCACTTTCTGATTGCATTAGGAGTCTATACCGATTGTCTAACTCATTATACATCTAAAAAAAAGGAGAGGAGAATGAAACAATTTAATTTCAATTTAGGTTTCTTTTACCTGCTGCCAAGAATTTGTTTCTTGAGAATAAGCATCTTCTTGTTTATTAATAACTGATTGTTAAAAAGTAAAATTACATATCACACATGAAAGATAATGAAAATTTACAGAAATAACCTGATTCTGTATCCTTTTGTAAATTTTGTAATTTTTTTATCAAATTAGATTGCTGTGAGGCATGATCTGTGGTTTGGGTATGCGTATTCCATAATTCTTTAAGCTCTTCTCTAGCGGATAGAAAGCAATAAGTTTTCGATTTAAAGCGAAGATTAAAAAAAACCTGCAAGATTCCAACTCTATGGCTTTATTATTAATTTCGGCTCGTAAACGAAGCACCTCTTCCTTTAAAGTTATCAAACTTTCAACATTTTCTTTGTCCTTTCAAGTTGCAATTTAGCAAATTTAGACTTATCTCGTATCAATAAAACATGTATACCTTAATTTCAAATTGTTCATAAGAACTTTCAAAGCGTTTTAATTTCGGATCAAGTTCATCTAAACTTTTCTTTAGCTCTTTATTTTCATTTTCCAAAGTCACTAATTCTTCACTTTGAGATTTTACAAGACTTTGTAAATTATTTATTTCTTCTGTTAGATTACAATTAATTCTGTTCAACTCTTCAACACGTTTTAAACTGTTTTGTTCTTCAAATTCTTGTAACCTAAACTTTAAAGCTTCTGTCTCTTGCGAAAGAGTGAGGATTTTATTCTGAAGGGTTTGCTTTCTGTAATTCAGTTGGTAATAAAATTATATATTTCATTTTTTCATTGTTAAATATATCTCTTACATAGATGTTGTCTCATTTAACTCTATAGAATATGCGTTCAGATTATTTTTTAAGGAAGATATCTGTTCATCTTTATTTTGCAAGATTTGAAGAATCTTTTTATCTTTTTCTTCACCTTTTTCTTTTTCCCTACAAAAATTTTTTATTGTATTAGAGAGGACAGAAAAAGTCAACAAATACAACAATACCTTTGAATAACGAGATTAATAGCCTGAGTGATATCCGGATTGGCTATTTGTAATCTCTTCCATAATGACCAAACAAACTCCTTATCAGCCTATTAGTTATTATATTATTAGGAGAAAACTTTAAAAAATGCTACATTAGAAAAGTATTACTTTGCATTGCGATAATTCCTCGAGAGCCACTTGCCTCTCTCTGTGTAGCTTTGTCAGTTCAGCTTCTATAATTTGAATATAATATCTTAAATCTGTTCTGTAATGAATCTATACATACTAACCGTTATTGACACAACTTTGGCATTTATTAAAGTTCATCTTGATGTTATTTTCCTATTTTGGAATAAAGAATTTTGTATAATCAATTTTGTTTACAAGTTCAGACTTGAATATTTACACAAATTGCCAGAATTCTTCATAACTTTCCGAAAAAACAAACGTAACTATATAATTAAGTAATATATAATTATAAAATATCCAAATTCGCCGTTATTGTTAAAACTATGATTATAAAACTATTGTTATAAAATTTCAAACGGGTATCGGCTGCTATGTTTATAGCGCATTTTCGTATAAAATTATTTGAAATAAGAATTAACTTCGTATTTTTTTTTGTTCTGTAAATTATTAGTTATCTCTATAAATACTATACAAAAAAATCATAATCTTTTTCTTACGAGCTTCGTAAACCGGAAGTAGTACCAACTATTAGAATATCGCACAAATTTTGTAGAAAATTTGTTAATCCACGTAGCCCGTAAGTATTTTTTTATAAAATAAGATTTATTTAATATAAATATTGTTATTTTCTTGTAATAAAAATGACCAATCCATTAATATACAATGTAAATTACATGACTCAGGATCACATTCAAAATATAAAATTCTTCCGATAAAGTTTCTCTCTACAATTGAACTATCTAAATTTCCATTGGGGTATTAAGATGTCTGGTTGCCTGGATAACTTTGAATGCCCACAGTTTGATTGTTATAATCCAGAGAAAAGGAATGCTATTGCCTCCTGTGCAGCTGGTGCATTGGTTTGTTGTTGTTACAATAGTATATTGTATAATAACTTTTTTGTGAAATGTAGTTTTTCATCGGTTGGTGGATTATCATCGACGCAGCGGCAGCATATCCAGATAACGCTGACCTGCCAAAAGCAGCTCACACGTGCGGTGTTGTGGGAACGATAGCATTATTTTTGTGAGTTGTACTAATACTTGTAATCAATGAATAATTTTTTGTCATTTAGAATAAACTCAGTTTCGAATGGTCAAGTCCGAGGAGATGCTTATACTAATGGATGTTTAGGACAAACTGGTAAATGAGTTAATTCTTTAGAGCTAATTGTTGAGTCTATCTTGTATAAAAATTAAAAATAATTGTAAAATTATTGCTATAATTTATTAAAAGTTTCACTTATAAAATATATAGCGATAAAAATTAAATTTCAATGTCGAAAATATTCACAGGAGCAAGAGTATGGATTCTTATAGGATTTATTCTTGGATTTGGAGCTTTAATAGCTTCAATTTGGATCCTATTCCAACTATATGTTGTTAATCCAAATGGTATAACATTATCTTTAAAGACTATACGATCCATAAACTTAATATATTTTACTTTCATTTTAGAGAAACATGCTAACAACATATACGCAGGCATAGCTATCTGCCTCCAGAATGCGTTTATATTCTTTTCCTCTCTCGTTTTCAAGTTTGGCCGAAAAGAGGATGTATGGTAACTTTTGAATAGCAGCGAAAGAGTCTATTGTACAAAAACAAAAAAAAAACAAAATTCCGCTTTCGGAATCATCAGAAATATGAATTTAAAAATCATGTAAATTCGTCGATTTTATTAATATAAGCTATTAATCAAATGTTATTCTAATGGAATTAAGCAAATATGAAGGAAGTTATCAGGATAGCTTAAGTGTTCGCTTAACCATATAATATCACTTTCTAGAGGCATTTCAATACCATGTGTAATAATTTTCTGATTTAGTTCGCCATTCTCATCAAAACATTCCGGGGCAACTTCCTGTATCATATCTCTGAGCGTTTTGGAATCGCCTCTTTCGTTTTGAGGTTTAAATAGTTTTTGAATATGACGACTGTCTCCTTGATAAATTTTAAAAGGAATAGATTTGAACGATTCATCACCATCTCCTTCCATCAATTTTTTATTAACGGCCCAGAATTGCTCAAATTTGTCTTTTATTGATATTTTAAAAAAGTACACTGATTAAATAATTTATAACAAAGAAATGGAAACGTTTACCACTAAGGAGTCCTGCCCATAATTGCTTATGATGCTGTATTTGCATACCGGAGATAACTTTTCCGAGATGTTTTAAAGCATCAGCTTCTTTTATACAGCTCATAAAATGTGACTCTATAGCATCTCTATTATTCCATCGGAATATGGAATCTGGAAAGTTCTGTAGACAAAATACACATTTTTTTATTACTTTTAGAACTCTTGTTATAGAGAAACAAATTTTTACTTTAAAATGAACAGTAAGATTCCAAGGTAGACTGTGTGAAGAATTAAGTAAATCGAAAAGAACACCCACGGGATAATGCCTTAAATAAATTATTTTGCATATAGAATACTCATTCAGTAACATTTAATATACTAACCATTTAATTGGTTGATTCGTATTAGTATTTTCCAGCCAAACATCACTCTCATCACCGTTTACGTAATTAATAAAATGTTTTTGTAATTTATCCAAAAATAGCGGAAAGTAGCTGTGTCTGGGAACAAGTAGCTGTGGAAAGTAGCAACAGTTATTACAGGAAGATAAATGAACAACAACAAAAATAAACAGACATAACATGATTCGGGATGTTCATATGTAGATACTTCTTCAGCAGATAGTGTAAATGATACGGGAACTTTACCTTCCCATACTTCTCTCAGAATTCCTCTATCTTCTGCCATTATAATTTGAGAATGAATAACTATTCAGCTGATTATGTAAAACCTATAGTAAATTTATATCTATCCTTTCATTTAATTATTAGCAGACGACAGTTATTGCTTCCGTTTCCCTTTTCTGTTATTTACATTCTGATTGGTTGATGTAATATATTCAAATATACCAACCAAACAGCTTTTGTTTTACAAAGGACACTTCCGTCGTATGCTATTTCGACACATGTCTGTTTAATAGTATTTCAGTGATAAATTCTGCAAAATGACCGATTACGCGGAAGAACAAGAGAATGAATTGTTAGCTTTGGAGTCTATGTATCCCGATGAGTTGACAAGTACATTTAAAATTCTGTCTGTTGAGAATTACCCATTCTAACCAATATATATTCATTTCAGTCCTTCACCCGCATCCCACTGCAAATTACAAAATTAGTTTAGTTTCACAAGCCATTCTGCGATCAGAAGAAGAACCTATAAAATTTGATCTAGTTGTAAAATACACTGAAAAATATCCTGATGAAATGCCAATCCTTGAAATTGCAAACGACGAAAATCTTTCAGAAGATAGAATAAAAGAGTTGCTCACTGTATGCGAAGAACAGGTTTGATATATTTGAATCCACTCCTATATATATTGTTATTATTTGTCTTACTATTTCTTTTTTATTACAGGGAAATTGTAACTTAGGGATGCCTTTCGTGTTCCCGATTATTTCAGCACTTCAAGATCGTATTGAAGAAATCGTAGAAAGAATAAATGAAATAGAAATTTTAGAGGAAGAAAAAGAAACTAGAGAAAGAGAAGAAGCTGCAGAGGTTAATTTGACCTCTACATATATATTTTCTCCTAATAAAAATAAATAAATTTCAGAAAATACTAGTTGGTACCCCGGTAACCATTGAAACCTTCCTGAAATGGAAAGAAAAGTTTGACGCCGAACTGTACGAAAAGAGGAGGATAGAGGAAATGGAAAAAGAAAGGCTCAGTACAAAACAAACAGGTATCAAAAAATCCTTTGTGATATATCCTATTCATATCATCCTGTCATTAATTTTTTACTAAACGACCTTAACGCCTAATTTATTCAAAGAGAGACGTAAATGATCTTTACTATTCAAAAATCTTCTTTGAGTTTCCTTTTAAAAAAAACTACTGTGATGTTGATTAAGATATTGAGTCTTACGGATAGCTAAAATGATAGATTGACTTTGACGCTGCTCCTTTTCATTTTCAAAATTAAAAACTCTCTCTTCCTTGCATCATTTAGTCTCTTTAATAACATAAATTACCTAAACCTATGAATCCTTTGTAGAATATTTAAATTAGGCCAAAAAGCTCCATTTTCCTGACAGATTTTAACAGTGTTGTTTATCTGGAGGTGTATGGGGTGTATACAGTATATTATTTGAAGAAGAAACTTGATCAATGTACCGAAATATCTAATTTTAATTTTTTTCATAATTGTATATGGCTCCATGAAGGTCAAACTATTAATATATTAATTATTAGTATGAGATGGAAATTTTTTTTTACCGCCTCTTTCTTGGTAATAGATGATTATAATCAAGCAAATACGGATAGGTTATCAAATAAAATGAGTGTACTCGTATGAGTTGTAAAAAGATATTGATAGCTGGAAAAAGCGATACGGAATTAATTTACACTTGTCAATACTAATTATGATTTTTATTGATTACTATATAATATTATTTATGTCCATTTTTTAAGAACTAACCACATTTTTCTTATTTTACCTCTTCCGGCAAATAGGTGTACAATACTTTCAAGCAAATAAGGATGAAAGTGAAAATTTGGATGAAGTTTTAGAAGGTGAAGAACCAGGTATTGCTGTTGATGAAAGTTTATTCGAAAATATGGATAATCTAGGACTTGAAGAATTATCTGATGAAGAAAGTTAACGACTACTCTTAGATTGTTAACTATTATAATTAGGACTAAATATTTATACTTTCAAAGTAAACAAGTTCGAAATAAAGGTTTTACTTTAAAAAATTATAAATACTTTATATCCTGTATATATAGATAATATGATAATATACATGTTATATATATGTATATAAAGATATATATATATATCTTGTTCATTTTTTTTTCTATCTTATAAGATGAAATCCATGAGATTGGTAAAATTTCTGTTGTCCAAGAAATAAGAAGAGAACATCCTATTAACTACATTAAAAATATTACTTTAAATATACTTAACAAACAGTTTAGTGAAAATAATTTTATTCTACCTCAATGAGACAAATAAACAGCACTTATATAAAAATACAACTTTGATTGATGAAGGAAAATACTGTATATGGTAGAAGGGAGGTAATTTTATCCATTTAATGATGTCTTCGCACTTGTTGGACAACATACTGCGTATTCAAATACTAGTCTAGTCTTTAGCTCACTATGAATAATAACAAGACGGTTTTAATCAACTCGCAAGAAAAATAAATTGTGAGGCTGCTATTATAGTTTTTACTATACGTCTTCCATTTATTGTCATTGAAACACAAGATTATTATAAGTTAATGCAAAGGACGTGTTCATAGTTAAATATAGTTTTATTAGGGAGAGTAAATGTATATATCATCTGTAGATAAGTTAAATATTTTCTTACTTATAAACCGTTTATCGGATCCAATATTACTGGAACTGAGTTTCAACGATATGATGTCACCTGCCAAGGGCAATGGAAGTAATTTTAAAACAACGGATATCTGATACGGTTCTTTTTGGCTTCTTCCTAAAATTGTATGAGAAATTTTCTTACTTTGAGGAGTTTTACTGACTTCTGACTATTAATTTAATTTATGACCGTAAAATTGATCAAACTTATAGGTATATAATTTTGTCTTACCTTACTATATGTATTTTAACGCGTGGCGTCGCCCCAATCCAACGAAAGGGTCTCATTTAGTCGAAAATGCTTCCTACGAATGAAACTTCGAATTTTGTTCATCCGATTGCAACTGGTCTAAGGGCAACAGTCATAGGAACGATTGGAATATTAACCATTTCTGCAAATTGCATAAGCATTTCAGTTTTAAGATTAACGAAGCAGATTCCGTATATAGCACGTATTTGTCTTATTAATTTAGGAGCAGCAGACCTAATGGTAGGTTTAGTTGCTTGCTTACCTTCAATTGTACCTGCAATTATTTCTGAATGGCCTTTCGGTGATGTTTGGTGCCAAATATCAGGCATAAGTCATGGCGTAAGTGTTACGGTTTCTATCTGGAGTATCTCGGCAGTGTCTCTAGATAGATATGTGGCAATTATTTATCCTTTAAGGTAAGCATATTAAATTTCTTTTAATAAATTAATTTCAAACACTGAGAGCATTTTAACTTTCAATTTAGCGGAAATTATTTTATCTTTCGTATTTCAGTTACATTCATAAATGAAAAATAAATCTGCATCAATAACGTGATAAAGTGTTCTTATTACTGATATTTCAAACATATAGTTATATTAAGACATTCATGTTCTTATACTTAAAAGAAGAAAGTAACTAAATGCTTTTATTTTGTAGATATAACCAAATTGTTACGGTAAAACGACTAATGTGGTTGTTACTTGGTATGTGGACTTTGGCAATTGCGACATTTTTTATACCACTTCCAACGAAAAGTAACTTTATATACTATAGATACTCGGAAGCAAATTGTATGTGCGGATTATTTTGGGAATATCCGTGGTTTTGTGTTATCACTGCGATTTATATACCAATTTTATCCGGAGCTTGTCTCTTATTTACCACAGTTAAAATTATTAAATCAATTAAACTCATAAAAAATCAAGTAGGGCCTGCATCACTAGATGGAAATTCTGGAGTAAATAAAAAGGATGTTAAAGCAGTTAAATTATTAATAATAACTACTTTAGCCTACTTTACGTGTTGGGGTCCGTATGTCGTTCAAGTAGTTTTCGAATCATTCTTTAAAGAAATTGCGATTCATCCAGTTTTATCCTTCTGCACAGTATGGCTAGCAAATTCAAACAGTTTTGGTAATGTAGTAATATATATCTTGATTTATTCATCTTTCAGAAGAAATGCCATAATGGTTATGAAAGAAGCTGGAAAAGGAAATTGCTGTCCAGCAGAGTTAAATGATAGAGCAGATACCTTTGAAACATCTGGATAAATTCATACTAAGATGATATAGAGTAATATAAAAACAAGGAGATAATTTGTATACAATATTATTATGTCGAGCATGCTGTTACTATTATATTTGTCACATCTTTAATTTGGTTCTCTTTGCCCTATTTCTTATCCTCTTTTCCTACATTTTTGTGTTAATTAGTATTGATGATACTCCAATTTCTTATACGGTTAATTTCATATAATTAACATTAAATTCAATTATACTTCACAACACCTTTAGAACGATTATTAAAACCAGCCCGTTGTCAGGTTTTTTCAACACAGTTTAAAAATCATAGTAAAAGCATTAATATTAAAATGTATCGCTAAATATTCAATCAATGTTTCAGTCAAACCAAGATGTTAAATAATTAGTACGATATATTACACTAGCCAAAGGCACGTGTCTTGTCTAATTTACAGTAGAAGCCTTTTTTCAACTTTGGAAGAATGCGTGTCTGCAAATATTTCTTTAAAAGAGGTTAATAAATCTTTTCACTATAAATATAAAGCAATAAAGTAATTAATTAGCATAAATCACGTGTATTTATTGTAATTTACAATATTTTGTTTACACAACACAGTATATATATTCATATTTCCGAATAAATACAAATTATGGATTGTAATTTCATTGATAACGTCATTTATTTTTTTTAATATTTATTTTCTTTCTAATTTAAATAAACATGAATTTCTCACAGAATAAATTACGTAATCTAGAATCCATTAAAGAGACAATACATTGTAAAGAACACAACGATTTTTTTCAATCTCGTGATTGTATTAACTGTAATAATATTTATTATGAGAAATTTATGGATTATACACTCTTTGCATTTACATGGAATGTTCATCAAACTGATCCACCTTCTGGTCATTCTGCAAAATCTGGATTACTGAATGCGTTAGGCAAGCATTAAACAAAAGACGACTTAATATCTTCTGATAAATTTAATGCAAAATAATTACTATTTTTGCTTTATTAGTTACATTTTTAATGTATTTTATACCTTTCTCGATTTATCTTTAGGAAGTAGGCCCAATTTTAGAATTTCCCAAATTATTATATAAATAGTTTCGTCATTTTTATATATTTACTGTCAGGATTTAAAGATATAAAAAGAAAATGGCCGTCTATATTTGTTATATCTCTTCAAGAGACCAAAGTTAATGTTGTAACGGATGCTATTCAAGACGATAAGTGGACAATTGCAATAATGGACTTAATGAATTCTTTTAAATACACCTTAATAAAAAAAATAAGACTATACAATTTGGTAATAGCCGTCTTTGTTCAGGAGCAGTGTCTCCATCTTTTGAGTGATGTTGAAGGTACCAGTACAAAAGTAAAATTTATGGGTTTAGTAGGTTCCAAAGGAGCTGCAACAGTAAGATTCGACTTTGCTGGCGTGAGCGTCTGTTGCGTTAATTCACACTTAACCGCCCATCAATTTAATGTTAAATCTCGAGTTAACGATTACAATCTGATAACAAGTATCCAGCAATTTAAAGTAATTTTAAATATATCCTAAAAGTTAAAGGTGTGTTATTACATTAATTTTCAATGTTAATAAGGATAAGTCAGCTAAGAATATAATGGAACATGATTACATATTTTGGATGGGAGATTTGAACTTTAGATTAGATAAAATAAGCACCGAAGTCGCTTTGGATCATGTAAAAAAACAAGAATTTCAGACACTACTAAAGTATGATCAATTAACTAAATTAAGAACTTTGAAAACAGCTTTTAATGGATTTAAAGAGGCTCCCATAAATTTCCGTCCAACTTATAAATTTGATCCAAAAACAGATAATTACGATATAAAAAGTCAAAGAAAACCGGCTTGGACTGATAGAATTATCTGGAAATTAAGTAAAGAAGATTCATTTCTCAAGGTTAAAGCAGGCTCTTACCAATCTCATCCATATCTGAAGCAGAGCGATCATAGACCAGTTACTGGTTACTTTTTCTTTAAAGCTTTTAAAAATGACCGGTTTTAGGCTACATTTTTATCCAAATTTCGCTAATAATTAATTTTTTTATTATAATTAAAAACTTAAAAAATAATAATAATAGGAATAACATCCAATTGACCTGAATTATTCATTTTTATTGTTTATAATTATAGCCTAAAATTCGTTCAATCGGTAACTTCACACTTCTCTTACTACATCATTATAACTATGGAAGTGAATACGAATCTCGTAGAATTAACAGAATGGGATTGGGTAGGTGTATATACTAATGGCCCAAAAAATTTCCGAAACGATTATTTATGCTATTCATATATTAAAAATGCTATAATCGATAAGAGCGTAAGAAGAACGAATACTAGAGTCATCAAATTATCATTCCCACGTAAAATGCTCATGAAACCAGCTGAAAATAGAAAATACAGATTGGCCTACTGGAATTCTCAATCCAGTACAATAATAGCAATTTCCGATACTTTCACGATCGCAGAAAAACAAAAAGGTAATTATTTTTAACGCTTACGTAGTTAATTTATTACACTTGTTCCCCTATATTATATTTATAAATATCAATATTATATATATATATATACTGTATATATTGTATATTGTATATTTTCGATAGAAAACATATTGTTTTTCTAATGATTTCAACCGAAAGATGGCCTAAGTGTCGAGGGGTGCTAGATTATATTATTCTAGAGATCTAGCCGAATACATTATATAAATAGAGTTATTTCTGTTTAAACTAGCGATAAAAATAGTAACCCCTCGTAGCGTAGAACCGTTTTTATTGTATAAAAAAAGTTGCTATTATATACTCAATACTGAAATTATGAACAACTATTAAATAGTTAATTAAATCAATTTTATTTTGACTATCATCCTATATATTTCTAATTGATCATTTGCGCATAGACAATTCAAACAATGCAACTCATTTACTTCAACGAATAGCTTGAGAACAGTTGATCATTTAACTTGACATGCAGATCTTGTATTCAGTTATAGCTTTTTTTTTTACTTTATGTGCTGAATTTCTTTCCATTCCTTACCATTCTCACTCTCTCACATATTCACTCAGTCAGATAGTTACTCTTTTTTTTCTTTCTTTTCTCTCTTTCTCTCTCCCTCTTTTTTTGCCATCCCTTAGTGACTCTTTAGACATTACTTTTTCCTAATGATTTCTATTTCCATACAGAATATTTGACGCCCAGAAAATCACTACCAACCCTGCAGGATAGAAGACTAATTCAAACGGAAATAGCTCAGACAAAAAACGATTCTCCAACGAAGACCATTTCTCTAACTTCGAACCGTTAGGCGTCGTTGAGAAAATATTCAATTATCCTTAACAAAGTAGCATGGACGATTTAAAAGAGATAAGAGGGAAGAAAAAAAATGTTCTAACTCCTACTTCTTAATACCCCTTCCCTACTCAACTTGTTCTCTTCTCATCTACTTATCTTATTTAGTTAAGCAATAAAATCAAAAAATTCTAGATTTTTCAATTAATATATTCAAATTAACAATAAAAATATCCTATTTTTTTCTATTCCATTAAATCTTATTTATTATTACTAAAAATGGCATTTTTTATTTACATAAGTTAAGTGTAAAGTATGGAATGAGGCATCAAATAAATGAATTTTTTTTTATTAAGGATATTATTAATGCATTATATTAATAATGAAGGAGGAAATTATAATTCATAAATTGAACTAATTTGTGCATGCAATGAAACAATAATATCACTTAATGAAGCTACATTACGAGTTGTTGTAATTAAACATACAAAGATGCATTGTATACAAATTTTCCCATTATACAATTAATAAAAGAAAGTTACTCCATCTATCGCTAAGTTTTCATATTCGACAATCATTCTTTACATACTCTTCCTCAGCAGTAGACAGGGGTTTAACGCCTAATTAGACGCCGTTTGTTAGTTGCTTTTATTCGAGGTTAGAAAAGTCAAATTGACGATTCGTAAACCTTATCCCGAGAGATATGTGTACAAGAATATACGAGGAACAAGGGTGAGTAGAAAAAAATTGGCCTATTGAATACGAAATAGTATCAGCACGTTCCGCTCTTTATCCCTAAGTCGAAATCAATTCGAGAAAGCTATATGGGAAGAAATTTGTGCTAGAAAATTTCATTTGTCGTAATTTTCCAGTTTGCAAACATTGGCAACCGCGATGATAGAACGTCTTTTTCCTTCAGCACTCGGGAATAATTTATTTAATTTGACCGACAGCGCCATCTGTCAAATTCGGACGTCTCTCGACTTTTTAGTAGCGTTTGGTTTTTTTTGTGCCACTAAACGCACTGAGGAAGAATAAAGGAGATGTCGACATAAAAAGAATTTTATTAGACAGTTTCGCTAGATTTATCGCCTCAGTAAATTATTCCATCAACGAGCTTGATTTCTAATTAAGACTGGATAATCTAGAATAAATCAAAGCGTTTAGACGCTTCTTTCGCGGTAAGATATTGCTTTGCATAATTCAAAATGATAAATGTTATTTGTCATGTAAATGGAAATACTATTGGGAAACGACAATTATCGACCGTAGATGGCGTCTCTTAATCTTTACCCATGTAACTTATACCTCGAATAAGGTTTGAGATCAACTTCATGAGGATCATTGATTTCCATAAGATATTTACAAGTAAATAATCTATCGTTCATAATACTTGTAGTTATTGCTGTAAAATAGGGGGGGAAAGAAAATAATAAACAGTATAGAGAAAAGCTTGAAAGGCCTATCATATACTAGTTATGGGAGAATATTGTAGCATGATTAAAGACAGCTGAAAAGATTATTTCTCGTGTATAAAATGACAGTAGACTTTTTGTTTTTATAACTTTTTCTTAGTTTATTTTGGCCCAAAAGCCTAAATTCCAAAAATATCTAGAGTCTATATATTCTATTCCCTAAAATAACACGTATAGTATATAGATACTATTAGAGCAATAATTGATAACAATCTAGTTTTTCAGCAGATAGAAATATAAAAAAAAAGAGAGAATAAAACATCTAAACTCGAAAATTCTCGTATTACGTAATCATTTTTTAATAAGGAAGAAAATGAGCAAGTACGAAATTTTTCATTTCTTTTTTATGCTAATGTCTGAATGTTTCCTCTTTTTTCCTTTTTGCATTTTTCTTTCTTTCTAAGGCCAATAATTAAATTACAATTTGTTCTAACCAAAGATACAGATTACATTAGCATTGCTTTATCAATTGTAATTCAATGGCATTCTATAATTATCAAGAATGAATATTGATGAATCTCCAATGTCCCTAGGTGATCTTTTGTCTTAATAATCACAATGTTTCATATTCCTTTCTCTCTATGCTTTAACCTTGTTCACACCATATTTTTCAGGTATGTTTCGTATACTAAAACAATCTAATTAAAGTAAGATATATAAGTAAAGTTCTAAATTAGATCACTCTTCCTTCTGAACTTTCTTTTGATATAAAAAAATTAGTACACAACCTAAACGACTTTCTCTTTAAAGTAGTAAATTCGTTTGGCTCATTTTTACTACGTTAGAGAATTTTTTCCTTATAATTACTGATTTCTAGTGTAGATGTTGAAAAAGAGCAAAGTGGCAGAGGAAAATTAGCGTATTCTCATCCATTCTCTTTTGTTATTCCTCCCTTTACTCTATTTAAGAAACATTCTCTCAACGTGGTTTTTTTTATTTAACTTCAGAAGATAAAAGAGATCTTTATTTTCCTAATAATTGAAAGTCTATGTTTAAAACTTTTACTACTCTTCAAACATTGATAGGTAAATGAAGAGAGACGGCGAGAGAAAGAAAGGGGAAGAGTAATGTCAATTTGTATTCTAAGTTTATATCTTGCTTATTAAATCTTTCTTTTTGTAGTTTATATAAAGAAGCTTTGTAAATATGGAACTTGTTAAGCTTCATATAACCAAATAAGCGCTAGATGGCCCGATGGAATATAAAATCGATTAATCTATTGAACTATTCACTACAATAGCACCAGAAAATTGTATAAGAATTAAATTAAGCATGAAAACTCTAAAGGAGTATCATCTTATCTTTTATATAGAATGCAAAATTTTATCAACTTCCCTTTTATAAAAGGAAGGGGACGGCCGACAATTTTCCGTAACTATAAATTAACAGGTGTATAGTCCTTTTATATATTTATTAATGAATCTATAAAAAAAACAGGTGCGTTTTTTTCGATAATATCTCCTTTCTCATCTATAAATTCACTTTTTAGAATGAAATGTTTCGCAATATCAAAAAGAATTTACTGAGAAGGGGCGCCATCTTTAGGCTTTTTACTTTATAGTTTGGACAATTCGCTAAAATTCTGACTTTACAGAATTTAACTATGATTTATTTATGATTATTCTAACGAGCCGGTGAACAGGTGTGAAATTATTATTCCGAGCATTCTTTTGAAATAAGGAGCTAATTAACCTTTAAGTTATGTTCCTGGTGAACTTTTTAATAACTTTGCAAAGTGCTTTATCTGGTTATTACTATATTAAAAATGAATAATAAATGAGTTTTTATTTTAATATATGACTCAATTACTTATATAAATATTTATTGTAACTACATATATACTTTTATATATTTATATCAAAGAAAAAATGTGTTGTATACATTGCGCAATCAGGTAAAGATCATCCAAAACTAAAAAACAGGAAACATTAAGGTGAAGATAGCAAAACAAGTTTACAAACTGAATTACATTGAATGGTCAATTATTTTATGAAAGCGTTTCTTTGTAAAAATGAGTGAAATTTGCAAACGACATTAACCTAATAGCATCAGGCAAGGCGTAAGATTTTGATAAGAGGCGCCACTCGGAATAAGTAATGCCGTTGGTGCAATTATGTCTAGTCTTTTGTGCGATTAGCCCTGAGCCAAAATTCTCTTTTCATGTTATCCTTTCCAAATATGAATTAAATTCATTTTATTTAAATAGAAGTATATTTTTCTCCAATCCAAATGACAGAACAGCTTA